CGTCCTCTTCATCGCAACCATCACTCCGTCACTGACGCAGTAAGTAGATAAAATTACATTTTTTATATCTGTATTCCCAGTGTCTTTGCAAGTATGACTCAAAACAGAAAAAAATGTAATATATTTTTAAAATATTTTTTTAAAATATATTTATATATAACGAAAAGAAGAGCGGCAATTGAAACTATAAAATCATTCACCACAAAATCAGGTACTTACATATGGATCATATGTTAAAATGGGAGCTACATCGGAAATGCCTCTTACTGAATTTCGCACATTTCCGCAGAGGGTCTGCCGAAAGTCTGGAATTCTGCAGAATTTTTCTTTCACGGACTCGAGAACTAAACGTAACTTGTGTGGTGTTTCTGCGTAGCTGCGGAAGGAGTACGGTCGGTTATACGCATATTAAACACTCTAATTTCCTCTTAAAGACTAATACATTTTGGATCTAGAGGGCAATTTGGAACTAGCTTTTGTTCGGGTCGAGGCCCATCCGTGATGCGAAACTTCACTCTCTGTCACAGGCACCTATGGAATCCTAGAAGGGACATTGTCGCGTTGTCGCCCTTACAAAAACAAGCAAAAACTGGCGAAGTTGATCAAAGTACGACAACGCGACATTTTAGCCATTTGTCGCATTGTCGGTATGTCGCATTGTCTCCCTTTGGATGAATGAAAAAAATATCATTCAAAGTGCGACAATGCGACAACGCGACAATGTCTCTTCTAGGATTCCATAGTCACCAAATCGCCAGCACTTGAGCATGTGTAGTCCCAAGTACTTAGAAAGTGTAATCGCAAATATAGCAATTCTTACATGTGGCAAGTTTCAAATTTCGGTCTGAGTTGACCTGTTGAATGTCTTTTACTATTTTATATTATGCTTGTGTCACACCTGGCCATTTGTTGTTGAATCTACATAACTCAAACATTAAGATGACTCTAAATTGCAGCTGGACGAACACAATCAAACAATTCATTACTTAAAGATTACACATAAACATATTATTGTCAGTTTATCAGCCTTTACGTTTGTTTTGTTTAAACAATTTTACACTTTGACAAACCGATATTTTGTTGAACACCTTGCTGATTTATACGAAACACTAATGTTGCCACCTTTGTAGCATAAAGTATTTTTTCAGCAAAAGTGCTTCGAATAGTTCTCTCGTTGCTTCGATTATTTCCTCGTTGCTTCAACTGTTTTCTCGTTGCTTCAACTGTTTTTCTCGTTACTTCGATTATTTTGTTGTTTCAACTATTTTCTCGTTGCTTCGAATATTTCCTCGTTGCTTTAACTATTTGCTTGTTGCTTCAACTATTTTCTCGTGACTTCAAGTTTGTGTCAAAAACTTGAAATTTCGAGTATTGACTCGTTACTTCGAGTATTTCCAATATAAACACTATATGACTTTCCCCCGCTGGATCATAGCAGAAAACCTTGCACAGTGCTAAGGAACATCATGATAAAACATATTTTTGGAGTGTGCCCGATTTTGGGGTCCATTTTCCGAAAAAATCCACGATGGTGTTTAAGATGGCCGCCCAAAATCAAGGATTTCCAATTCTAACACTATATGACTTTCCCAGCTGGATTGAAGCACAAAACCTTCAACAGAAGTAAGGAACATCATGATAACACATGTTTGTGGGGTGTGCCCGAGTTTGGGGGCTTATTTTCCGAAACATTCAAGACGGCCGCCAAAACTCAAAGAGTGCTGAAGTCCACTCAGAATTGTCGCGACTATAAAAAATCTTCATTTGTTGCAATATGTTAGATATATTCGTCGTTCAAAGGGCTATTTCTAATATAATATTTCTGTCCACTTTTCAAAGTTTCGTGCTTTAGTCTGCCAAGTACCGGTATCTATTTTCACCCCTTGCCACTGCACTACACTGGACCTCGAACAGTACAAATTCGAGTTGGTCTGTTCCCTTCTCTAAGGATGTGGGCGGTGGGGTAGCCTAGTGGTTAAAGCGTTCGCCCATCCCGCCGAAGACCCGGGTTCGATTCCCCACATGGGTACCATGTGTGAAGCCCCTTGCTGTCGTGACATTGCTGGAATATAGCTAAAAGCGGCGTAAATCCATACTCACTCACTTCTTCGAAAATGTACACCTGGAAAATGTTAAGCACCCCCATGTATGTTGACCGCTAACAGAACTATGTTCAAGTTCAGCTTCGATATGATGGATGATTTCTTCTTTTAGGCATTTTAGAAGTTACGATGAAGGAAAAGTTCTAAGGATTGTCATCTTCTTTATTCCACCGAAACGTCGCATTCATAATTTGTTTTCCTTCATGATGGATGATGCAAGTGATAATGTTAATTTAAGAGCCTATTGCAAGTTGAAAGTGTCTCCCAAACACACTCTTTGGTGCATGTCCAGATGCAAACCCACCAATTGTCACAAGCGTCCGCTCGTCACGCCGAAGGCTGGAGTATTGCTAAAAGCGGCGTAAAATCATACTCACTCACTAAACATGTTCAACATCTTCCGCGAAAGAGACCACCACTCAAAAGGATTTGTCATTTACTCGATGTTGATGTATCACTCACTCAAAGGTGTAACTTTGTATGAAACATGCATGCCCGAAAACATACGCCAATCCGGTCATAGCATGCATTTCCTACTGTGTCTGCGTTTATTTCAAATGCGTAAACTCCGACTTTAGGTCCTGTGACAGTTGCCAGTCGTTTAGTCGGAAAATGCAGGGAAGCCAGTGAGCTGAAGGATCGCCCACGTTCTTGAGAACCCAGATTGTGAATACAACCACAAGCACTGTTCTGAAGCACCATTAGGTGCCATTTCGCCAGGAATCTATGGGAACAGTCTGGAATCGCCTGAGGAAAGCCGGGTACCACTCTAGAATGGTCAAGAAATACTGAGTTAAGCTTGGTGTTCATCACTTCAAAGCTGTAATCTGAGGATCTGGCGAAGATTTTTCCTTCTTCATGTAACTGATGACAGGGTTGCTGTACCACACCTTGATGACCATCCTGTGAACACAAGGTCAGTCTTTATGGACATCAATGCAAAGCCAATTCGTTCATGTGCCGTTGGTGATGGCTTACGTCAAGAAAGCGGTAGTAACTCTACATTGAGTCCACATCTCAATCCCACAGAACAAGTTCGGGACAATATGGGTAGCCGAATTCCACATAGAAATCATCTGGTACAAAACCGTGGTGCATTGGGGCAAGCCCTCCATCAAGAATGGAAAGCAATACCTCAGCGTCTGATACAGGCAAGGAGGATGGACGGGCGGGTGGAGAGGAGGGGACCTGGGTGAGGCAGGGAATTTATCACAGTTGGCGGAGGTTCTACACCTATTGACATTGTGCTCGGTTATTGAGACTTATATGATTTCTTGACTTTATATGCTAGAATCTTGAAAATGACGGGACTTTCTTGCGTCACACGACCAAGTTATCAGCATTGTTACTAGCACTGCAAATCTGAGTCATTGTTGCACTGTTTGCTTCTCTGAATGCACAATCGTTTCTTCACTTTTTTGTGTTTAGATTTCCAATTTATTTTAACTGAGGGTAAGCTTATTCAGATAGTAAATTAAATTGAGGTTTGGATCGTTTCCTTTGCTGTGGTTAATGGTCACATATTGATACTATGAAAAATAGGGGGTGTTACAATGCATTTTCTATGTGTATATGTATGCGGTTTGCCAGATCCAGAAGAACTAGCTCGGTGATCGATATATTAGATATCCTTCAGGTTACCTTCCACAGATGGTATGATGTACTGAAAACTAGCTCAGTTTGTAGTTACAGCAATAGATATGTTCATAATGTCCTACAAGCCTCTTCGCCTTATTCGGTCTGTGTTAAAGTCAGAAGGGGAGGTGAGGTAGCCTTGTGGTAAAAGCGTTCGCTTATCCCGCCGAAGACCCGGGTTCGAATCCAGATATTGGTACACTGTGTGAGGCCCATTTCTGTTGTTATTAGCCATGCTATTGCTGGAATATTACTAAAAGCTTCGTAAAACCATACTCTCTCACTCTAAGTCAGAATCTTCGACCTCTCTTATATCGATAATACACACAGTTCAATCAGTGGCTGAATCGTGATGAGTGGATGGTTAGTCATGTTGTACGTGTCATCATCAACTGTGATGTCCACATGAGACGCGGTTAAAGCGTTCGCTCGTCACGCCAAAAACCAGGGTTCGATTCCCCATATGGGTACAATGTGTGAAGCCCATTTCTGGTGTCTCTTGCAGTGATGTTTCTGGAATAATGCTTAAAGTGGCGTAAAACCATACTCACTCGCTCCACATATGACATCCTGGGCACATCGCAGCACCACGACTATCGTATGTCTGGGTGAAAGTATGGCAAGTATGATCACAGTGGCGCTGAAATCGTTCTGCGGAACGGGGACAGGGATCTGTCTCTGAGAACATGCTCTCACTTATTTCAAAAACAGATTTGATCAGGGTTCCGTTACTAAAATAGCTGAAATCCTCGTTTGTTTGTGACAGTGACAAAAATGATGTCCGATGCAATTCCATATTTTGACTTATACCGTACGATCCCGAATTATTTCAGGTGAACAATTGACTAGACTTAGAGATATGTTTATGACGGGTGCCACCGGTGGGACAGGATACGCTCACCTTTTCGCGAACACCTGGTATCATCATTATTTCATAGTGATTCATAAACACATGCTCTGTTATCGTATCGCACGGTGACAATCACTTAATTGTCTGGTTCAGACTCGATTTGTTTACAAACAACATCTTACAGTTGTAATAATGCTGAAACAAATATCTGCTCATGATATTTTCACAATTGTTATCAACTCTGCTTTTGGCAGAGATCTCTTATGAATGTGGAAAGGGTTTTGTACCTTCTATTTGAATGTCCCCCACGATTCTCTTTACAATATTTGCTGAATCATTCATAACCCCGCGTCATTTTCACCAAACCGGACGCTGAATTGTATACCTACCTTTACCATTACAGACAACAAATCATGTCGATACAGAAACGAGTGTTGGTGTTGGGTGCAGGCAGGGTGTCGGGGCCGTTGTACGAGGACTTGGCCGGGGAGAAAGACGTTGTCGTCACTGCAGGTGAGAAGCTCACAGATCATATTGTTGTAACTGGCGTGTGAGTAAATATTGTTTTACGTATAGACTTTCCACAAAGGCCCTCATGTGAATGAACATGCTCAGGTCGGCGTGACGAATGAATGTTTCAGTGTCTATTGAATAGTCGAATTCCTCTGTTATTGAAAACGTGCATACGCACAGTATGAGATGGGAAAAAATTCTTTACATATGCAACATAATATTTTCAAGAAATCCTAACTCTTTTACATGGAGGTTCGCCTGTACAAAGGGAAACAAATTTCTCTGAGGGAGACATTGGATGTTTAGTATTTTTCTGACATTGTTCATGGCATATTTTCATCATGCCTTGTTATTGATTCCGAGTATTATGTCAAGTTAGTTTAGAACTTCTCAAGATTTAGCAAACATGACAACTGACTGTTCAATACTTCCAGTATATAAATCTGATCATTTAGCAATTACCATGTCTTTTTCTAATCAACTTAATAAGGAACGGGGTGGTGGATACTGGAAATTAAATTCATCATTACTTTATAACCAAGAATATGTAAACATAGTCAAGGATATGCTTTTTGAAACAAAATTAGAATACTGTAACTGCACTGAGGATGAACTAGGTGATATTGAAGATTCAAAACTACAACTTAATATAAGCGACACTTTGTTCTTAGAAACGTTTTTAATGAAAGTAAGGGGGAAAACAATATCATTCTCTTCCTACTTAAAAAAAATCATAACTGAAAAAAGCAAAAATTTAGAAGGAAAAATTTGGCAATGGAAAAAGAAATCAGAGGAAATTTTCAAATCATATGTGAAACTAAACTTTCTGAACTATCCAAATGTGAATTAGAGTTTGAAAAATTAAAAGAAGATGAAATAAGAGGTATACAGATAAGAAATAGAATTCAGTGGTATGAGGAAGGAGAAAAAACAACCAACTATTTCTGTCATCTGGAAAATAGAAATATACCAGTAAGCTTTTGAATAGTGTTATCAATGACAAGGGGAAGTAATATCAGATGGTAAGGCTATATTAAATGAACAAAGACAATTTTATGAAAATCTCTACTCATCAGGTGGTAAAATAACAGATAAATATAGTAATGTATTTGATGAGATTATTACACCCAAACTGCACACTGTACAGGCTGAAAATCTTGAGGGTGATATTACTATAGATGAAATAACACGAGCCATTAAATCAATGAAAAATAACAAAAGCCTAGGAGTAGATGGTTTCCCAATACAATTTTTTACATTTTTCTGGAAAGATCTTCATATTTGGGTTTGTAGATATATATCAGAAGCATTCAGGCAAAATATATGTTAAGTCCAACAATAAACACAGGCGTCATCACATGTATTCCAAAAGCTAACAAAAATAGACAGTTGTTAAAAAACTGGCGCCCAATTTCCCTACTAAATTCTTTGTATAAAATACTCAGCACATGTATAGCCAATAGAATTAAAAAAACATTGAATACTCTTATTCATGAAACTCAGAGAGGTTTTGTACCTGGAAGGTGTATTAGTGAGAACATTAGATTATTATACGACATTATGTTTGGAGCAAAAGCACAAGATAAAAAGGGACTCTTGTTACTTATTGACTTTGAAAAAGCTTTTGACACTGTCTCTAAAGAATTTATAATTTTAACAATTGGAAAGTTTGGCTTTGGACCAAATATGGAAAAATGGATCAAAATATTAATAAATAATGCTCAGCATGTGTTATACAGAATGGTCATTTATCACAATTTTTTGACAATGAAAGGGGTTGTAGACAAGGGGACACAGTCTCTCCCTATATATTCATCTTAGTGGCTGAAATTTTAGGAATAATGATCCGTAACAACACTGCAGTAAAAGGAATTACATTGAATAACACTGAACATAAAATTGGACAGAAAGTTTAAGGGCAGCCACTGATACTCTCAATAATTTCTACAAAATGTCTGGTTTAAGAATAAATATAGATAAAACGAAAGCAGTATGGATAGGCTCAATATCAGGTAATAGCATGATTTTATGCCAGGATCTTAAGCTTGGTTGGCATAATGGGGATTTTGATATTCTAGGAATAAGACTGAATCCTAATTTTAATAACCTTTGGGTAATTAATACCAAAAAAAAGACTAGAAATTTTTGATAGAACTCTAGGGAATTGGAGGAAAAGAAAGTTGACATTAATAGGGAAAATAACTGTTATTAAAACTTTAGCACTTTCATCATTGGTGCATATATTCACTTCACTCCCAAATCCTCCAAAGGAATTCATTGATAAATTAAACAATATATTTTATAAATTCATCTGGAATGATAAGCGGGATAAGATAAAGCGAACGACACGTATTAGAAAATATGAAGAGGGGGGACTCAGAATGGTTAATGTACAGGTATTCATAAACTCTTTAAAACTATCAGTTTTACATAAATATCTTCAAAATAATAGCAGTTCTAGCCCTAGTATCTTTCCGTTGAAAGACATATACTGTATATTTCTGCTTGGAGCCAATATTGAAAATTATGTCAGTATTATGAATCCCTACTGGAAAGATGTATTGGCTGCATGGGGAATATTCTATAAACACTTAAAACTGATTTTACAGATATTGATCAAATCTTATCCCAACCCCTTTGGTTCAATCACCAATTCCAAATTAGTAATTTCATTATAAGACATTGGCATCTCAAAGGTATTCACTCTATAAGAGACTTGTGTAATGATAAAGGTATTTTGCCATTTAGTGAACTTAAGAAAACTTACAAAATTAAAGGCACAATTCTTGACTATTATCAGGTTCTTTCAAATATACCCCAAAAATGGAAAGATACTGTAAGAAAGAATTCATTGATTGTTCATAATCATTATCTTAACACATCACTGATAGATTTACTTTCAGCACCAAAGAGATCCAGATATTTCTATGATAAACTTATAACTACTGAAAACCTACCTTCAACATGTGAAAAATGGCAAAATATCTTTGATATTGCAATTCCATGGCAAGATATTTTTAGAAAATATACAAGATATACAAAAGATACTAAATTGATTGACTTTCAGTTTAAATTTATCCACAATATTGTCTACACAAAGAAAGAATTATTGAGAATGAAATTAGTAGATGATGAACTTTGCTCATTTTGTAATTTAATGTCAGAAAAATTGATACATGTTTATTGGGAATGTGAGTGTGTGAAAACGTTCTGGCTGAAAGTGAAAGAATATATTGAAGTTAAATCATCAAAACAATTTACCCTGACAAAATATACTGTCTTACTTGGCGGAAATAATAACGACCTAATGAATCACATACTTCTTGCCAGTAAAACATATATCCATATATCAAGAATTAAAAAAAATAGGTTATCACTGGATACATTTGTAAAAATATTGAGTGATATTTTCAAGACAGAAAAGTTTATTGCCAGTAAGAATCAAAACATATTACAATTTGACAGAAAATGGTCATCTCTACTGCACACATTCCCAGCTTAATGAAGATTCCAATATGTGTAATGCCAACCCATATGAATATCTGTTTTACGGTGTACAAGTGCTGTTACATCATGTACTTTGTATATTTGTATCTACTGATTCTGAATGAATAAAAAAAAAAAAAAAAAAAAAGTTAGTTTAGAACACCTGTTCTTACTTTAGCCTGTAAATTTTTATCCATTCAAAAGTCGTTTATTGGATGCAGTTTACAAACAATTGTATGTAGAATATATTTAACTGAATGATCATTGACGAATTTTCTATCTCCTCTGCTGAAACGATGTAGTTCAATACTGGGGTATATACATGAGTTACTGAGTTACGCCGCTTTTAGTAATATTCCAGCAATATCACGACGGGGCACAAGGAAGGGGCTTCACACATTGTACCCATGTAATGAATCGAACCCTGGTCTTCGGCGTGACGAGCGAAGGCTTTACCCAATAGGCTACCCCACCTCCCAATATATACTATAAATAAGTTGCCCCATTTATAATTACTTCTAAACACACTTAAATAAGATGTTCATTTACCCAAACATGTTATGAACATTTTTCTTTTTTTTCCAATTGTAGTGAAACAGTTTTCCAGAAACGAAAGTTTATCTAGGTACATTTTTTTCTAACATTGGGGCATTTGATATTCTCCATACCTGGTGTCAAATGTGTTATGACTTCATCTGAAATATTTTTCCCAAACAACTTTAGTTTGTATTAAGCCTATGGATAGAATGTGCTTTTTGTAAAATACATTCAGTGCCTGTAAAGGCTGAAAAAATGCCTTTTGGTCGGTTTTATTGGATATAGTTGGTGTTTTGTACAATGGTATGTTGTGTGTAAAACAGATCATATTAAATGTTTTGGTCTGTTTCAGACTCGATTTGTTTACGAACAACATCGTACAGGTGTAATACTGCTGAAACAAATATATACTCATGATATAGTCATGATTGTACAATCTGCTTTTAGCAGAGATTTCTTATGAATGTAGACAGGGTTTTGTCGCTTCTCTCTATTGAAATGTTATTTGTGATTTTCGGGGAAGACCGGGGTTCGATTCCCACATGGGTACAATATGTGACGGCCATTTCTGGTGTGTCCCGCCGTGCTAAGAGCGCCGTAAAACTAAACTCACTCACTCACTATTTACGACTTTCAGCGAGCAGGGGTAAGCTGAAGTTGGAGAAAGTGAGGCAGCTCTGTCCAAGTGCCAGGCTGGAGTGTGTGGACATCACTGAGGACACGGATACCAGGGATATGCTGATCGCCGAACACGACATCGTTGTCAGGTAGTCTAAATATGCCAGAAATCTTTCATGAGTCAAAATCCTATTATCAAATTGAAAAGCTACTCAAATGGCTACTTCTTCCTATTAAAACGAAAATATACCGGCACACCTGATAACGAGGAGGGGAACCTAGATTAAGTCACAAATATTGACATGAAATTAAGTGGAAGCAGCACAGAAATGTGAAGGCTCAAAAAGTTTGAAAGAATGTGCATAAACATGAATTATCAACGGAAAAGATATCTTTTAAAAATTAGCGCCCACTAAGTCAACTGGATGTAGATTTTAAAATCGACTCAAGTGTCATTATCATTAGAGTAAAAGGTGTTTTAAGTTGTATAATAAGCGAAACTCAAACAGGTTATTTACAAATACATTCATAGGTAATAAATTGCGTTCCTTCTTCCAACAGTTGACAGTGAAAAGGCTTTAGAAGCCCTTTGAAGGAATCTCAGTGATCTTGCCTTACAGACCTTCAAGTTTAGTCACTATATCAGAAAGTGGGTAAAACTTTTCAAATATGCAAGTTCAAGCGCGACTACCAATTCAAGACATACATCAGATTTGTTCATGCTTGGTAGAGGATGTTGACCAGGAGATCAGCTATCACCATATATATTTATTGTATGCGCAGCTCCTCTCCATTGCAAGCAAACTTAAAATGTCATCGTCAAAGATCAACAATATTGTATATTTCAGTATTCCGATGACTCAAATATTACATTACATGGTTCAGAAAACAGCTTATCTGAACTGGTTGAAATATGTTTTTAAAATGCTGTCTACTCAGCTTTAGTAATAAACTATGACTAACCTAGAGCTATAAGAACGGGATCAAATAAAGGATCAAACAAACAACTCTTCCCACATATACCACTGTGCTAGTCAAACGAACCGTTTCAAATTTATAGTTGTTGCATAAAGTATATAAAAAAATGTATATATAATGTGTGAAAAACAGTTTTCTAAAGCTGGGCCACAACAGGCGTTTTTGCGTTGAGGTATGCATTGCTGTGACAAAAAACGGACAGGACAAAGATACGTGTATATCATTTTTTCGATCAAGGTCACCCTGAATGTTGTGGAGATTAAATTACCATATAAACAGTGTGGGTGATTAAATGCAGTGATGTGCATTCTTCACTATATATTCACTACATATCGAGGCTTCGCAGCACTGAGACGTCGTATCGCGTAATGACAGCGATGGTGATGTGTTCTTAAGACGTCAAAGATAGGGCCATAGATAGAGTCACGTGATCACATTAGCCCCGCCCACTCTAGGTTTGAGGCGTCCAAAGGGGGGAGGGGGGGGCCTTTTGTGAACGTTTTTATAGGCTTGTATGGATAGGGATTACATGATGTTATATGAGTGAGTGAGTTTACTTTTACGCCGCACTTGATATTATTGGAATATTCCTCAGGTTCAGACAGGTTGGAATTAAACAATTGGCTTGTTTGGGCGATCTTTCTGACCGATTAGTGAACTCGTTTCATTTGTTGAAAGAAAAGGGTACATTTTAATCATCAATATTCCAACTTAATTTCACTGTTGTATCACGGGTCATCAGAAATGGGCTTCACACATTGTACCCATGTGGGGAATCGAACCCGGGTTTTCAGTGTGACCAACGAACGCTTCAACCACAGGGTTAGCCCACCTACCCTGGTTGACAGGGGTGTTCAATATAGACATCACCAATTGTGACAGACAGCAATAATGCTCAGAATATTTCATGGGTAAAAATATTTTACGCTTGCAGAAGACACTAGGTAATAACTGCACACCAAATCATTATAGATTATGGTTAGCTAACCCAGAATATATAAGAAATATTATTGTTCCTAACAAGAGGAATACTTTTTCGAAAGATGTCGTCATCGCATATAGATTACATTTAAACAAACAGTACAAGACATTGAATACAACTGATTTCCTGAAGCAATCTGTTTGGTTTAATAGCTTATTTGAAGTTGGTAACGAAACTTTTTTTTATTTAAAACAATGGTACAATGCAGGGATACACTTGGTTTATGATTTGATGAACTCACATTCATGTGATACATGTATACACATGAAGAATAGCAGGATGGTTTTAACACTGAAATAAATAGCCTTAGATATCAAAGCAAAAAATCAGCCGTCAAAGAATGTTTGAGGAAACATCATATTTCTCCCTTAAACCCTGTACCCTCTTCTCCAACAATGTCTTTCAATATATCACAACTTATGAAGAACAGCAAGGTACTAGATATTTTTATCTTTCCCTTCTAGAACCAAGTTACGAAAAACCATATGTGCACAAATGTGGGAGAGCGTTTTTTGTTTAAAAGAAAATATGATAGTGAACTGGAAAAAAGACTGATAATTGCTTTGTGTACCTTTTGTTCAACGACCACCTCCGTGGTGTAGTGGTTAGAGCGTCCGTCCGGAGAGCGGAAGGTCGCGGGTTCCATCCCCGACCGCGTCATACCAAAAGACGTTAAAATATGGTACTTGTTGGTACCTGCCTGACGCTCGGCATTAATGGGTACAACAAGGACTGGTCGGCTCGGAGTCAGTATACTGTGTCTGAGTGGGGTATTCATGCTTCACTGCGGCATGGTATCTCAGTGGGCTAGCACTATAAAACCAGCCTCAGTCTGGGCTAGTACAAGCAGCCGCACATACACATACGCACGCATGCACGTCGTCATATGAGCGAAATATTCTCAAGCACGACGTTAAACCCAATTTCACCTCACCTCACCTTTTGTTCAAAAGAACCAGAAACAATCGTTCACCTTTTAGTGAATGTAGCCATGTAAAAGAAATATGGAGTGATTTGGCTACATGGCTTAAAACTGTAGCGAAAGGTAAAATTGAATTTAATTCAGAAAAATATCTTGCTTGGATTTTAAAGGAAGAAATAATAATTCCTTAAATGCCATGTCTTGTTGTCAAGCAAGTTATATATACCCAGCGGTTAAAAGAAACAATTCCAAATTCAACAATGTACAGAGAGAGATAATCAGATACTATGAAGCAACAAGATTAAGTGTTTTTTCAACATGCACAAATGATAAGTTGTGTACATTCTAGTCATCATTCCATAATTCATTTAAAAGAACCTAGTATTTTCTTTACTTGTATCTTTGATTGTGGCTGTATTCTGATCCACCAAAAAAGTCTTTCAAGCATTCATATCATAAAATTGGGTATAGTATCTTCTGTTATTTATTAAGTTCATGTTATCTGTAAATCATGCCATTAATAGCTTCAGCCTGTCATCTGTATCTGTACTTGTATCCTATATTCTGAACCACTCAAAAAATCTTTCAAGCATTTCATGTCATATAATTGGGTATAATATCTTCTGATATTTATTAAATTAATGATATGTGTAAATCATGTCATGAATAGCTCCAGTCATCTGTATCTGTACTAGTTTCATTGATGTTTATACTTTGGAAAATATAAGTGGAACATCTTATACGCTGTATAACACTCAGTGGAAATAAAAATATAAAACAATTTAAATATCCTACATAGACATAGACACAATTTTGCAGACAAAATTGGCATCAAAAGAGAAATCGAATCTTATAATAAGACCGACTATGAATTAAATTCGCTTATTGACATAAATTCGATTACATTATTTACTCAAAATTTAAATGTTGATGAGACATGTGGTCTTGTCGATAAAGGCCCGAATGAACCCAAACCAAAGTATTATTTTTTCGTTAAATGGACAAATATTAGTATGATTACAGTTAAAAAGAGAAAAAATCCGGTAAAGAGACAATTTTTTTAAAAAGCAAGAAAATGCAGTAAGGAAAATGACATTTGGTCGTATACAAGTGAGTGAGTGAGTGAGTGAGTGAATGAGTAAATATCGTTTAACCCCGCATCAGAAATTGTGCAGCTGTTGGCGTAAACAAACCAGAGGTACAAACTAAATAATTTGCAATGTCCGGCTGAAGAGCTTTTTTTTAACATCGATGAGTTCCTATCACAACTACAAGTCGAAAACGTAGGGCGTATAAATAAATGGTGTGTGGTATATCACGCCAAGCCGTAAGATGGTTCACTATTTAGATAGTATGTAATCGTAGCCAACATGTCTTTGTGAAACATCCTGATTAAGTATTCTGATCCCCTGCGGATCCACAGGGATCCATGTCTGCTACTTTATAGATGGGCGAAACCTTGGCTGATAACTCGCAAAGAAAACGTTAGAGGTTACGTCTTATAGATACCCAAATGAATATATCTCAGGGGCGGATACAGCATTTTGAGAAAAGTGGGTACACACTTTATTTTCACGAGAGTTTCAATGGTCATTTCATAAACTTTCAGGACACCCCAACCCCTTTACATCTGAGAACTGTAGACCCGTGAAGATCCGGGGTAGAATAGGTCTTTCAGCAACCCATGCTTGCCACAAAAGGCGACTATGCTTGTCGTAAGAGGCGACTAACGGGATCGGGTGGTCAGGCTCGCTGACTTGGTTGACACATGTCATCGGTTCCCAATTGCGCAGATCGATGCTCATGTTGTTGATCACTGGATTGTCTGGTCCAGACTCGATTAATTACAGACTGCCGCCATATAGCTGGAATATTGCTGAGTGCGGCGTAAAACTAAACTCACTCACTCTGAGGACTGTAGCATTTCCATATATGTACTGAAGCATTTACAATTGTGTATTGTAACATTTACAAAAATGTATTGAAGCATTTATATTTAGGTACTGTATCATTTGCAGCTTGGTGCCCCTTCCCTTGGTACCAGACATCGCGCGGGCCTGTGTGTCCCTCAAGAAGCACCTTGTGACCCCCTGCTATGTTGACCCGGAAGTACAAAAGCTACACAAGGAGTAAGGCCAAACGTTACGTTGAACTTCATTTACTGTGTCCCTCGGACGTACAAGAATTCTGCCATCGTGGTATGCACCATCCATGTAGGCTTCAAACAGTGTAGACCCGTGAAGACCCGGATGTTCACGGGTGTCCCTACAGAGCTCAGCTTGCATTGTGATTCTAGGATAACCTGTACATCATTCTGACCTGAGGATGCGTCAGCTAAATATGCCACGGGCAATTTGATGATGCGTACAACTGTACAGCATTTTGCATAAGGTTCAACACAACCCATTGGTTGGCGGCGGGGTAGCTCATCACGCTGATGACCCGGGTTCGAATCCCCACATGGTACTATGTGTAAAGCCTATTTCTGGTGCCCCCCGCCGTGATATTGCTGAAATAATGCTAAAGGCGGCGTAAAACCATAGTCATTCACTCACTTGCTACCCACCGGTATCAGTAACATTGTATGTTAGAACAAAATGTTGACACAGAGTCGACGTTTTATATAAATTACAATAATTATATGAACAATATTGCTGAATCAGAAAATGGCAGAGAGAAGACATATATGGAGTTTTAATTGCCTGTCTATGAAGGACTCTTCACACGGAAGACAATGTTTTCACTAACACTGGTTTGTTACAGGGCAGCGGATGCTGGTTTGACGATCCTCTGTGAGCTAGGAATCAACCCCGGCATGGATCACATGGGCGCCACCAGGACGTTTGACGACATCAAGCGGAGGGGAGGAACGGTGTGGTGAACCCCACTGCTACATCTACTACTGCTGCTACTACTGCGACTGCTGCAGCTGCTGCACTGAGAGTACCACCATTGCTGCTTTTGCAAATACTACCACCATGGCTATAATACTGCTACTGCTGCTGCTACAAAAACCACACCGCAACGCGAGAGGGCACTACTACCTCTGCTACTGACATTCTGTATCGGCTACTGTAACTACAGTCAATATCACTACGCGTGACGTCATGGTATACCAGCTAACGTCATTCTGTACCAGCAACTGCAGCTGTCAATATCACTATGTGTGACGTCATGGTATACCAGCTACCGTCATTCTGTACCAGCTACTGTAACTACAGTCAATATCACTACGCGTGACGTCATGGTATACCAGCTAACGTCATTCTGTACCAGCAACTGCAGCTGTCAATATAACTATGTGTGACGTCATGGTATACCAGCTACCGTCATTCTGTACCAGCTACTGTAACTACAGTCAATATCACTACGCGTGACGTCATGGTATGCCAGCTAACGTCATTCTGTACCAGCAACTGCAGCTGTCAATATCACTATGTGTGACGTCATGCTATACCAGCTACCGTCATTCTGTACCAGCTACTGCAACTGCAGCCGTCATGTTGTACTAGCTACCGTCATACTGTACCAGTTACTACAATATTGCTGTCAATATCACTACGTGTGACGTCACTACTACAGCATCTACTGTCTTTATATACCGGCTACTGCAACTACTGACGAGTCTACTGCCAGTTTGATACTATCACTAATTGTAAGTTATTAACAGATCACCGTCATATAGCTGGAAAACAAACAAACAAAAGCACTCTGAACTGTGCAATTATTCATTGAGCACCACACACACACACACACACACACACACACACACACACACACCGTATATCTTCCGCCCGGTCATTATAACCACCATTTCGACCCAATACATCACGTGACCGGTAATACACTGAGAAAAGCAAGTAAAGAAACATCGGAAAATTCAAGCGTTCCTTTAACTTTTTCCAGTTTTCATCACAAGCTTAGAATATCGCTGTGGGAGGAAATCTGAGAGTAAATGAAGGAACACTCCCATGAAGTGGTGTTCCCTTATTTGTTTCCCTCAGTATATGAATACAGTGACCATTTTAAAAGTAAGGAAACATTCCACCAAGATAATGTCACGCGTCGTAAACAAGACACCATTTTCTTTTTCAGATTACTTCCTATGAGCTGTGGGGTGGAGCACTTCCGGCTCCGGAAAGCGCAAACAATCCCCTCAAGTACAAATTTAGGTACGCAGATGAGAATTTGGCGGATCAGAACGACGTCAAATGTCACTCACTCGTATGCGCCTTGTTCCTTCTATACATTAAAACCAACAATTCAGTTTATGGTGTGAGACATCCATTTTCAGGTATTATGAAAACCGTCATCGATTGTAAGATGCATATGATTATCACAATGCCAAAGAAGTGGAACAACAAAATTAACGTTTGTCTTCCTAAATATGTTTATATTTCACCGTTACCGAGTGCCAGCATAACGACCATTGAAGGGTGGGTAGGTTTTGTCCCCTTTAAGCGATATTCATGGGTTATTTATCAATAGACAGAAACAAGTTTTTGAAACGGAACCCGTTCATCATTTTGGAAATTCATTCTTGACCCACTCGTGCTATTTCGGATAAGCCGAATAGCGCTTACGGAAAGGGACGAGTGGTGACGAATGGGAAATTCCGTGACAGCAACTTCCTCAAGTCAGAACATATGGCTTGATGCAACGACAAAAGACTCTACAGAACGTTAGAGGGACCTGAGCTTTGTAATTGATAACATTATTTCTTATTTTGTTAATTTGTGTAATAAAGTTGCAAAAAGAAAGATTAATTCTATATTTAAATATGTGAAATGGTTATGTCTAATTCAGCTGGTGCCCTCGGAACGCTCTCTGGAAGTACACAAAGCCCAGCGCCTACATACAAGACGGAAAGGTAAGATCCATATGCATTTTCACCTGGCGATAGTTTGTTAAAATCCAACTTTTTAGCTTACCCGAATTTACACAGAGCAGGGAAAAAATTAAGAGAAGCAAAATATTTATGAGGTTTGCGCTTGTTTTAAAATGTGGCCTCTTGCAACCTTGACCTTGGATAAATGTCAGCTACATTTAAGAGGTATTAAGACCACAGGAGGGAGTCACATGGGTCTCCTTTTCCCAACAGCATTGAAAGTAGCGTTGACATATGATTCAGTTGTCAACTGATATTGATAAAAACGCAAAATCCTTTTCTATCAGAAATATCCCTGAACCCCAAGGGATATGCCATGTGCACGTCATATTGTGACCTCTGCTTTCTTGCCTGCGAAGGTCATGCCACATCCAATCAGATTTGACGTGTGTCAAGTTTTGTCAGATATCCATAAAACAGCGGATGATGATCCTAAAGTGGATCGACATGTGATTTAGGCGTGTCATGAAACCTCCATTCCTAACCCAGCGTGGGCCACGGGTGCTTCGTGTGGGGCCTCAATTAAGTCTGGAGAGTTGTGTCCCTTGGGCTCGCCACAAATCTATAGTAGTGGGTTCGAATCCCGGTTTCCCCCGATTGTGTTTCTAGGTTTATCATCACTGGAATACCGTTCAAAGCTGTGTTAGATCCATCTCACTCACTCACTTCTAATCCACAGATGACGGAGCTTCCAGCAGGAACTGCAGTAATGGAGTCTGCACGTAGCGTCGACATTGGTCAGGGCTTCCAGTTGGAGGTCTTTCCGTACGGCTTCAGCCCCAGACTACTCACGTTGTACGGAATAGAGACAGTGCAGACATTCTTCAAGGGATCAATGAGATACAGGGTACGTAGATCTCGGGGACATTCCATCAATGTGGTTGAGATGATGGGAGGGAGGCATTGAGGTCGAGTTCAAGTAAACCTATATGTAGCAACTTGTGTGTATCCCTGTAAACAGCAGTGTGCAAGCATCCTGACGATAAACCCGAGAAGATCCGGGTTAGAATTGGTCTTCAGCAATCCATGCTTGTCGCAAGAGGCGACTAACGAGATTGGGTAGATCGATGCTCATCCTGTTGATCACTGGATTGTCTGGTCAAGACTCGATTATTTACTGACCGCCTCCATCTAGCTGGAATATTGCTGAGTTTGGCGTTGAACAACAAACAATCAATCTTGACGTGAGTTGCAAAATATCGATTCTGGACCAGACAATCAGTGGTTCATGTCACGTCTAAAGTATCGCACCTTTGGGCAAGACAAAGTAGTGCATTGTGCACAGCCACTCCCAGGAATTGGAATACTTGGATTGGCGTGGGGTCCCGATGTTCGCAAGGCCCCGGCTCAACTCTCCAGCGTGCCCATGCGTTAAGATGGCCCTGCCATCGGGTACAAAGCCACTCAACCAAGTCAACGAGGCTTGCCACCCATCAATTAAGTCTACTCTAACGACCAACGTAGTTTGAAAGGAACTTATTCTACCTTGAACCCATACAGGGTCCTGTTCAAGAGTCATCGTTGTATAATAATTCATTTTGTCTCCTCCACAGGGCTTCAGTGCAAGCATACTAAGCTTGATGAAACTAGGCCTATACAGGACCACTAACCATGACCTACTTGGCACCGATGCACGAGGAGTTTCATGGGTACGCAAGATAATTACATGTGTAATATACTGTATATATCCTTTTTGATAACCTATGCATCACGGATAATGGCAAATGTATGCCAGGGAGGATGGTGGCATGGTCATCATTATGGACATTTCAAATACAACATTTAACATACAGAACAATACAAGCATGATTTCTGTTTTTTAGTTAATCATGTTATTGTTCTGTTCAGGTTGTGATATGAAACTATTGCATTACGTTCATCAACATATTGCACTTATTTGTAAGAATCCTATCCTTATATGACCAGGGCTCCAGATACTTTTTGAACACCAGGAGTACGTACTCCTTATATTTTCAACATAGGAGTACTCGAAAACCTTAAGCCTACATTTGGAGTACTGAATGGAATTTAATAGAGTATCAGTAATCTTGTTTTTCGTTTCATATATGCACCAGAACATTGCTACTCTTGTGTAAACAGGTCAATATACAATAAAACAATACTTTTTCAGATAAATACGTCTGTAAATGATTCTAAGACCGTACACCACTGCCGTGGTGCGTATCTGCTACGTTTTAGAAATTATTTCCTACCGTATCGTGCAAATTTTTTATCCGTACATACGCCGATACGGCCCTTATCTGGAGCCCTGATGACTATTTATAAAGAAGTAAAAGAACATGCGATTCTTTTGTATGAGTATGGTAAATGTGTCATGGCTTCATGGCTAATAACTATAATATAACAGTTAATGTCTTTCATATTGTACCAAATACCCAGTTGAAACTGGACTTGTGGAGAAATATAATTCATTTACACATTACTGTGTCAGCATGTAAGTTTTTGGTACTGAGTGATTATTTCATTTTTCCGTAGAGAGACTACGTCTGCCACGAGCTGGGGCTGCAGAATGACGTCACAGATCAAACCCTGGAGTTGAAGGTCAAGGACAAACTAGGAGGAAGAGACCAATTGGAGATCGTTCAAAAGTATTTTCACGTGACCTTGCCTTTCACGTGACCTTGCCTTTCTCAGTAGTCCTTATACGTAACGGCGTTATTTTGGGGATAACACTTTCTTATTCAAGTATAAATACTAGTACATTTTGTGGTTGAGCTCCATCCTGGATTCGAACCCATATTGCCACAGTCGGTATCCTAATCGCTAACACTCAAAGTTAGCGACCAAGCCCACTCAGCCGCCAGCTTCCACAACTGGACGTCTGCCAACTGGTAGTGTAGATAGATACTTTGTGTGCCCCTCTGACAAGTGTCAATTGGTGGTAAGGTCTAAGATATGTATCATTTCGAACGTTCCAGCAGCGTCAGTTTGACTACACCTGATACAACAGCAATACCGTTCAAGGAAGCGTTAAACTATGAAGGGCATGCTTTTAGTATCATAGATACAATAGATATCAATGGAAGTGAACAGGTCATGCCAAATGTAGGTTTACTAGTGAATGAACTTCCAGAAGACATTTGGTTCCAGGTCCTTCAAACACTATGCATCCGTGCTATGTAACTCTCCTCTTGTTCACCTCTGATAGGCTGCTTCCTTGGCTGTAAAACTGGCCTAGTGACTCTTGTTCACCTCTGATAGGCTGCTTCCTTGGCTGTAAATCTGGCCTAGTGACTCTTGTTCACCTCTGATAGTCTGCTTCCTTGACTGTAAAACTGGCCTAGTGACTCTTGTTCACCTCTGATAGGCTGCTTCCTTGACTGTAAAACTGGCCTAATGATCCATCTGTTCCTCAATTACTGAACATTGTTTATTGTTTTAGTTGTATGCTACTATATATCTATAATTTGAGTTAGTCACGATATGGCTGAAATATTAAAATCGTAACTCACTCACTCACTCATTAGTTGAGTGCGCTGAGAGCACGCCCGTGCGGCGTGGCATTAAGGGCTATATAAGTGGCCTTATTTTTAAAAAGGAACTTCAAAATTTGATTTACTCATGAATTGCATTTTGTAGACTTGGTTTTCTTGGATCTGAAGCAATTGAACCGAAAGGGACGCCATTTGACACCTTCTGCTGCTATATGGAGAAAAGACCAGATTTCATGCTGGGTATGTTCAGGCAAATATGCGGGTGAATACGGTAAATTTGATTCGTATATTTCAAGAGATACTTTAGGTGTCTGTCAAGATACATATCACGACTATTAAACAGAGATAATGTACCCCAGTATATTTGGAACAACTGAACCTTTAGCATTGCGGGTTCCAGTTTGGTTTCAGGCAGGCTGTGTTGGGCATAAGAGGTGACCAGATGGATTTCGGGTAAGGCTCGGTGACTCGGTTCATCCCGTGCCATCATACTCGAATGGCGTGGGGCCGTGTTCATTACATTAATCACTGGATCGTCTCGTTCAGTCTGGATAATGAAAGACCGCCACCATACAGCTTGAATGTATCTGGGGAAACAGATGGACAAACAATAGGCACACGCACGCACGCACGCACACACACACACACACACACTGGGCACCAGGCGAAAGGATCATCGTTTTCATTCAGGGACGAGTCTCTGTAACACACAATTCCACAATTAACACACAAAATAGGGGTTTTTTTTTTGTTTCTTTGCTTGGAACCAGCGTGACTGTCCAACTGATATCTATGTTGTAGGGTCGGACGACCGCGACGTGGGTCTGTTGGTCATGACGGTGATCGGACGTTTCCCCGACGGATCCAGCGAGACCCGGAAGCTGGGAATGACTGTGTACGGAGATCCCGGGAAGCACTCGGGCATGTCCAAAGTCGTCGGCTATAGTTTATCCAGTGCTGTCAAGCTGATACTAAATGGTAGGCGGGTTGACTGCTGAATGTATTTAGAAACATCGATACGTGATAACTGACAGGAATACCGCCCTCTCTATTGTGATCAGTGATGGCTGTTTTGATATTGTTGACTGGTCTCTTGTAAAGTCGAACCTACACGAGCAGACCATTCGTGACCAACTCGGGTTATTCCGGGACAAGCCGAAAATAAATGGAGGCTACGGAAAGGGCGATTGTGATGAATGCCAGTGAACTAGGCCAGTTTGTTGTAGATGGTGATTTGGACAACTATAAGCAAGTACCAGCTATGAAATCTTTGAATGGCATTCAGAAGTAAAGATCAGGGTTAGAATTGGTCCTAAGCAACCCAATCTTGTCTTAACAGGCGACTAACGGAATCGGGTGGTCATTCTCGTTGACTTAGTTGATACATTCATTGCATCCCACCGCGTAGATCGATGCCCGTGCTGTTGATCACTGGATTGTCTGGTCCAGACCTGTTTAACTACAGACCTTCGTATGTGGCTAAGTGTAACGTTAACAAAACATCCCAATGCACATAGCTTTAACAATAAATTATCAACGTCTTCATCACTTTCCTCAACATCAAGTTGATATAATGTGACTTAAATATTAGCTGAACAAAACCAATGGGTATATAACGCCGTGTCTCCTACATGCTAAAGATATTTCCCCTCCTAAGTACAGCGTTACATCCCGTTTCTGACGTCTCCCCGTAATGTTGCAGACAGCGGTGTCACTCATACTAACGCAATACTGTTTATGTTTCAGGGGAGATAACTGACCGAGGAGTCGTGATGCCCATTATCCGTAGTGTCTACAAACCTCTGTTTGCAGAGTTGGGAAAAAAGGGGATTGCCTTTGTCGAGAGAAAATAATTTCAGAAAAGCCATACAGTAAACTGAAAGGCATAAAAAGCTTCTCTCTGAGCGTTAAGATCAAGAAAAATAACCAAAAGCGAACATAATTGCTGTCGATACCTGTAAGACAGACCATCACTCCCAAATCACCAAACAATCCAGCAAACTCGCCCATGCAGTTTAAGTAAACTTCGGCTCAGTATTGTTCGTTACACTGCTATACTGAGTCTAAAAAAACCTAGTAGAAGGTCGCGTCAGCTAACCTTTGATCGACATAATATTATGACCGTCCAATCAAATGCGAGACGGCCGAACGGATTTAACCAATCTGAGAACGGCTACTATTTAGGGTTCGGCGGGACTTACAAAATTCGCCGGTCACTGACACTGATCTCTCAACAAACGAAAATCAGCCTAAAAGTTAAAATACAGATACTCGACCTGCAGTATATTCGCTTAGGGCTTTCTGATGACATGGTTACAATTAGCTAATATTTCCGCAAGCTGACATCCTTGAATATTGACAAAAACGCGATTGTTTACTCACTGTTGTGGCGTGGTCCATGTGCAGCACTCGGAAGCGATCGTACGGAAAACAGCTTTCGGAATCGTTCGGGTACAAACATTTTCGAGGTAAAAGTTCAAAAGGTATCTGCGAATGTCAACTTTCGCGATTTTGTAAGCTGTGTTCTGATTGGTCAATTGAAAAGGTCAGCTGACGCGACCTTCTACTATGGTTTGTTAGACTCAGTATAAGCAGTGTAACGAATAATACTGAGCCTAAGTTTACTTAGACTGCTCGCCCATGTTGACTGACCTCCAGGACGTATCTATGTGGCAGAGGGGCGGTGGGGTAGCCTAGTGGTTAAAGCGTACGCTGGTCACACCCAAGACCCGGGTTCGATTCCCTACATGAGTACAATGTGTGAAGCATATTTCTATAGTCACCCGATGTGATATAGCTGGAACATTGCCTAAAACAGCGTAAAAAGATACCCACTCACTCTATGTCCAGGGCTCACTTCCTCTAAACCTACACTAACAGCCTCAAATAGTCCATTTGACAGTTTGTTCGCCAACAATACTTTGTCTCACGTGCTGACGAGAATACCCGTTACAAGAAAATTTTACAAAACTGTCAGCAACATGGGAGCCAGTCCCACTGGCAGGCATCGAGTTTGCGAGAAATTCAATCATGACAATCTGACTGACATGTGAAAGAGGGCCCTAATAACTGTTTTGATGATAAAGATGTATCCATATCCTTATATATCTGGCGGTGGATGATAAAGATGTATCCATATCCTTATATATCTGGCGGTGGAATAGGTTTGGTTGGTTGGTTTTATAGTTTTAGGGCGACGTGGGACAATAGGAGGCCTATTTGCGCCCAACACATTGACTTGATTTAATAAACCATCATAGGTAATTTCATCGCCAAAAGGAATCGTTCAGTTAAGATAAAAGAAACGACAACAATATTAATATGCATTTGGATAGATGTATACATATATGGAATAACCTCTGCTTTGTGTTACGGATTAAAAAACCTTAAGTAATCACTTCCATTTCTGAAACATGAAATACCCATCCATTAAAAAAAGCAGTAGGTTCAGATGACAGAGTGTTAAAATGATTTAAAACCACAGAACTAAATCTGTCTGAGCCATTCGAGAGCCTCTCTAGATTACATCATATTTTCGGGGCGGTTGGGTAGCCTAGTGGTTAAAGCGTTGGCTCGTCACGCCGAAGACCCGGGCTCGATTCCCCACATGGGCACAATGGGTTAAGCCCATTTCTGGTGTCCCCCCGCCGTGATATTGCTGGAATATTGCTAAAAGCGGCGTAAAACTAAACTCAGTCAGTACATCATATTTTCCAGATGACGAGACAAAATCTAAATTAGGTTTCTAGGTGATACGAGTTACCTCCCTTATCCTTTCCATTACTTAGACGTTTGATTGGTCGGTAAATTAACACGAAAACTTTTATGCGCGGTTCAACGCGACAACACTGTATGATTGCACATCAACAAATCTAATGAACGATAAAATAATTTACCCAAAATGATTAATCAACAATCAACATGAACAATACTGGTATCCAGTCTTTCCTTGTATTAAAACCTACACTTTTGACTACTATGCGGCTGCACCCTTAATACACTTTGTAGCTTATTCAGGCCTCCCCTACATACACACGACTGCAGCCCCGTGAAATAGGTGCAGTACAATATTCACGGTATCCCTTTCGGTCCACCACATATATTAATTAATACAGGGGTTTCTTTGAAAAACGTACACCATAATTATACATAATGTGTAAAACATATACCAAATCTGAATTTTCAGACAATTGTAGACAACATTTGAAATACATGACGTTCCTAAAAAAATTCATAACACCAAACACACACACACACACCCACACACACACACACACACACCCCACCCCATGTGCCCACAAACTTCTTACATTACAAATGTGCCACGGACTCAAAGTCAAGGGCGGATACCTCCCGCTTTCATGAGCCACGGTAATGGGCCCAAGGTTTATAGTCTGTTTGCGGTGAAAACGTACCGATGAATTTCACTTTAAACAAAAATGTAAATCAAATAAAGAGAAATTAAGATTGCGAATCCTCATAATTTTACCTTGCCATTTCAAAATTTAAATATCAGATTTTTATTCAACTTAGGATAAAAGTTGTTTAACAAACGATCATAGTTTCAAATCGGTATTATTGGTTTGTATTACAAGGGGGTTGCACATTAAATGAAACACCGAGAACAAGGAGGGTTGGTCTAAGTTAACGCTCATCACGTACCGCACGTGCATTTGTTTCACTGTTCCAACTACTGCGCTTACCCCCTTGTAATACAAACCAATATAAGCGATTTGAAACAATAATGATCGTTTGTTAAACAATTTTTTTTCCTAAGTTGAATAAAAATCTAAGATTTAATTTTTAAATTGGCAAGGTAGAATTATGAGGATTCGCAATCTTAATTTCATTGTATTCGATTTACATGTTTGTTTAAAGTGAAATTCACCGGTACGTTTTCACTGCAAACAGACTGTAGTGTAGGTTTACCCAAAACACTAGCCCTGTAGATTGTTGAGTTGTGACTCTTCCTGTTTAAATCCCGTCCTGTGTTCGTCCTGTCTGCTTATAACGTCGATATGGTGAGCTAGTGAGTGAGTTTAGTTTCACGCGGCTTATAGCAATATTCCCGACATATCACGGCGGGCGACACCAGAAATGGGCTTCACACATTATACCCATGTGGGAACTCGAACCCGGGTCTTCGGCGTGACGAGCGAACGCTTCAACCACTAGGCTACCCGCTGAGATATAGCGCGGATAGTGTTTGTATGGAGCGGTCGTATGTTCTTGCGATTAACACTTTCGAGTCCCGCCTCTGCGTCACACCATTAAACATTTAATTGAGTTTAGTTTTACGCCGCACACAGCAATATTCCAGGTATATGGCGGAAACATTTAATGAAAAGAAATCAGTGAGAAGTTTGTTTTGCCTGTCAGTTTAGATGGAAATATAAGGCTGACCTGACAACATAGCTATTCATCTAATCAATAGATACTCCACTCAAGACATCGCAAATACAAATTGTGTAGTTTCTGAGGCAATTGCACTTTCTAAATGAATTTATTGAAAACAGTAAAACTGCTTTCCTACTCACCTAATATTGCTCACTTTGATTGGTCAAACCGTAATATTTGCTTTCCAAATTTCCACACTGGACATCAAAAGTTCAGATCACATGTGTAGCTTCTAAAGCAATTGCACTTTCTAAATGAATTTATTGAAAACAGTAAAACTGCTTTCCTACAAACATAATATTGCTCACTTTGATTGGTCAAACCGTAATATTTCCCACTACACTTCAAGAAATGAAAAGAAGGTGCGATTTGGTTTGATAATGATACGTTTTTCTTTTAAGACTGGAAGAAACCATTATCAGTAGCAGCCTCAGTCATTTTAAAGAAGCTGCTATAATTTACTGTCAGAGACATATACACGATAATCTACTGTAATTGTTTTTAACGCTTGTTTGAAAACTGTATACTATATTTTCGCAAATCATCCGGTCGCATTATAACATTTCCAGATAGAAACATACCGCCATGTTAACTTGATCTTGCCATTATCCAATTTCTCGTCTAAATCATACGCGATAGACAGTTTTTACTGTCGATGTCTAATTTATGGAAAATATTATTTTCGCAGGGCGTTTGTCTCTATAAGTGACTTGTACAAACTGTGTTTCGTCAGATAATCGAGACCCATTAGTCTATGTTTTTTTTAAAAATATTTTAAACAGCTTAAACATTTGAAAATACAGCCGTGTCCGAGTAGTACATTATGACGTCATATGTTCATGACGATAGGCTGAAGGTAGACAAGTTAATGTACGTGCATTTAATTAAACAGAGGAGCTATTACTCTCAAGTGATTCTATCATGTTTGATTTTTTCAAATGAATTATTTTAAATAAAATATATCATATCCAAAAGGTGAAGCCTGCTTACTCTTAATGTAGACTTCAAAGAATGTTTCTGGGCGGTGGGGTAGCCTAGTGGTTAAAGCGTTCGCTCGTCACGCCGAAGGCCCGGGTTCGCTTCCCCACATGGGTACAACTTGTGAAGCCCATTTCTGGTGTCCCCCGCCGTGATATTGCTGGAATATTGCCAAAAACGGCGTAAAACCCTACTCAGCCAGCCAGTCAAAGAATGTTTCTACATGGCTGTAGTGTAGTGGTATTATATGAGTTAACAAAATGAAGAAAAAAATGTTTCGCATAAAACACAGCTGACGATGGGTAATACTATCTGAGACATCTTTTCATAGAAATAAATACATTTACTTTTTGGGGCACAATCTAAAACTTTTTAAAAGCGTAGGAGTCATGTGGTTCAAATTCATTTCTCACCCCAGTCGTCATTGAACCAATTTAATTTTGTACAACGTTACCAAGCAACAAAAGATGTTCTAAATCCGTTGCTGGAATGAGAGATGGTTAAATTAAATAATTTATAAATCAAACTAATCAAATTTAACAACAGATTTTTTTTCTTTTTTTAGCTGTCAATTACATAAGAATACAAACGTTCTATAGCGCCTCAGTTAGTTATATGTGCATGATAGAATTAATATAAACACTTACACAAATTTAATATATTTTATTAAATAAAAAAATATATATTTTCTGTTTTAATAAACTTATGAGATTGTCGTGGTGTGTTTGTTATATGTAACCCCGTTGTTGATAATACACTAAATACCGGATATAACCTGATGAAGGAACAGGTCAGTCTCGGTGTCTGAAACCTTTTTCTAAGAGGTTTTCGGGACAGGACGGTCCGTTCATAACTCAGACTGACTGACTGACTGTTTTGGGTTTTGGCAATATTCCAGGAATATCACGGCGGGGGACACCAGAAATGGGCTTCACACATTGTACCAGTGTGAGGAATCGAACCCGGGCCTTCGGTGTGACGAGCGAAAGCTTTAACACTAGGCTACCACACCGCCCCATCATAACTCAAACGCTACCTGGACCCTGGTTCACTTGTCTACAGAATATTTTGGTGCTTGTGTGGGGTTAGGCCTGAACGTAACAAGTGTGCCAACACGTAAATTCACGTTCAGTCTACGGGTTTAGCCTAGCTTTTCATTGACAATACCCTAGTACGTTTTACCTCCAGTCTACCCTGAGTGAACGAGACGCTCTGGTATCAACAACTGTTTGGCGAAGTCCAGTGGTTGGGAAGGTTGTCTGGATCGAGTCACGAGTCATGGGGAGATAACTCTCATTTGTTTTGATTTTTGCCCGATGTGCCATGCTCAAAGTGAATGATTACAAGGTGTATGAGTGAGTGAGCAGGGGCGTAGCTACCACTAATAAAAAAAAGCCCGGGCTTACACATGATTGTTGCTAAAATGGTTCAGAAAGCCTTCAATACTATCTGAACATAAAGCTTTCCAACCTATCGGGCCTACATGAAAAGTACTAATGGCTTGCTACGCGCCTGGTGAGTATAGTTTTACGCCGCTTTGAACAATATTCCAGCAATATCACGGCGCTGGACACCAGAAATAGGCGTCACACTTTGTACCCATGTGGGAAATCGAACCCGATATTCCGCGTGTCGAGCGATCGAAGGCTTTAACCACTAAGCTACACCAGCTCCCTTATAAGTATTAACCACTAGCATGTCGTATTACTGAGTTCAAAGCCTCCTTGATAACTAGGGTGGGGCGTGTGTAATTACTAAAGACCCACATTGAAGAATGTTAAGCATTGGCGGGGAGAATTCCTGGATCCGCCTATGATATTTATGTTATGTTATCATATGACAAAGTGACGTACAATTACATTAACACGATCTGAATTACGGAATCGTAGACTACGTCCTTCAAGAGATTACAGCGCTGTGTGTGCACAGGCAGTGTGGTTTTACATAGTAAAAGGTGAAGTGGTAACGCCTACAAACTTGAGCAATTCTTCAGCTAAGCTTGTTCCCGCCTCAACTTGCACGGGGCCCAACATCTCTGTGGCGTTTCAATCCACAGTACGCATCACACTCATATTGCACTGTGTGCCACAAACGACGACGTCATAATCTTTCCACCCCTGTGCTTTCTGCAAACTACATAGCTAATACAAAGCAGATATTGTAGCAAACGCATCTTTGTGTTTTGCATAAATCTCAGGGGCGGATACAGCTTTATGAGAGGGAGGGAAAGGGGGGGGTGGGGGGTGCACACTATTGAGAAAAGGAGCGGTGCACACTTCATTGTCACCCGAGTTTCAATGATCATTTAAAAAACTTTCAGCACAAAATGGGGGGGTGGGGGTGGAACACCCTGCAACCTACCCACCCCCATCCCGGATCCGCCCATCTATATATATATATATATAAGCTTTAAAGAGAAGGACGGTACTGTGTCAACTTCCCAGTGATGTAGCCGCCGAACTTCATGTAAATCAGGGATCGTTATATCACTGATTGACCAATATTTATTCCTTATTTATGATAGTAGTGTCTTTATTTCTTCATTCCATCCTAACATTATGGATTATATATTGCCTATTGTTGTGTACTACAAAAAGGAATGCTTTCAGTGGCTTGCCACTGCTGGCCCACCAATGACCCACCAAGAGACTACTGTTGGTGGCTTGCCACAACTGGCCCACCTTCTATTAGACGGACACGCCACTACTGGCCCGTCAGTGGATGCCACCAGTGGGCCACCAGTGCAGCTTGTATTGGCCCACCAGTGGCCAACCTGTGTGGTGCTATCTGGGACGGTACTGTGTCAACTTCTCAGTGATGTAGCCGCCGAACTTCATGTAAATCAGGGATCGTTATATGCACTGATTGACCAATTTCCAAATTAGTGGTGAAATGTTCGTTTTGAGCGGGATGCGCACTTCACCTCTAAAAGAGGCGGTGGGGTAGCCTATTGGTTAAAGCGTTCCCTCCTCACGCCGAAGACCTGGGTTCGATTCCCCACGTACATGCATGGGTACTATATATGTGTGTTAAGCCCATTTCTGATGTTTAGCGTTGCATATACATACAAACACCAGTAGCTATAAAGTAATGACGTATTTCACCCTTTACTTTTCTTTACTCCACCCGTGAAGATCAGGTGGTCAGGCACGCTGACTTGGTTGACACATGTCATCGTATCCCAATAGCGTACACAGGTAGATCGATGCTCATGATGTTGATCACTGGATTGCCTGGTCCAGATCGACTCGATTATGTACAGACTGCCGCCATATAGCTGGAATATTGCTGGGTGTGGCGTGAAACACCAACCAACCAATCAACTTTATTTTCCCTATGATCCCAAACCTTTTCATTGCTGGCTTATAGCCCTTTAAAAAATGTTAACATGTGTTTGACAAATTTGCTTTTCAATAGAACTTTTGATTTCAAGAATAGTGTGAGGGTGGGCGTGTGCGTGTGCGTGTGCGTGTAAACTTGTTCTCATGACTATATGGGTGAAACAATATCTACCGATGGGACATTAAAATTTAACTCTCATACAGGGATTGGGAAAGGCAGGGGCCATTGGCCATTTTGCACATTAGAATAAAAAATGTCCCATTAAAATTTTGAAATTTGCTATTGATACAAGGGTTTTGGTCCATTCTAAATTCAGAAAATGGCTAATAATCCTGAAAATGGCCCATTGTCAAAGTTCTCTATCCCAATCCCTGCCCTGCCCATATATCAAAAACTCAATGCAGACAAATATTAATTGGATAGTCTTTTCCTCACTTAGAGGAGTCAGCAACAGATGAAACATGTTTGACTAAAGTGTAGCGTAAAATCAAATATGTTACACAGAGACATTATAAAGAAAACTTTTCTTTGGGTGAAATAAGTAACTAAATGATGAATTTTGCGGTCAAAATGAATTTCATTTGCAGGTGCCCGCAGTAAACGAAATCAGAGTTACCTGCCTTTACAAGATGGCGTCGCTGTCAAAGGTTTACAACTTGAAATGTAAGAAAACGTTCTGTTTCACGATCTCTGGCAGTACTGATAACGCAATGCAGATCTTCTGTTACTGGTCGGAATGTCTGAATAATATGCAATGCAAATTGTCTAACACAATTGTGAACCGACCCTTGTCATGCGTGCCGAAATGTCAAAACTGTCACTTTTGCCGGATGCTCAACCTGTCAAAATTCGAATATTTTTTTTTCTACAGCCGCGTATCGTGGTGTACTCCAACACACTACGACACGGTTTTCTAGGATCGTGTTTGGAAGATCATATGATAATTGTCTCAGATGTTTGAAAGTGTGAAGATGTTGTGATGTGAAATATATTTGTTATTGAACTGAACTGAATAAAGTTCAAGGTATTTGTGGGCTACATGTAGGGAGATATAACACTGACACACTTTTAACACGTGAAAGATGTATAGGGTGGCATTGACAGGTAACTATATAGCTAGAAACTAGAGCTGTCTTTGTTTAAAGGTGGCTACAACGTGGCAAATAGACAGTACTGTCAACTTATTAAATTTCTTTTTGCTACAATTGTTCAGTGAAATACAAGTCACACCTACAAAGGTGTAGCCATGTAAGGTTTTACACAACACACAAAAATACTGCGTCCGAAGAGACGCACAAAAATACCTGTGGTAGTTATCTGTGTCTGTAATTTCACCTATCAGTCATGACCACTGTCCACATGACCACTGATTCATTCCAGGCTCTGAAATCCTTGAAGGTCCGGGTTAGAATATTGATCTTCAGCAACCCATGCTTGTCGTAAGAGGCGACTAACGGGATCGGATGGTCAGGCTTGTTGACTTGGTTGAAGCATGTCATCGGTTCCCAATTACGCAGATCGATGCTCATGCTGTTGATCACTGGATTGTCTGGTCCAGACTCGATTATTTACAGACCGCCATATACCTACCTGGAATATTGCTGAGTGCGGTGTAAAACTAAACCCACTCATTCCAGGCTCTGAAGCAATTATCTGAACATACACTACACTACAACATTTCAATACTTTACAGGACCCTTATAAGGATCCGTAACGTTTATTGATGGGGATCCATTTGTATGTCAAGGTAAAACCCTGGCCATGTATCATAAGTTGTTAAGACCACCTAATATTTAGTCAGGTGACTTGTAACTTCACAGGCTCTACAAATGACTATGGGTGCCATCAGGAGTGGATTAAAATTATGTTTATTTCAAACATTAATTCTTATCCATGTTTATGATGAATATTTGACATATATAACATTACCATGTTATTGGATATTTATATAGCGCACATATCCATGCACTAGTGCATGCTCAAAGCACTGGTATTTTTTTCCCTTGATCATTGGATGTCAATCTCAACGGCACATCTTGTTATCAATCTCAACTCCCTGGGGATCATACAACTCTTTTGCTGCCACAAGGTGCACTGAGTTATTGCGGCTTTCCCATCCTTACAAGGTACCCATTCATACAGCTGGGTGGACTGGGACACATAGTACTTTGTCCAAGTTTACTGCATGTTGCTGTACCCGCAATTAGGTGTTTGAACGTATTCATGTGGCCACCATCTGGTCATATACCAAAGGTTTGTGGGTTCTTTTAAGTGCACAGGGTTGTGTACTGTACACTAGGGGTTGTGACAACACTGAAAGAGTCTGCACACAAAGTTGACTCCAAAGTTTTTACACCCGGTCACAGGTGGGCTTGATCCCGGCACCTCATGCTCGCTGGATCACTAGCCTGGCACCTTAGCCAGCTTGCCCACCACACCCCCACCATGTTTCATAGTCAGGAAAGTTCTAATTCAAATTTCCGATTTTGTGTTAATGACATTTGCTGCTGAGTTGGTCTTAAAAGCAGGTCAAGGTAAATCCCTGCATGACATTCCATATTTCCTCTCAGCCCCCAATACCTTGACAAAGCTTCCGACGGAGGAGTGTGAATGGATCCACAGCTAAACTGAAAGACACAGCACTGATTATTTCAGCTACAAACACTAATATAGTACTGTAAGTGCAAAATAGAGGTCAGCACCTATTAGAGATAAGTTCTTCTTTGAGGTGAGGTGAGGTGAAATTGGGTTTTACGTCGTACTCGAGATTATTTCGCTCATATGACGACGTGCATGCGTGTATGTGTATGTGCGGCTGCTTGTACTAGCCCAGACTGAAGCTGCTTTTATAGTGTTTGCCCACCGAGATGCCATGCCGCAGTGAAGCATGAATACCCCACTCAGACACATTATACTGACTCCGAGCCGACCAGTCCTTGTTGTACCCATTAATGCCGAGCGCCAGGCAGGGACCAACAAGCACCATATTTTAACGTCTTTTGGTATGACGCAGTCGGGGATCGAACCCGCGACCTTCCCTCTCCAGGCGGACGCTCTAACCACTACACCACGGAGGCGGTTGTTCTTCTTTGAGGAAATGGTCGTAAGGTTGACACTGAGTGCTAACCAATATTCTGATTCAGTTTGGACAAATATTTTATGCATTTTTTCTGCAGGTACTACATGTTTGGTGATAGCTACCTGTTACTTCTTGGAAACAAACTAAAGCAAACAGTGTTGGGATGTAATCTGTTATATTACTCTATGCTCTATAGAAAATGCAATGCAACCATTGTAACATACTTTTTCTTTTGCAGAGATTGTTGACAGGTATAACCTGTTTCAATGGCATCAGTATTGTCAGCTGCAATGACGGCTTCAGGGCAACAAACTCAAGGGTTAGTGTCAGAGTTATATTCACCACCTTTTAATCATCGTCAAAAATTGTACATGTACTTGGAAACATTGAAAAGTGTTTAATGTTCACTTTAGTTAGACTACAATGAACACACCTTGAGGGGAATATGATATATATCATGAATAATGGGTAATGAATATGAATAAATATTGAGTCACCAGTTGATGTATTGTTTTATGATGTTGACATAATAAATAATAGACAAGTTATAGCAAAAAACATCCTATAAAATAGTCATGAATATTCAATTTTAATGACCACAAACACTTCAATTCATGATAGGGTATGATTCGATTCACTGAATACGCAAGTATCAGCCCTACAGTTTACTTCTCAATTCAACCCTCTATAGTCCGTTTGGCTCAAAATCGGACCGATGAATTGCAATCTAACTTGAAATCTAATAAATATATAACACTCAGTGAAACGCTGATCATAATCAAAACGTCAGACCAACTCTGTGATTCGTTTGCAGAATTTATGGCCTAAAATTTAAAAAGTTGTTTAACATGCTATCATTAAAATTTTGACACATTTCATTATTTGTTACGAGCGAGGAGTGCAGAGAAAGGGACAGCCAGGTGTTAGAGAAGCACGTGCTCAAGTGCCGACAAAGTTATTGATTCATTAACCTGTGCTGTGCTGTCTCCATCCTTTCTCGCACACATGGCTGTCCCTTTCTCTGCACTCCTCCCTCGTAACAAATAGTGAACTGTGTCAATATTTTCATGATAGTTTGTTAAACAACTTTTTTAGAACATAAATTCTGCAAAAACCTCACAGAGTTGGTCTGATGTTTTGATTATGATCAGCGTTTCACTGAGTGTTATATATTTATTAGATTTCAAGTTAGATTGCAATTCATTGGTCCGATTTTGAGCCAAACGGACTATACAAGGACAGAAACTCTAACTTCATGTGAGGTTATTTCACATATTTTGGCCATCTCCATTCCATCAGCTGTTTTCATTTACAAACACTACCATGGTTTATCTGTTGACAAATGGCGACAAGACTCATATGATGAAAATGATTTACAGATTATTATTTCTAATCATATCAGTCCTGAAACCCTGATGCAACCCTGATGTTTGAAAAAACTGTTTCCAGTTCTATAACAGCAAGCCCGGAGGACCCCTTAATTTTCAATGCTGTATGCGCAAGAGTTCTTAAACCATTACTTGCTTGAAGCCCCCAAAATCGCTGTATATATCCAAATAAAGTCATATCATATAGATGCCATGTAGGGGCTTTGCTATCTAAATGTAAGTGAAAATACATTACTATAGCTGACTACTCTTCTACGGATTCAGGAAATAAGTAGATGGTAGTCCACACTGGTGTTTCTACCATTTCAAGGGGTGTTGGGGTAGCCTAGTGGTTAAAGCATTCACTCGTCACACTGAAGACCCAGGTTCGATTCCCTACATGGGTACAATGTGTAAGGCCCATTTCTGGTGTTCCCCGCCATGATATTGCTGGAATATTGCTAAACGTGGTGTAAAACTAAACTCACGCGCTCACTCTACCGTTTCCGAAATGAAAATGTGTCTGGCATGTTGTCTCGTCAGCTGCTCTCAGTCTGACTCGTCTTGTTCTGTTCACTTCCAGTACAGGCCTGGTATTTGACGAGAGGTTAGCTCGCCATTTCCATGCTTGGAATGAAGACTTTTCTGAGAAACCGGAGAGGATCCTGGAACCGTTTGCCAGATGCCAAGCTCTTGGACTTGTTGACAGGTGCTGCCGAATACAGGTGAGTGGCACTTGCAAGTCTTCAGTTACCATGGTTACAACATAAACAAAGCGATTTACCTCAGAAATTGGGCAGGCATAGAATTAGTAAAATGTTTGATTCAAACTTTCAAAACTCGTACATTCTCTGCTGTCTTCTATCATTGATCTGAGTATTTTCTTCTATCTGTGATTGAATAAATACAATCAAAGTTGAAAGACATTATTCTTTCTCAATTTCAACTATTCATATTAGCCATTACTCTTATCAGTCAGGCCAAACACTGCCATTCCAAACACTGCCATGCTAAACACTGTCATGCTAAACACTGCCATGCCAAACACTGTCATCCCAAACACTGTCATGCTAAACACTGCCATGCCAATCACTGTCATGTCAAACACTTCCATGCCAAACACTGTCATGCCGAACACTGCCATGCTAAACACTGCCATGTCAAACACTGCCATGCCAAACACTACCATGCCAAATACTGCCATGTTAAACACTACCATGCCAAACACTGTCACGCCAAACCCTGTCATGTCAAACACTACCATGCCAAATACTCTCATGCCAAATACTGTCATGTCAAACACTACCATACCAAACACTGCCATGCCAAATACTGTTTTGCCAAATACTGCCATGTCAAACACTACCATGCCAAACACTGCCATGCCAAACACTGTCATGCCAAACACTGCAAAGTGGCATTTTAGTTTCTCCTTCATAGAGAGGCCTTGACATCCAATGCCATTTTGACGTGTAGGCAGTACATGACAGCATTGTGATATTCTGTTTGTTGTTTGTGAGGCCCGTCCAGCGACCGAGAGTGAAATACTTAGCCTCCACAGCAAAGATCACATCCGCTTGTTGAAGGAAACCAGCTCCATGTCTGACGAACAACTCAAGAATCTCTCACAGGTGTACGACTATATCTACTTCCATAATGTAAGTAAAAACGCAATTACAATCCATGGTTACATTGACAGCCTCTGTGCTGTAGTGGTTAGAGCGTCCGCCCAGAGTGCGGAAGGTCGCGGGTTCGATCCCCGACCGCGCCATACCAAAAGACGTTAAAGTATGGTACTTGTTGGTCCCTGTCTGGCGCTCGGCATTAATGGGAACAATAAGGACTGGTCTGCTCGGAGTCAGTATAATGTGTCTGAGTGGGGTATTCATGCTTCACTGCGGCATGGTATCTCAGTGGGCTAGCACTATAAAACCAGCTTCAGTCTAGGCTAGTACAAGCAGCCGCACATACACATAAACACGCATGCACGTCGTCATATGAGCGAAATATTCTCAAGCACGACGTTAAACCCAATTCCACCACCACCACCATAGTTACATTAAGTTGTATTTTCACCATAGCTCAAACTACAACATTACTGTCAGTCTGATGGTGAAGCTGGTTGTACGCAAGGAGGTGTCACTTGTCCTGAATGTAGCTCTTCTGGACTAGGACCCTGCTCTCTGCCTTGAGATTGTTGATTCCTTGTTCTAAGTGACTTAGGATAAGGGCATAAAGCAGGGGTGGAAATAACTTTAAAATTGATAGTGTACTCCCGGTACAGTGGCACATGTAAAGTCACTTGCCCTGATAATTTTTCCACTATACCGACCGTTTTCTTGCTGACTTTTTAAATAAACAACATAATTACCATTGGAAAGTCAACTGGACACCGGTACAGTGTGATATACAAATTTGCTTGCCCGACAGATAAAAACACTGGACTCGGACGTCAGGCAATGGGTTATTTTCATCCCTGATAAAGCCATATTTCCTTGCTCATTCTGCTGTATGCCACAAATCTCTGACATTATTAATTGATTACCTTATCACTTCTTTAAGAGGCATATAGAAGCTGGAGCAGTCTGGAATGATAACAATCTGTGGATGAACATCTATATTACAGTAAGAGCTACATTTCTGTGTAGATTCTAACACCATTATCAAGCAAGTGATGAAGAGAATCCTTATTATGTTCATCACTTACTTGATAACAGTGATAGAACTTACACAGAAACATCGCTCTCACTGTATCAAGGATGTTGTGATCACTTGAAACATTTCCTGGTCAAATCCTTTGCCATATTGTCAAAGCAGTTAGTTTTAGACATAAATGTAATAGCAGTTCTTAGATACTTGTCTTGTTAATTCCAGCATATTTACGAAAGTGCTCAACTTGCTTTGGGAGGTGCAATAGACTTGGTGGACCACATCGTCACTGGCAGGGTAAGTCACCTGATTTTTAACATTGTGACATAAATTTTAGTAAATGCTTTTTATGCCATATTTTGTTCATTTTGTTTTTCAACACTATTTACTGTGTGCATGCAGAATTTGAATATCAAGATCACCTTTGGTTCAGTGACTGCTCTTGTTAACATTTTAAGCTATTGACAACGTATTCAGGCAACATGTGAAGATCAGCAGCCCATGTTTGTGGAAAGAGTTGACTAACCGGATTGGGTGGTCAGGCTGGCTGACTTGGTTGACACATGTCATCGTATCCCAATTGCATAGATCGATGCTCATGATGTTGATCACTGGATTGTCTGGTGACTCAGGGTGCAGTTTTGCTATTAACGGCCTGCACTGGTGCTTGTTAACAATGGCTGGTGCAGGTTACCTTCAGTAGATTTATTGTTACCTGCACCTGGTGCAACCTGTTACTGAAGGTAACCTGCACCTGGTGCAGGTAACAATAAATCCTCCAACATGTTATAGCTGTCATTGTGTGTTTTAAATGGAAGTAAGTGTCTGGAAGTTATACGTTTCTCTCTGTGTGACTTGTTTCAAGCAGAAACATTTGTGTACTCATAAATAAGTTACGTAGAAGTAATCATATAATTGACATTTATAAATAAGGTAAGGCCAGACCAATTTTATTTCTTGTTTTACGGATCCGCTGGTCATATTTTTTCAAAAATAAGAAAAGAAAAAAAAAAAATATTCTCCGCTCAAAAAATAAAATCCTTATGTTTTTATTGGCCAAAAATGTAAACTTTTTGTTTGTTACTGTTTTTTGCGTCATATACACTTCATAAATTGCCAGAAGTAAAATACTTTTAACATTTAGAAGGAATATTACTTTGACTGGTGATTTTATTTTCCTTTTTTTCTCCTCCTGCCTTTAGTTTTTTTACGAAAAAAATCCGTAAAACAAGAAATAAAATTGGTCTGGCCTAATGCAAAATTGAAATCATTCCTCATTTATCATCATGGGGTCTGGTTCTGATGAATGTATCTGATACTGAGGACTTGTTACGAAAATTGCTAAACAAATATTTATGTTACTTTTTAGAACGAGTAACATTATTATATGGTGCAACCAAATTGTTGATGGTGCAGCCAAACCTATAAGCCAGGTTGCACTCGGTGCAGGTACTGACAAAACCCCGAAATCACACCCTGAGACTTCATTATTTACAGTCCAACATTCAACTCATCTGATCAATGGTTTATATTTAATGCTGAATCTCTTTATCTCTTTTCAGTTACGAAATGGAATGGCCATCATCAGGTAGGAATCAAACAATATTTTCACAACATTTCATGAAATTTATGATCACAGAACACAATTGACTTGATATAATTTCGAGGAATCAGGTATTACTTGTTGGTATAAGTATTCATTTCCCAAAATGTTGTTATGATTCACCTGTGAAGGTCCCGGGTTAGAATGAACCTTCAGTAACCCATGCTTGTCGTAAGAGGCGACTGACGGGATCAGGTGGTCAGGCTCGCTGGCTTTATTGACATATGTCATCGGTCCCCACTTGCGCAGATCGATGCTCATGCTGTTGATCACTGGATTGTCTGGTCCAGACTCGATTATTTACAGACTGCCGCCATATAGCTGGAATATTGCTGAGTGCGGCGTAAAACTAAACTCACTCACTCACTCATTGTTATGATTCTGTCAACATGTTCCATTAAATTAGGGCTCAATGTTGTTGCTCTCTGCTTTCATTGTTTGTATTGTCACTTGTACCTAATACCTTTTCAGTCTTGACATGCTTTAACTGGTGGTTGATCTCCTTTGACATTTAACAATGTGTCTGAGATGTTACAAACCACCGGAAACGATTTTTGACTGATCATTTGGATCAGATGTAGCGTGTACATGGGTTGGGTTGTTTTTCTTTCATTTTTATCTCTTTTTTTGAGAGGGAAGGGGGTGTCCCAGTAAATTTTACAATTTGGGCAATATGCCAACCGTTAAGGGGCAGGAAATAGATGATCGAGTGTCTGTCCTTGCCGTGTTATCAAGGCAACATTGGTCACACAAATGTAAATACGATTTAGTTTTTTTCAGGCACAGGGGGTAAATTGTATTGCACCATGTGGGATTAATATGTGTCATTAGGGCCCCGTTTGTTGTTTTCAGTGCCCCATTTTATGTTTCAATGAGTATATGACGCAAGAGCCTGGTCAAGAATGATCATTGGACTTCTTAGTATGTCCACAGCCTTCAACTGTCTAATCCCTGGCGGGGCGGTGGGGTAGCCTAGTGGTTAAGGCGTTAGCTCGTCACGTCGACAACCCGGGTTCGATTCCCCACATGGGCACAATGTGTTATGTCCATTTCTGGTGTACCCTGCCGTGATATTGCTGGAATATTGCTAAAAGCGGCGTAAAACTAAACTCACTCACTCACTCTAATCCCTGGCAGTTTAGTGAAAGACTCAAAGTACAAGTGTCCCTATGCCTATTCCACACAACCAACAAATAGCTACCTAGTTTGTGTTGTTGTAATGGTAACACTGCTGCCACAGTTTCTACCGGGTTAAAAATAAATGTTTTTCTTTACCAGTTTGCAAGATCTATATGATACAGAATTACCATCTTTCTAATGGTAAAGAGTGTATTTCTCGCTAGTCACTGGTCTGTTGAGGTTATATGAAACCATTAATCATATGCAACCTAAGGTATAACTGACTATTTGTGAGGTGAGGTGAGGTGAAATTGGGTTTAACGTCGTGCTTGAGAATATTTTGCTCATATGACGACGTGCATGCGTGTGTATGTGTATGTGCGGCTGCTTGTACTAGCCCAGACTGAAGCTGGTTTTATAGTGCTAGCCCACTGAGATACCATGCCGCAGTGAAGCAGGAATACCCCACTTAGACACATTATACTGACTCCGAGCCGACCAGTCCTTGTACCCATTAATGCCGAGCGCCAGGCAGGGACCAACAAGTACCATATTTTGACGTCTCTTGGTATGACGTGGTCGGGGATCGAACCCGCGACCTTCTGCTCTCCGGGCGGATGCTCTAACCACTACACCACGTAGGCGGTCTTAATCATGTGTCAAATGTTGATACCAGTGTAGAGAAGTGCACGTTTTGAAACATTCTTTAGAGCCTGGAATGAATCCTTGATCTTGTGGACTGATGGATGAAATGATGCACGTAACTGCTCTGAAAGAAACAACCAAACACTCAGCAGAGTCATAGATGTGTTGTGGGTAATATTTTGCGTCCCTCTGGATGCAGTGAATTGTTTTCTAGCGTCCATTCTCTACATTTGTGCGTACTGGACGCACATTTATGAGTCGCTTAAAACCCTGTACAGTCGAACCCCGTTTACTCGGACCTGATATATCCCGAAACCCCACCTTCCAGACGATTTTCAATTGAAACGAAACTTACCCTCAGTAATTTTACTCGCTTAGCCAGACCCCGCGCTTCTGGACCCGGATGGAGAATTTTCAAACCATTCCCATAGATTTCCATTGAAAAATGATCCTGTTATCCGGACGGAAAGATCTGTGCGCATGTGCATGTGTATGTGTCACGTCAGTACTGTTTACCGCACGACTAAGTGTATTCATTGTTAATCTCTCGGCAGGCGTTTGATGTGAATTGATTAACTACCCATCAAAACACTAGAGACGCATGTCACTTCTGTTGTTAATAAGGATTTGGCAGGTGTACAATGTGAGTCTATATTTCAGACCCCCAGGCCACCATGCCATGAAGCAAGAGTTCAATGGATACTGCTACCTCAATAATGTTGCTGTATCAGCTAAACTGGCCCTCGACAACCACAACCTCAAAAGGTAGATTTTCTTACATGCATGATCACTAAGTACTAAGAACAGTTTGCCCTGCTTACGATTCTTGGTCTACCAATACTTTTGTAGTTTGTTCTACCAAATTTGTAACCATCTACTAACTGTAACACTTAGGGCCTTCATTACCTTAAGTCCAGGGTCCCGATCCACAAAGCATTTGTAATGTTACGACCTGTCGTAACTCTTTAGTTTATCATAGGCTTACGACCTGTCGTAACTCTTTAGTTTATCATAGGCTTACGACCTGTGGTAACTCTTTTGTTTATCATAGGCTTACGACCTGTCGTAACTCTTTAGTTTATCATAGGCTTACAAATGTCGTAGCTGTATGAATGCTTTGAGGATCGGGACCCTGGATGTGACGAGAAATTTTAATATTTCTTTTTGTCTAATTCATATGTACTTAACAAAATGCTTTAAAGCAAAAAATAATTCTCCTGTCCTGTTTGCTGACATATTTCAGGATAGAATTCTTTCTGGGTCAAGTAATAGATTTTGTCACTGCTACTCACACATTGAATATGCGGAGCTGAAATCCAGGGTGCTGTTGTACAAAGCCGCTAAGCGCTAAGGTCATCGTAAGTGAGTGACTTTAGTCTTACGCCGCTTTTAGCAATATTCCTGCAATATCACAGCGGAACCTTAACATAGACCTAAGGTGGTCTTGGCGCTAAGGTTGTTTTGTACAACGGCACCCTGGTAAGTAAGTGAAGTAATATTCAAAGCTGAGAGGGAAAGAAATGGCTGCCTCTCAGAATGTCAATATTATTCCGAATTTAAGGAGTGTGCGTGTTGGGGTGGGGAGGGGGGTGAGCGACCTGAAGACCCAGGTTTCATTCATCACATGGGTACAATAAGATATCCATGTTTGTTGATCCAGCTTTGTAGACACATTGATGTCCATGACTGACTTGAGTACTTCATGGACTAGTTCAAGCTGAGTGTCTAGTGTTCAGCCATATAATCTGCCCAACAGAATTCTCATTGTAGACTGGGATGTCCATCACGGCCAGGGAATTCAGTCCTTCTTCTATGACGATCCCAGGTACGTCACTGTTTTAATAATACTAATAATAATGATAATAATTCATTTATATAGCGCCTAGTAGCCATCTGACTAGTTGCTCACTGGACGCTGTAATCGGAATCTGATTATTATTACCCCGGATAGCCCAAGGTGTCAGAAGGTTATAGTCACATGACTTTATCCAACCGGGTACCCAATTTCTGCTGGGTGAACAGAGGCATTTTTTAACAAACTCACATGCATGACATGTGCTTCGTTGTGGGGCAGGACTGAAGTCCTAGAAACTCTCAGGAGTCAAGCTGCCAAACACGGTCACCCATCCAAGGACTCTCCGAGCTCGACGTTGCTTAACTTCAACTGATTCGTGACCTGAGCTCTATGCACCGGATCACACACCACCATTAAAGATTGTTTAAAAGGAAATGACCTTAAACCATTACCATTATCTGATTTAATGATTCACCAACATTCTGGTTTCACAGGAATTGACACAGCCACTTGCATACTGCTGTGAGACTCGCTTGAGTGGCATTTAGAAGTTGGTGTGATGAACAACGAGGAGAGTTCTATGGATATACAACTTCTTTAATATAATATGAACGACGTTTCGGTGTAGCTACTAACAGTGATAACGGTGTAAGTAGCTACACCGAAATGTCGCTCATATTATATTAAAGAAGTTGTATATCCATAGAACTCTCCTCGTTGCTGTTAGACTATTGTTGTATTTTCTTGTCATACACTGACATATTTCACCTATGACAATGGTTTGTGAATAATCTACTCTGTCTGCTCCAGAGAATCCAGTGATCAACATCATGAGCATCAATCTACACAACTGGGACACAGTGACATGCATCAACCAACTCAGCATGTCATCGTATCCTAATTGTGTAGATCGATGCTCATGATGTCAGTCACAGGATTGTGTTTGATTTGTAACAATCAAGGGGCGGTGGGGTAGCCTAATGGTTAAAGCGTTGTCTCGTCATGCCGAAGACCCGGGTTCGAATCCCCACATGGGTACAATATGTGAAGCCCATTTCTGGTGTCCCCCGCCGTGATGTTGCTGGAATATTGCTAAAAGCGGCATAAAACCAAACTCAGTCAGTCAGTGTAACAATCAAGACAGACTAGTTGTTTCGTCCCAAAACTCATTTTACCTAACCACTAAACTGATAGGCTGCAGAACTGATGGCGTCTACCTGTTGCATCTTTCGAAAGTAGTAGGCCAGTGATGAAGGTTTTTTCTCATCAGGCTTTAGAATGAGGTTCAGTTCCCTGTATGTATACAGTTCAACCACTGTGATATTGCAAACTGCAGCATACAACATAATTATATAACTCAGATTTACAAAATCTTTACCATCAAATAGTCAAAAGAAACCTTCAGTTTAGAAAACATCACACGTTGCTTAGCTGATGGTCTTGGTTGTTGTTCAGACAATCAGCCATTTGTTTACCTGGTGTTGACATGATTATATACAAATCACAGGGCTCCAGATAAGGGCCGTATCGGCGTATGTACGGATAAAAAATATGCACGATACGGTAGGAAATAATTTAGAAACAGTAGCAGATATGCACCACAGCAGTGGTGTATGGTCTAAGAATCATTTACAGACGTATTTATCTGAAAAAGGTATTGTTTTATTGTTTTTTACCTGTTTACACAAGAGTAGCAATGTTGTGGTGCATATATGAAACGAAACACAAGATCACATACTCCATTAAATTCAATTCAGTACTCTAAAAGTTTTTCCAGCACTCTTATATTTAAAAAATAAGGAGTACGTACTCCTGATGTTGAAAAATTATCTGGAGCCCTGATATCACCATTATAAAGCTGAAATGTTGCTAACTACAGGACAAGACAACATTCACTGATGATTTATATGTTTCAGAGTGATCTATTTTTCTATCCATCGTTACGAACATGGCAGTGAGTGGCCTCACCTTCGAGAGTCGGACTACGATTGTGTTGGGGAGGGAGCTGGGAGGGGCTACAACATCAATGTGCCACTTAATCAGGTGATGATGAACTCTGTCAGACTTGTTCAGGTCGGATCTTTCTCTGATTCATTATATTGGACAAGCCATACATTGGTTGTGTCAGGTGAATGGTGAACATTCTAATCAGTGAGGGGTAACCTAATGGTTAAAGTGCCTGATCTTCATGCTGTAATGTTTAAGGCCTTAACAAAAAGGTGAAGAATTATTTCAAACTTTTTCAGGTGGGTTGCGACAACTCCGATTATTTGTCCATCTTCCAACAGATTCTGCTGCCAATTGCATATGAGGTAAGACTTTTCACGGCTTTACTAGCATGTTTACTGGCATGTTTTACTGGTATGTTTACTGGTATGTTTACTGGTATGTTTTACTGGTATGTTTACTGGTATGTTTTACTAGCATGTTTACTGGCATGTTTTACTGGTGTGTTTTACTGGTATGTTTACTGGTATGTTTTACTGGTATGTTTACTGGTATGTTTTACTGGTATGTTTTACTGGTGTGTTTTACTGGTATGTTTACTGGTGTGTTTTACTGGTATGTTTACTGGTATGTTTTACTGGTATGTTTACTGGTGTGTTTTACTGGTATGTTTACTGGTATGTTTTACTGGTATGTTTACTGGTATGTTTACTGGTATGTTTTACTGGTGTGTTTTACTGGTATGTTTACTGGTGTGTTTTACTGGTATGTTTACTGGTATGTTTTACTGGTGTGTTTTACTGGTATGTTTACTGGTGTGTTTTACTGGTATGTTTACTGGTATGTTTTACTGGTATGTTTACTGGTATGTTTTACTGGTATGTTTACTGGTGTGTTTTACTGGTATGTTTACTGGTATGTTTTACTGGTATGTTTACTGGTGTGTTTTACTGGTATGTTTACTGGTATGTTTTACTGGTATGTTTACTGGTATGTTTTACTGGTATGGTTAATATTAATCTCTGGAGTGGGAGTGGTGGTGAAGGCATGGTGGGGTAGCCTTGTGGTTCAAGCATTCACTCTGCTCACTGCAGACCTGGGTTCAATTCCCCATGTGGATAAAATGTGTGAAGCTCATTTCTGGTGTACTCACCACAATATTGCTGGAATATTGCTAAAAGCAGCTTTAAACTATACTCACTCACTCACTAAAGGGCACACTTAAATTAACCATGTCATTAGGGGTGGGTATTGCAGAGAATTTTCATATTGCGATATATTGCGATGCAAAATCATATATTGCAATATGTATTGCAATATATTGCAAGAAGTATTTTTAAGCAAAACAATATGTATAATCGAGTTAATGTTTGATTTATAAAGCATGAACACAACAAAATCACTATGCTCGATTAAGCTCTGATAAAAGCTTTTAATCTTGACAAAATAAAAATGTTATTAATATTTGGCACAAATGAAACTAGGAAATAACCGAAGATTTCCGAGTGTTACGAATTTTCCCGAATGAAAGTCAGTCAGTTTTCAATCAGTGTATCACAATACGTATCGTTTTCATGTCTGAACCGGTAAATCGCTTATATTGCACAGCCCTACATGTTATATGATTTATATTGATTTGATTGTTTCATTCCCTGTAAAGATCCAGGTTATAATTGTTTTTCAGTAACCCATGCCTGTTGTAAGAGGCGACAAACGTGATCAGGTGGTCAAGCTTGCTGTCTTGGTTTACACATGTCATTGTATCCCAATTGCATAGATCGATGTTCATGATGTCGATCACTGGATTGTTTTGTCCAGACTTGATGATTTACAGACCACTGCCATATAGCTGGAATATTGCTGAGTCCGGCGTTAAACAACAATCCAACAAGCAGTGATAAACAAATGTTTTACAAATGCTGTCATATCTGGAATATTGCTGAGTGTAGCAGCCTTAAACAACAAATACACTTGACGGTTTGGGCGACATGTAATATGGCTCTGTGTGTGTGCTCTGTATTTCATGGACAGTTGGTTTGACACAAATTAGAACTTATCTGACTGATGTGAATTATACACATCTTCATGAGCTGGCCCCGATTTCACGAAACAAACTTAAGTTTTTCTCAAATTTAAAACTCATTTTGACAATTTAAAACAGCTGAATTTTTAACTCAACTGCATTTTTTAAATAAAAAAGCCCCAACAACTTAAGTAATCTATCCACCAAACTCAAATTGTCTACTAAGTTTGAGTTTAATATTGATTTCAGTTTATTCTGGAAAATGCATTTCCTGCGTTTTCTCAAATTTGAGTAAAAACTCTGACTTAAGTCAAAACTCACACTTAAGTTTGTTTCGAGAAATCGGGGCCTGATTTGATATGAACACACCTCACTACTTTGCCACGTAGCGTTTGTTTTTTGTTTTCTCAGTTTAGTCCCGAGCTGGTGATCGTTGCAGCCGGCTATGACTCAGCCATCGGGTGCCCTGAGGTAGGTTATTATGCATGATGGTCTAATATTGTTTTTGTTCCATGGATTTTACAGTTTAGTTAGCCAGTCTCCTATCAATACATGTGAAACGATCTTAAGATGTGATTGTCACCATCAACGACATGGATTTTTGTTCATGATACCAAATACTTAATTGTATGGTCCAGAGTCAGTTATTTGAAGGCTGCCATGGTGTAGAGTTTGGAATAACCAACAAACAAGCCTCAAACTCATCAGAATAACTTCCAGTTCTATCATTACAGAAGAGAAATCATTTGTCTTTATGAAGAGAATCGACTACTTTTTATTACTACCCCTTTTATTCAATTCTTGATATTGTATAAGCATCACACTCTCCCACATAGGATTGGATTTTAAAATTGTCACAAGCAACCTCATTGATGTTTTTAAGAGGCAATCGTCACAGGTGGAGCGTCTGGCTTGATGACGTTATTGTTTGGGTGTCTTCATATACACATGGCATTGGTCATTGCTTCGAAGATCAATCACTTGATTGTCTTGTCTGAATGTCAATGAGTGCAGCCAAGCAATAATGCAGTACTGACAACATTACTGAAAGATGTGACACTAGTAGGAGTAACAACATTACTGAAAGATGTGACACTAGTAGGAGTAACAACATTACTGAAAGATGTGACACTAGTAGGAGTAACAACATTACTGAAAGATGTGACACTAGTAGGAGTAACAACATTACTGAAAGAGGTGACACTAGTAGGAGTAACAACATTACTGAAAGATGTGACACTAGTAGGAGTAATGAAAGTAATGGGAGAACAAGGCATCTGTGTAGTAGTGCACACAACCAAACAACAGTTGACTTTTAATTTTACCCACTTTGCAGGGTTGTTCATTTCAAATTCATGATTTCTAACCCCTCAGTTTACATGTGTTGTCAGGGTGAGATGAAAGTAACACCGGCCTGTTTCGCTCACTTTATCAACTTGTTGTCGCCTGTCGCTGCCGGCAAGATCTGCTTGATACTGGAGGTAAGTCTGTCAGGGTGAAATGAACCAGGGTCGCTCTCTTCACCCATTGCTACTAAATTTACCTCCAGTGTTGCTGCCAGTTACATTTGTGACCCACTCATGATCTGCAACAATGTGAGACAGTATTTCATCCTTTTCTAAATTCTTGGCTGGCTGTCAGTTGGTATGTCTGACTACACTCTCCCTAGCCAGTTTCACATACTACTTCCTCTTGAAAAATCAAATAAATCAGATGTTTAGATCCCCATAAAGATCCACGATACAATTTGTCATCAGCAGTCTATGCTTGTCATGAAAGCCAACTAATGGAACTGGATGGTTCAACTAATTGACCTGGTTGATGCAAATCACAGTATCCCAACTGCACAGATCGATGTTCATGATGTCGATCACTGGATTGTCAGCCCAAAGTCTGATTATGGACAGACTGCTGCCCCACAAGTGCAAAACAAAAAACAAGCAATATAGTTTCTGAAAGCTTGAAACCTGCATTAAATCCAACAGCATGTCTCTGACAGTGTTATTTTTGTCCACGTCTATAGGGTGGCTACTGCACCAAGTCCCTGTCTGAGGGCTTGGCGTTGTCACTGCGAGCCCTGCTGGGGGATCCCTGTCCGAGCATTGAGAAGACACACGAACCCTGCTTGAGGTAACCATTCAGTAACCAATACCATGATGAAACTAATCATTTACCTGGATTCATCCACAAGTTATACAACTTCTGCTGCATGTGTTAGTAAATTCTCACGATTCCAGCTTCATGCTATTTAGGAAATAAAGTTCGCTCTACCCCAATGTGTTTTGTAATAAAGTATAGTTTTGCCCTGAACTATTATAATTAAAGCACGAGGACGGTAGTCCGAGTGCTTTGATGTTATAATAGTTCAGGGGTAGTTTGGGGTAGAGCGAACTTTACATCTTTTCTAAGATGCTAAATTTAATACTTTCTAAGGATAATTACGATTAATCTAAGGCAGAAAACAAATGACGGTGTCGGTGACCTAAATTAAGAATCCTCGCACAGGGCTAACTGGTGCGCTGTTCTATTGATGTGTCTGCCCCCCTACGTTAAGACGAACGTTACCAGAAAAAAACAAATGATAACAGTTTGATGACGGTTTACGTTCGGATTAAATATCTTCTCTGAATTATTTTAATTACATCTGTCATTAACGTAAACCATATGGGGCAATATGAACGTCGCATTTCTACTACCAACGTAAGTTTAGATCAGTACATCCAGATGAAGCTGAGTAGTCAAGTGACATTCCACGATTGCATTGTGGGAATGTAAACATTGCAAACGTTACCGTGTCGCTGAAAACTTGCTAGTCGAATTGAGACATTTTAACCATCGTAAAACATAAACGTAATGTTTCCACCAGTGATGGTAGCTGCGTGAAGCAACTGCAAACCAAGAAACGGGATGCAACGGAGTAGTTTACTGAAGGAGGCCGTACGAGGCGATGACAACTGACATGCATCGTGATGTCACTTACATTCTGACGTAATGTAAAATGTTTCGATTACGAGGGGGCACACTAGAATCGCGCAGTGACGGGATAACGTCATTCAATTGTTACGTCATCAAAAAACTATACCTTTATTGTCTCATAATGTATTCTTTTTTCGATTGTTCTAACCGCTAGGCATCTTAGAAAATAGTTTGTGGAGGTTACCTGAATTTCAGGATGAATAAGGAGGCAGAGGTTGTAATGTTTAAGTTAACATTGATACACTGAATCAAACTGAATTGAATTGTTTAAAAAAATTTAAAATCAGAACATTATCAAACAAAACTTTTTCTGTTTTCCAAGATCACTTTATTTGGAATTATAGAATCCTTGTCGACTGATGTTGAAATCAAAAGGACTTGTTCGTAATAATGTGTGTTGAGTCTTCCTTGAATCATTTGCATGTTACTATAATCATGGAAATATTATATCAGGATAGATTTTATGGAGTTTATGGTTTATGAATGATTGTAAACCGAGTAGTTATTAAATATTGGGTGGCTTTGGGGTCAAGTGGTGTTGTTGGACAAAATCAGTTCTAAAACTGCTTGTTAATCGTTATATCTTTCTGTTTTTCTCAAATGTGATAAAATATGGAGCTGAATGGCAAATACAAATAATCAATTTGTTTCATGGCATCTACATCTTTCAGTGTGATGGAGACTATACTCAATGTCCTGAAGCTTCACAGACAGTACTGGCGGAGTCTCTGTTACCAAGGAGTTCTCTCCCTTGGGGAGAAGCCTGCAATACCATCTCTACTCCGACTACCTCCAATGTAAGTGTTCATGATAGCAGGACTGTATTAGTATTTTAGTGGACTACACTGTTCTGCAATCTGATTGGTTGAAAAACATGGTTGTTGTAGTAAAAGTAAACTTTGATCATTCATTCTAAATAAATAATGATTCGATCATTTCCCTGTCAGATATTAACTTTTTCAAAGATTTTTTTTGCCTCTTTGTTTCAGTCCTGGGATGACTTTACGCACAATCGGCAAACCTTTAGGCAAGATACCTCTGCTGCAGGATTGTTACGATGTCATGCAACATGACATGGTGAAAGAAGCTCTCTTCCAGCAAATAGATGACCTCATACGGAGCACAGATCTGCATGTACCTAAACACAAGTGAGAAACTACTGTCACATGTTTTAATTGTCTTCAGTTCCATTCATTCAATGTTTTATTTTATTTTGCCTTTTTTATCTTTGCATACTGATGAAGGAGTATGGGGTGGTGGGTTGCTCATCCCGCCGAAGACCTGGGTTCGATTCCCCACATGGGTACAATGTGTGAAACCCATTTCTGGTATACCCCCTGTAGTGATATTGCTGGAATATTGCTAGAAGTGGTAGATTTGCGAAATCTTCTGTGACTGTGAGACACTTTTCTGAAATTCTCTGAATCAGTTACTTTCTTTATCTTTAGATGGTCGGAATTATGCATGTACAGCAAGGGGTCTTTGTCGTAACCATTACTTATAATGTATAATTACATAATCTTCAATAATCATGTTATACCACATGTACATCTAAGGGATTCAAGTGTTCCACTATCATTCGCAAGCAAAAGGGAGATAAGCAAAAGATCATGAGTCAGGATAAGTATAAAAATATCAATTTTACTTGAAAAATTACATATTTATTTGTGTGTCAGCAGTATTGTCGAAACAAAATGACTTCATCTTTAAATACAGTAATTTAAAAATTGGAACTTTTAATTTCAGTCTGTGCCATTTGCACTATGTAATAGTTTCTGCCTTATTTGTTTGGAGGGTAAATGGTGTCCTAAAAAGTATGCAAGCTAAAAAGAAAACATTGCTTAGCAAGAGAGTTTATTTTGGGCTGTAATGTATTCATGGATTCATTTGTGTAATTCAATGATGGATATCTGTGCAGGGTGTGCCTTGTGTATGATGAGAAGATGTTGCTGCATAATGATACAACAAGTGGGTGAGAAGCTTTCTTTTATCTTGAAACTATTTTGTAAAGAACAATAACATGACTATTTATTATAATGTTTTCATCCCAACACCCCAACAGCCTATATCACATATTGTAGCCTCCAAGTATCCTGTAAAAGTGAAGAACAGCACTTGTCTTCATTTGGTTAACACCTCAGAGAGTTGATGGTCTGTGACTTGATGCTGATTTTTGCCAAAAGATGTTAAAATATTTTTTTGGGCCTGGCAATCGGTTTTAAAGAGCCGTGAAACTGGCATCAACCCAGGTTAGTACAAGCATCCAGTAAGCAAACGTTTTGATGGCTGTGCTAAACAACAAACATGAATGCTATAGTCCAGTCAATCTAAGGCGGAAAATGGGTCAACCTCAAACAAATTGCAAAAGAAATGGTTTTAAGTATTCAATGCTTGAAAACCGGAGTTAAAAAGTGTACCATTTCAAGGCAAATGTTGCCAGTGCCGTCAAGTAGATTACTTGTTGCATTTGTAAAATCATGCCATATCTTTGGATCATAAGCGAAGACAATGCACAAATGATGTATAAAATAACTTACCTGATTGGATAGTTGACTTGAAACAGCAAACACACATGTTTATGAACTTCTTTTGACGTCTCGATTTAGCTTGTTTGCCGTCAATCAAACAGAGTTGTCTCCCTTTTTCCCATGGCGTCCCAAACGGGTCAAATTCGGGTTTGGTAAATGGATTAAATTATTTTAACTATTTTTATTGTTTCCCCTCTTTAGATTTTATTAGACTTTTAATATGTCATTTAGACAATGCCAATGAACATATTTATCGCAAAATAAATTCTTTTGCAATTTGTTTGAGGTTAAATCGTAGATTGACTGGACTACTAGGTAGGACAAGATACATGATGTATGTAATCAAGTACAGACGTACAGTGAAAGGATTTGGTGTGTAAGGTTGTGTTCATTAACTTACGTTAAGCTATTTAACAGGTTGTTAGTGTTAAACGGTACGTTAAAATAACGGCATTATGAACAACCAGGCCCAGGTCAACAAGGAAAGAAACAAAGAAAATGTCTCATACCTCAAAACTTCTAAATTCTAATTAAAAATATATTGTGACCTTAACCATGGTTATTGTGTGTTGATCCATGTCTCGTTTTTACCCAATGTCGTGATTAAGTACCATTGTTAAAATATGTATTAAGGTTTTTAGATACAGTGAACTCTTTCTTTAAACATGTTGAATGGATGTCTATTTTCTCAAGAGGTTTTGAAGAAAATCCTCATCGGGTGATACAGATCTGTCAGAATCTCAAGGATCAGAATCTATGGGAAAGGTGTTTTTATGTACAGGTGAGCCAGAGAGAAATGAATATATTTCTTCATTTAATTTCAAGGGAGATAAACTGATTATTTATTTCCTGTCAGGAGTTGAGGTCCCATGTGTCTTTTATGTTTGAAATCATTGACCTCATGAGGTCATAATGGTTGCTAAATCTGTGTCAAATGTGATATGTTGAGCTAATGAATCTCAACTTGGCTCTTAGCTCTTGGCTCTTGGCTCATGCTCACCATGTGGGATTACAGCAATATTCCAGCAACATCACAACGGGGGACTCCAGGAATGGGCTTCACATATTGTACCCATGTGGGGAATCGAACCCTGGTCTTCAGCGTGATGAGCCCATGCTTTAACCACTAGCCTACCCCACCGTCCCCTGGGGATTCTGAGGCCCAGTACTCTTTGTGGTTACAATTTGTGAGGTTCCTCATGGAAACAACTTTTCTAAATGTTTTTATTTCATTTTATTTTCACATATATTTTATAGGAGGTTCGTTGAATCCATTAACCTAATAAGAAACAATTTGTGGCTTAAGAAGTTGCTCTGATTTTTGTGGGACAGTAGGTCAGCGGATGTTAATTAGTTTGTAGGGTGATACTAAATTTCCTGCTATCATGATATCTATGTTATATTTGGCTGTCTGTGTTTCAGGGTCGACCAGCCACAGAGGAGGAGTTGATGCTTGTGCACAGGTAATCAATAGGCAGAAACATTATGCTGCAGATATTAATGTACATGTTTGATTTTTCATAAATGTATTTCATCACATTTTGTCACCATTGTGTGAGTATTACGTGTTGAGGAGGTGTTGCTTTAGGAAACTGTCCAGGTCTAACTGTGATGTAGTTAGTTTCACCTCGTAGTGATTCAGACCACCTCCTTGGTGTAGTGGTTAGAGCATCCGCCCAGAAAGCATCATACCAAAAGACATTATGATATGGGTACAACAAGGACTGGTCGTCTCAGAGTCAGTGTAATGTGTCTGAGTGGGGCATTCATGCTTAACTGCGGTATGGTATCTCAGTGAGCTAGCACTATAAAACCAGCTTAAGTCTGGGCTAGTACAAGCAGCCGCACATACACAAACATGCACGTTGTCATATGAGCGAAATATTCTTAAGTGCAACGTTAATCCCAATTTTACCTCACCTCATAGTGATTCATGTCACTCTATCCCAATTGCATATATAGATGCTCATGCTGTTGATCACTGCATTGTCTGGTCCAGACTCGAATATTTACAGACTGCCGCCATATAGCTGGAATATTGCTGAGTGATATGTTAAACAGCAAACAAGCAAACAAACATAGTTATTCCTGGTTAGATGTGGTTCAGAATACCACAGATGAGGGAAACTGTGTCATACCTAGAATTAGAAGTGTTTGAAGAGGGGTTGTTTAATATATGGGGTGGAGATCACACATTTTATCCGACTGGCAGTGTCAATCTGTGTCTGATGACCTCTGATGTTGGTTGTTTCTACACAACCTGCTGTATATTGTTGCGTGTAAGGGCGAGTCTTTCGTACCTAGAATTAGAGGGGTTTGAAGGGGGGTTGCTTTACACACAGGGTAGAAGATCACACATTTCTTTCTGACTGGATATGTCAACCGGTGTCATTTGGCTTCTGATGTTTGTTGTGTCTACACAGCCAATCATCGTATAAGATAATATTGTGACACAAACATGTTTCTATTACAAGTTTAGGAACCATGTATGCTCTGATGATGTGCTTTGTTCAGGATCGCGTTATAGATGAGGTATATAAATTAGTGTTGATTTTGAAGGTTTGTACAAAGGCATCATCTTACGACATTGGTTCACTTTATTCGTGGTGATATAAGGTACACTGGTTGTAAGAGGCAACTGAATGTGTCGTCATACCCCTGACATGGATCAGTGCTTATGATATAAGTCACTGGATTGTCTGGTCCAGTCTGAGTTACCTACAGACTGCTGTCATATAGCAGGAACCATTTTGGCCTAAGCCATAAGGCAACATATCAAACTGTTGAGTTCCTAAATCTGTTGCTTGACTGCACATCGTGTTTAAAAACAAGCTGAAAGGTTTTCTGTGTTTGAACATTGCCTTGTTGGTTCTTGTTGTCAGGGAGGACATGGTGAAGAAGGTGAAGAAATGTCAAAACATGCAAGAAGACACGCTGGCCAAATTCCAGACTCTCTTCAAATCTATATATCTCTCTCAGGTTGGTCAGTTCCTGACTTGCTTCAAGTCTATACTGTATTAATCTCAAAGACACTCTTCAAGTCTAAATATCTGCTTGGCTCATTCCTGACTATCATGAAGTCAGTCTCTTTCTCCAAGCGAGGTCCGTCACGATATGGCTGAGATATTGCCAATGTGACGTTAAATATTAACTCACTCTCCCAAGCAATGTCCAGTCTAGATTACCAAGATTAATTATCTCTCAAAGTTAGGACCATCTCAGCCTCTCGTAAAGTCAGACGATTGTCTATGCAAGGCCCATTCCAGACTCTTCAAGAAAGTACATGTCTTGCATAGAACAATGTGAATGAGAATCATTTTCTAATTATGTGACACAAATGTGAAAACAAATAAAACAAAGGGATTTTTCTCCAAATAATAAATAAAGGATAAAGTTCCAAGGGATAGCGTCTGCTCCTCTGTAACTCCAGTAAAGCTCCCGTGCATCATGTACCCCCTGCTGTGTTGTAGGGAACCTATGAAGCTGCCAGCTACGCTGTAGGGAGTCTACTTAATGTAGTCGACACAGTCGTCAACAGGAAGGTGAGGTATTAATGTTATCACTGGATGATGAGGATTTGGAAAATATTTATATGAAATGATTCCAAATCAAAATATCATGAAAGGAGGTAAATTGTGAATAACAATTACAATAAGAAGGCCAGGTGGATATGACTTGATATGATACGATATATTCCAGTATATACAAAGAAAACTATAACATGAATTTCACATCTACACGTTTCAACTTTATCTTCAGGGATTGATTATAGTTACAGATTAAACTATATAATAACATCAGAATGGAACGTTCACAAACCCTGTGATGTGGAATTGCCATGACGTCACATTAGCAGTTTCAATGACGATGGCACATACAATGTTCCATACATGTTTACCTGGGTGCCGTTGTACAAAGCGATCTTAGCGATAAGGTGACCTTTACTCCCATACCTTAACACAGACTTACGACTGGCGTAGCGCTAAGGTGACCTTTACTCCCATACCTTAACACAGACTTACGACTGGCGTAGCGCTAAGGTGACCTTTACTCCCATACCTTAACACAGACTTACGACTGGCGTAGCGCTAAGGTGACCTTTACTCCCATACCTTAACACAGACTTCACGACTGGCGTGGCGCTAAGGTGACCTTTACTCCCATACCTTAACACAGACTTACGACTGGCGTAGCGCTAAGGTGACCTTTACTCCCATACCTTAACACAGACTTACGACTGGCGTAGCGCTAAGGTGACCTTTACTCCCATACCTTAACACAGACTAACGACTGGCGTAGCGATAAGGTTGCTTTGTACAACGGCACCCTCTTCAATGATGGACTCAACTTTTTAATGAAGTAGTTTTCCTTAGCTTTTCGCTGCATTGTATCAACTGTATTTTAAAAACAGGAAATATTCCAGTTGAATTTCAATTCCTGTTCCTCAATTATCGATGTGAGCACTTTCATGGTTCCTATATTTGTTGTTTATGAATAGCCATTTATGGACAGAATGCTTCAATATCATAAGGACTTATTTGTTGTTTCAGGCTGAAAGTGGTGTTGCTGTAATAAGGTGAGCAAATTAAGAATCCTTCATGTCAATCCTTCATGTCAAATGGAAAACAAGGATTATTTATATTAGACATTTATATCATATTTATACACTTATATAAAAAATATCAGTGTTTTAATTAGAAACAGATGATTATTGAATGTTGGCATACAATAATTGATATATCATAATTATATATATTATATCAACTTGGATGTGTCACAATTTATTCGAATACAGCAGTATTTTAATTATGAGAAAATGGTTATTGACTGTTGGACGTATCACCAACTGACTGTTTCCTGTCTGGGTGTCTACAGGCCACCAGGTCACCATGCCGAGACTGACTCCATGATGGGATTCTGTATATTCAACAACGTCGCCATAGCAACCAAGTATGCACAGAAACACTATGGTGTTGGCAGGTTAGTAATGTTTGGTCAGTGTCCTGACTTTTCCAGGGGCGGTGGCGTCACGCCGAAGACCCGGGTTTGAATCCCCACATGGGTACAATGTGTGAAGCCTATTTCTGGTGTCCCCCACCGTGATGTTGCTTGAATATTGCTAAAAGCGGCGTAAAACCATACTCAGTCAGTGAGTCCAGGGTCGGTGGGGTAGCCGCGTGGCTAAAGCGTTCACTCGTCACACCGAAGACACTGTTTTCATTCCCGACATGGTGTGAAGCCCATTTCAGGTGCCCCGTGCAGTGATATTGCTTTGATAGTGCTAAAAGAGGTGTAAAACCATACTCACTCACTCCTGACTTTTACAGAAGGGTCCCAAGCCATGTGGATGTTTTGAAGTCATAACCTTCACTGCTCAGAATGGGGCTCCATGTTGGCTTTGACCGTTGAAATCAATCACCATTGGTTCTAAAATGGATTACGGGCATCAAATACTCAATAACTCCAAAATATGAAAACTCAAGTATATTGACATTGGAAATACAAGAGTTTAAAAGTAGTCTAAATAATCCAGTTTTGTTCCATTCAATATGAATGAATTGAAGAGTTAAATGGACACAATAGTCCTGTCATGACACTTGGCAAGATATGTATCAATAGTCCATAAGGCTTCTAGGCTTTGAATCCCATACATCACGGTCTTCTATCCAATCAGATTTCTGCAAACACTGCTGAATATATCTTACACTGAGTTACCTCCCCCTAGCACTTGTTCCTTTTAGCTGCCTCTACTGTTTCAGGTTTCTCGGCTTTAATGACATTCTTCATGCTTTTCTATCCAATCAGATTTTGTCTACTGTTTCAGAGTGCTGATCGTCGACTGGGATGTTCACCATGGTAATGGGACACAGTCCATGTTCTACACAGATCCTAGGTAATACACTCCACTAGACACATTGATCTTTATACAGAACATTCTCTTGCATGGGTTTGACTATACCTTGTATTTAAGACTGTAATGAAATATTTGTCGCAATACTGGTCTGTTATCAATAGTTGACCTTGAATATGATGCAAGTATACAGCACATAAAACAAATAAAAAATACAAGATGAAAAAACTGACCTTGTTTTAAATGCTACAACGAAACTGGGGAGGTCTGCCCCACCATCGGGAAGGAAGATACAGGTGATCTATCGCTGGTCTAATTTGTGGCCCCTTTGACTTCTTGTAATAATACTTAACTGTAATTGTTGTTTCAGCATATTTTTCTATACAAGTATTGGAGCACGTTATTGTGTATGTCAGCATATTACTATATGTTTAAGCACATTTTTATATACACTGTATTTATGTTTATTATTTGTACGGCCATTGTATATTTCAGTGTCCTGTACATATCCCTGCATCGGTTCGAGTCGGGCTGTTTCTACCCCTACAGCGGCTGTGGGGCCCTGAACAGAGTCGGGTATGAGGAAGGGACCGGGTACAACGTGAACATCCCATGGAGCGGGGTAAATATCACACCCTCATTAGTAGCATCTCTTCAGTGTTAGGAAGGGTCTGGGTACAACATGAACATCCCATGGAGCAGGGTAAAAATCACACCCTCTTTAGTAGCATCTCTTCAGTGTAAGGAAGGGACTGGGTACAACGTGAACATCCCATGGAGCGGGGTAAATATCACACCCTCATTAGTAGCATCTCTTCAGTGTAAGGAAGGTACTGGGTACAACGTGAACATCCCGTGGAGCGGGGTAAATATCCCACCCTCTTTAGTAGCATCTCTTCAGTGTAAGGAAGGGTCTGGGTACAACGTGAACATCCCGTGGAGCGGGGTAAATATCCCACCCTCTTTAGTAGCATCTCTTCAGTGTAAGGAAGGGTCTGGGTACAACGTGAACATCCCATGGAGCAGGGTAAATATCCCACCCTCTTTAGTAGCATCTCTTCAGTGTAAGGAAGGGTCTGGGTACAACGTGAACATCCCATGGAGCGGGGTAAATATCACACCCTCTTTAGTAGCATCTCTTCAGTGTAAGGAATTATGGTTCAAACTTGAGGCATTCATGAAACATATCGTTGTAGATCTTGCTGGAATATTGCAATAAGCAGCATAAAACTGAACTCACTCACTCACACACTCTACTTGTTTTTATTACCTGTTAGATTTTACAATCATATTAGCAAGTTTTCAATATATACTGACACTGTGCGTAACTGTGGGTTTATTTATCCACAATCGGATTAGGAACAGATCATCTTCTATAACCACACTGTTTTTGAGTGTGACATCCTTCATTTGAACTGTTGCTTGTATGAGTGAGTGAGTTTGTGCCAGTAACTACAAACACTACCAACTGAAGCTTGTTTCTTAACATGACATCCTTTGTTGACTGGTATACACATTGTTTAATTTGGGGTTTTTTAATGTATAGCTTTCATGGTTAAAATATAGCTGAAATACTGCTGATGTGATTTTAAAAATCAACTCACTCACTCACTAAATATGGCAACATTGTAACTGCCTCTTAGGCTGAAATTGCAGGGGCGGTGGGATAGCCTAGTGGTTAAAGCGTTCACTCGTCATGCTGAAAACTCGGGTTCGATTCCCCACATGGGTACTATGTGTGAAACCCATTTTCTGGTGTCCCCCACTGTGATATTGCTGGAATATTGCTGAAAGGGGTGTAAAGTTAAACTCTCTCACTTGCAGACCTTAGAAGTATTTTGAATTTCTTGAACTACATTCGTTACCATGACTACTGAATATTTGATTCTGAATACTTCTGTAAGTACACTGTTCTATATCATGTTGTGTTTGATTCAGGGGGTCATGGGAGATGGCGACTATATGGCAGCATTTCAACAGATCATCCTGCCTATAGCATATGAGGTACAGTGATTGAGGAATAGGGTACATCTACTCCATCTTGTGTATTGTAGTGCTGTACAGAGTTGCATCCCTTTGGTATCCCAGGATGCTGGTTTTGGGTTAGAAATCACAGGTTCACCCTTGATTTTTTTTTTAAGCTAAATACATGTCTGCATGTTCAATCAACTGTTGACTAAGATTCCCAACAAGTTACAACAGAAGTTTCATAATTGGGGGTGATCCTGCGTACAGACAGATGCAAGTCAGTTTATTGTGCAACATTACCTCTTCCATAGACCACCTCCGTGGTGTAGTGGTTAGAGCGTCCGCCCGGAGTGCGGAAGGTCGCGGGTTCGATCCCCGACCACATCATACCAAAAGACGTTAAAATAAGGTTCTTGTTGTCCCTGCCTGGCGCTCGGCATTAGTGGGTACAACAAGGACTGGTCGGCTCGGAGTCAGTATAATGTGTCTGAGTGGGGTATTCATGTTTCACTGCGGCATGGTATCTCAGTGGGCTAGCACTATAAAACCAGCTTCAGTCTGGGCTAGTACAAGCAGCCGCACATACACATACACACGCATGCACGTCGTCATATGAGCGAAATATTCTCAAGCACGACGTTAAACCCAATTCCACCACCACCTCTTCCATTATTTTTAGAATGACATTAGAAACAATAATAATGAGATAATTACCCTTGTGATTCGATTTCAAATAAAGAGTTATGAGAGGGCTTTGATTGCCAATGGCTCTATATCATAGTTAGACACTCAGTAATAATGACCGTGAAGGTCCGGGTTAGAATTGATCTTCAGTAACCCATGCCCGTCGTAAGAGGCAACTAACGGGATCGGGTGGTCAGGCTCAGTGACCTGGTTGACACGTGTCATCGGTTCCCAATTGCCTTGATCGATGCTGTCGATCACTGAATTGTCTGGTCCAGACTCGATTATTTACAGAAAGACCGCCGCCATATAGCTGGAATATTGCTGAGTGCAGCGTAAAACTAAACTCACTCACTCACTCAGTAATAATGTCCAATGGTTTCACTTAATGGTAACTATCCTTCACCTGTGTCACTTCTGCTAAATTTCCCTAAATTTAACTGACTTGTGATATATTTTTGTGTCCATCATGTGTGTGTGTGCATGCATACGTGTTCTCGTGCGTACCTATGTGGTGATAGAGGACAGGTGGAAGGGTGCTTGTATGACAGCTGATATGTAGGACCTGAATGAGTGGTCAGTGTTCTGAAAATATCCTTGCTCAGTAGCCCAATGTGTGATAACTCTGTTCCAGTTTGACCCGGAACTTGTGATGGTGTCAGCAGGATTTGATGCTGCTTGTGACGACCATATGGTAAGTCCTGCCAGAGACTAGGGCTGCAACGAATACACTATGTGGCGAAGATGATACGTATCATGAATATTGGGTAACGAATACGAATAATTATTCACAAATACAATATTGTAGTTAAGTGATTGATGTACAATATGGAACGCCCATGTTGACAGTTTTGATTTGTCACAGCAATAACCAGTGATCTCATGACACTAAAATTTGGCATGTAATAGTTATAATCGACAGTACCATGTGCAGTCTTGGCAAACTAACATGACTTGCACTACTGCAATGCTAGTACATGTCCCATTCTTGCACATCTCACTTTGGAAAGGACATATGGGTTCAAGTAAAACATGCTCCCTTAAAAAAATCGAAAATATTCGTTAATATTCGGTTCTGGTGACCACAAATAACAAATTGAATTCATGAAGGGCTACGGTTCGATTCACCGAATATGCGAGTGAATCGTTACAGCCTTACCAGAGACCATAGAATATATTATATGGTCTCTGATCCTACATGTTCAGCTTATCATCAGTATTTTTCCGACAGCAATTTTTTGAAGAGTCTGTCGTTTGTAGGCATTTTAAACTACTGACTACCCATGCAAGTAAGCTACAGTGCCTTTGTTATGTTTGTATGCTTCTTTATTCACTGAGCACACAAGTCAGATGTCAAAGCAGTTTCCTAACTCAAGTGTCTCTTTTCATGTGGTCATGCTATTGTTGCAGGGAGGATACAGAGTTAGTGCCCCTTGTTTTGGTCACATGGCCAGTATGCTGAAAGGCCTGGCAGGAGGAAAGGTTATCCTAGCACTTGAGGTACCGTAGTTTCTTATGAGAAGAGAAATATTTTGTCTGGAAAATTCTAGCATTAAGGATTTTCTTGTTGTTTTATTGATTAGAATGGTGACTTAGACTCATATTGTCTCTTAATCCAAATCCTTTTTATACATCTACTTTTATTTTGGCATTATGAAAATGTTTGTTTACTTTTGTAAAAAAATTACCCCTTATGATATTCACCATCACTAAAACTTTGTATTGAATTTCTCTGTTGATTTCTATTATTTGTTTCAATAGGGAGGTTACAACCTGGAAAGCACCTCAGAAGCATTTGCTACATGTGTAGCAGCTCTGCTTGGGGATCCCTGTACTCAGTTACCTCCCCTTACACCAAGTTCAAGGTTGGTTATGCCCAGATCAGTTCAGTTACACATTACTAGGGACGATAGGTGAGCCACGTGGTTTACTACGATGAGAACACTATAGTGTATATGGGGTGAGCACCGATGGACAGGTTGCTGCTGCTGATAGTGGGTTCAAACCCTGCCTGTCAGGTCCATACAGGTCCAGACTCGATTATTTACAGACCGCTGCCATATAGCTGGAATATTGCTGAGTGCGGCGTAAAACTAAACTCACTCACTCACTTACATGAAGCTGAGGAACTGTATCATGTCTGAAATACTGTTTCATAACCAGGGCCTAGATTTTCGAAGCTCTCTTAGGGCTAAGATAGTCGTAAGTGCCATACATTGACATTAACTTACGACTAACTTAGCGCCAAGAGAGCTTTGAAAATCTAGTCCCAGGTCACTTACTGATATGTGAACTTGTGTTTTTGTACTAATAAATTGTGATTTTTCGCGTAAGAATACTTAGCGGTACACCAAGGTGAAGGTCGTTCATGACGGCGGCATATGGTTGTGACTAGTCGCTAATACAGTGCAAACATAACTCATGCTTAAAATAAGATCTTTCTGTCAAAAAAGAACAACCAAATCGGGCAGGGTTTTCTTGGTAGTGTTTCTGTTTTCATTGCGGGTAATCACCTCATCAATATCAGTTTCTGATACCTGAAGGAATCGATTCGTCATTGTGATCGATAGATCGAAATCCTTGGTTGGTACCTTTCTTAGGCGATAGCCTGTCACTCATGCCTCATAATCCGTACCTTCAAGTTGAACAAAGTTCTCCATTTCATGTTTTCCAAAGTTAATTACTGCAGTAACGACTCCAGAACCTCTGTCATCAATTCTACAGAATCACCAATTTTGATAATGGGGGCAGCTATGTTTGTTTAAAAACTCGTCAACGCAATGTAAACTCGAGACGTCATCTGAAATGTTTGCGTTTAAGGATTCACATGGCATGTATGGAGTTTTGAGAAAGTAGTTCGTGGATTGACGTAATTTGCATAGTTATCAGATTATGACACCAAGTTTATCAGATTGCTTTATTGCACCGATAACACCTTCCATTAGATGATAAAAGAGGATATAAGTGGCTCAGTCATTTAAAGAGCCACATTATACTATTCTGAGTCCCTTTAGCATGCCAGGGACCAGTCATAATTTGCGTCTTGGTTTAACTGTTTCTGTATTTGTCAGCATCGTATAAATGTTTGTGGATTTCACCAAAGTGGTAGACATGTCTTAGATCACCTGGTTTCTACTCCCACAGCCAGTTTGACCCTTCATTATACAGATGCATTACCGTTCTCAAAACCTGCCAGTCCCGAAACATTCAAAGGAAATTGAAATTTACCAGCTGTTTTAAATGTAGTATTCTTGTCATTTTAATTTTGGCTCAATTTGACTTCAATCGCCAGCAGCTGAAGGGATGATATAAATCCAGCTAGGGTCCATGCAGGTAGCAAAAGTACTGTAAGTCCCCATGGTCCCTAATTTGGTGATCTACCTTCAGTTGTTGGCGATCTATAGCCAGTTTTTATATTGTATTGTCCAAATAGTGCTATTAGTTTTAACTTTCCACACTAGTTTTAGTTGTAATTGTGATATTCTAGTTGTTTTACTGTCCTTCGTAGACAGGTTTTTATATACATATATTCCATTTCAATGTCAAATATGTTCTCGTCACGATATGGCTGAGATATTGCCGATGTGACGTTAAATATTAACTCACTCACTCAAAACCTGCCACTGATTGATACCGAAGCAGTGTATATAGTAGACAGCTGGAAGACTATCACACACATTGGTCTGAGCTTTTCTGCCTCTTCTCTTTGCTGAAAACAAGACTTGACAGTGTTGTGTTCAGTCGTGAATATACAGTCACCAAATGTGTTCACAGTTTACAAATTTGTGACATATCGATGGTCAGGGATTAAATACTATACTGTGTTGTGTAGCACAGGGTGTCTTACTTGTCTAAAAGTGCTTGAATTTGTCAAAAGGGTCATGATATACTTGTCTGAGTGTGCTGGATGTACTTGTCCGATGTTTCAGAGGTGCGGAGTGTATATGCAAGGTGCTCGATGTCCACAAGCAATACTGGAGGAGTCTACAGTGCAGGAGTAAGTGTTCATTCAGATTTTAGGTCTTTTTCCACTTTTTTTATTCAGATGAGTAGGTACCTTCATACATTGCTACACAAACTTCATGCATCATACAGGATTGTACATGTTGAAGAGTCATGACATATCAGTGTTTGGAAGTGACAGTGAGAAACATGTACAGCATATTCATTCAGTTTTTAGGTCTTTTTCCACTTTTTTATTCACATGAGTAGGCACATTCATACATTGCTACACAAAGATCATGCATCATACTGGATTGTACATGTTGAAGAGTCATGACACATCAGTCCATGCTGTAAGTGATGGTAGCCATTTTCTCACAGATTCAAATGGTTGGCTTTTCATTCTGGCAACATATTTGATTGATTTCTAATACCAGGGCTCGATTTAAGAGATGTTGCACCAGGAGCAACACATACTTGCACCAGCCAAATTCCAATTTCACTGCTTTTTATTGCAATACGTAATGCAACACATGCTAAATTATTTAGATTTTTATTCAGAAGTTTACCCACTGAAAAATTGACTTGCACTTGGTGCAAGTAAGACTAATAACTAGGTTGCATTTTGTAATATTGGGTTGCACCAGTGCAAGTAACAAAGCACTAAATCGAGCTCCGAATACAGATCATATATGTATGTCATCCTTTTAGTAGCCTCACGTATCAAACTTTACTGGGGACCCATTCTAGTATTGAATCCCCATATTGTAGTGTTGGTTTGAAATCTCACAATTGATGATTGGTTCAATACCAACAACCAATCATCGAAAGAAATTGGTTAGCGTCATTTTTTAGATTTTCCTATTCAGGTTGTAGTTGCAGATAAGTATAAAGAATAAACATTTGGTTCTCTGTTGTTGTTTTTTAGAAACTGCACAAATTACATTTGCAAATTTCACATCCAGTGTAAAATGATTCAGTTCCAGTGTAACATAAACTTCCCAGATTCTTCAAGAAATATTCAGTCATGACTTTTCAGAAAGTGAGGTGAGTTTTCTTAGAAATAAACACGTTTTCAGGCCCTGACAACGTCCTAGATATGTTCCATCATCAAGTATTTCAAACTCTATTACAGCGGTTCCAAAATCGTTTGTGTTCGATTATGAGAAAATGTGATCGATTGCTTGGTCGTTTTGGCCACTGCTACCAATCATTGATTATTTCAATTAATCGGAACACCACAACCATATTGAATCCTGGTTTATTGTGTATCATCCTCGCTGATGGAGGTATTATTGCCCATGCTTACAACCCCTGGTTTTACAAACCCAGAATCCAGTTTTACCTCACCAATGCTAAGGCCTGCTTGTGATAATATATTAAATTAATGTTAGTGCTCACAGCCACTTCAACATGTTTAATATAACTGTTGGCAGTTTATTCTGTTGTCGGTGTACCAAGGTAAATGACCATGCTGTGGCACTATTTTTTACATACACTTTAAAAAAACATTTAAAGACCATCTAATTATTTCATATTTGTATAGTTTGTCAATCTGTCGTGGCATGACAGAATGACTCTAGTTTTATAAAAGAATTAGGTGGTCTTTAACTCTTTTTGCGGTAGGGTAGCTCAGTGGTTAAAGTATTTGCTCATCACACTGAAGGCACGGGTTCGATTCCCCACATGGGTACAATGTGTGAAGCCCATTTCTGGTGTCTCCCACTGTGATATTGCTGGAATATTGCTAAAAGTGGCATAAAACTAAACTCACTCACTCACTCACTTTTTGAGTCAGTTGGAATAATGCCAACTATGGCATAGCACAACATGCATTCACTTACATACTTGATGTGTTGTCTCTCTTCCAGCGCCCCTCCCATCAGTCAGCATGCTGGTCCAGCCTGACGAAACCCCAGAGAAGGAACCCACGTAACCTGCATGGGAGTCCTGGACTCTTGTACATCATCATCTGCATACTTGTACAGCCACATATGCTAGACAAAAGAAGTTAAGGACGGCCCATTGCTTCCATATTAGTATAGTTAATCTGTACTGCCATAATTCTTCTTATCACCCATATGGTGAAACATAACCAGTGTCAGATACGTGTGCACATGTGCACATATCACTTTTGCTGAGCAGCCATTGTTTCTGTGTTTCGTCGTCTGTGACGTCATTAAACAATTGAACGTGACGTCAATGAAGTGGACCGTCACACTTGCTTGCCATGTTTAACTGCACAAATGTACATGAATAAAATGGACAATAAAGAAATTATTACACTCGACCAAGCATGTCATGACTTATATGAAACTCGTGTAAGTTTAATTTCACACTCGTTTTGTATAAGTCGTATTACACACTTGCTCGTGTAATAATCTCTATATGTTACTATATATTACAGATTAACTATAGAACTGGGTGTTTCTCAACTTTGGTTGTGTAGTACATGTTGAAAGGGATCTATAGAACCTTTAGGCTCATATTTCATTGAAGGTGTAATTGCTGCTTCTTCTAGGGTTTTTTTATCATTGAGTTTACAATTATATTTTTTTTCATTATCTGTAAACACAGTTTATTATATAGTTTCATATGGTCCTTTGTGAGTTATCAACTGGTTTTTCATAGGGCTGCTTTAAAAAAATATATGTGTGGCAGGGGTGGAAATAACTTTAAAATTGCTAGTGTACTCCGGTACAGTGGCACATGTAAAATCACTTGCCCTGGTAATTTTTCCACTATACTGTCCGTTTTCTTGTTGATTTTTTAAATAAACAACATAATTAACATTGGATAGTCAACTGGACACCGGTACAGTGTGATATACAAATTTGCTTGCCCGACAGAAAAAAACACTGGACTCAGACATCGGGCAATGGATTATTTCCACCCCTGTGTGGTGGCACGTGGTCCTGTGCATAGAGCTCAGGTCACAAATCAGTTGAAGTTAAGCAAGGTTGGGCTCGGACAGCCCTTGGATGGGTCACCGTGTTGGCAGCTTAACTCCTGAGAGTTTCTAGGACTTCAGTCCAGCCCCACAACGAAGCACATGTGATACATGTGGTCTCACCTTAGGCAAGCGAGTTTGTTCACAATTGCCTCTGTTCACCCAGCAGGAAATGGGTACCCGGTGAAATAAGTTGTGAGACTATTAACCTTCTAGCACCTAACAGGCAGCTTGGGTTATCCGGGGTAATAATGATCATATTGTGTGCTTTGAGCAGGATATCTAGCCTGGAAAAGGCGCTTTATAAATATTCTCATCATTATTAATGTGAAACACTAACGATGTTTGACAATTATGATCACTGGGCTTCACTGGACTCAGATTCACTTTTGGCTTCCATGGAAGTCAACACGGTGATGTTGATGAGTTCTGCAAGACCCTTGTTAACTAACAGTTGTGACCTCATTCTGTTGCTAGACCAGCTGGTAATTCTGCAGCCTTGTGGTTGAAGTGTTCACTTGTCAAGATTGTGTTTGATTCCGGTTTGTTTGTTTGCTTGTTTGTTGTTTAATGTCGCACTCAGCAATATTCCAGCTATATGGCGGCAGTCTGTAAATAATCATGTCTGAACCAGACAATCCAGTGATCAACAGCATGAGCATCGATCTATGCAGTTGGGATACGATGACATGTGTCAACCTAGTTGGTGAGTCTGACCACCACACTAATCACCTCTTGCAACAAGGATGGGTTGCTGAAGACCAATTTTTCATTGGTCTTGATATCAGTACAACGCATGAAGCTCAACTCTGTTGTTCTGACTTTGTCGAATATCACTGAAAGCTGTGTAAAAATGTTGTCTCACACCCAGGTGATACGCAGTGCTTTACTGGAAATACTGTTCACAGCTGAACTCCTGGCAATAACCAGTGATTTTGGCAGTATGGTAAAATGCTAGATGCTTACATTTCTCTTTCAACTAGTTTTTGTGAAGCGAAGTATCAATAACTAGATACACTGTCTTCTGGAATGTCTGTTCCTGTATTTTTGCTTTCGGTATTTACAGGGGACATACCGTTAACATGGGTCTAGAAGTATTTGCTATTTGATAAACCAAGGTTGTCTGTTCAAACTCAAGAGTACTTTATAATATGCAGAGAATATGAGACTGTTGTAGACTAAAGTGTTGTATCAGCTCTAAAGTGTTGTATCAGCTCTAAAGTGTTGTATCAGCTCTAAAGTGTTGTATCAGCTCTCAAAGAGCCAGAAAATATTACAAATGTTGGGCAGCATGGAATCTCACGAATGACACCATGTCAGGCAACTGTCTGCAGGAGTTTAACTCTCTGAAACTGGTCATTGATTGATTGTGTGCCATGTCTCCTTATGGTAATATATACTACTCAAAAAAGTTAAGGAACATCCAATTATTCGATGTTACTGTAGTTAGTAATAATAAATCAAGTGTTCTTTAATTTCTTGTGAGTAGTATATATACCCTGGAACCACCATGGGTTTGCTTTGAGTCTGGGTTGAATTACACAACAATCGATAAAGACATCAAATCAATTCCTCTGTGTATTTATGATAAAAACAAGCAGTGGTATCACAGTAGCCCTCTCAATGTTAGCATGGTTATGTTACATGCACTTGAACAACTTTGTTAAAGGATCATCCAGTCTCACCATTCAAGAAAATGTCTTTTTCAACTGGATGTTCAATCATGACTGTGTTTTCATTTGTGTAGGTATTATTGAGAGTTCACCCTTACGAATATGGCATTTTGAATGCAGATGTTTACCAATCTCATGCCCAGAGGAGGTATTTTGTGTATGATTTTGAAGCTCAGGAGTAAGAGAAGTTCTGTACTAGGTCTGTGTCAAGTTTGTTTGTTTGTTTGTTTGTTCAGGCTGCCCTAAGCAATATTCCAGCTATATGATTGCAGTCTGTAAATAATTGAGTCTGGACCAGATAATCCAGTGAATGAGCGTCAATATGCACAACCACATGCGTCAACAAAATTCGTGAGTCTGGCAATGTGATATTGTTAGTTTCTTTTTATGACAAATTCTAACCCAAATCTGCATGGAGCGTTACTTATGTATGTAATACAATACAATACTGGAGATAGGATACTCTGGATGAGGATGCAGATGTGAGGGACACGAGCTTCATATGGCAAGTGTCATGTTGTAAAGTTATCATGCATCTGATTTTGTATATCATGCCAGTTCAAATTACTATTAAATACCTGTAATCCCAACAAAGTATCCCAACATACCTCGGACCCGTTTCCCAAAGCTCTCATAAGCCTAAGATCTCATAACCTTTCTCGTAGCATTTGTACCTCCTGTGTTACAGTATAGGAGGTACGAATGCTACGAGAAAGGTTTCAAGTTCTTAGGATTACGAGAGCTTTGTGAAATGGGTCCCAGGTCATTAGTATGTGTAGCATGAGCAAATCATTGCTACATGGCATAAAATTATTGCTTTTGAGGCCAGTCATGAGGTAACATATTTGGTAACACATAGTAGTTAGCTGATTACCCCAGTATTTGGAAGTATTGATGTAAAACATATATTTACCTGATTTGTCAAATCTATACCACTCAACTTTTGATAAGCATACTGAGAGGTGTCATCAGTGACATAACACAGCTCTTTCTAGTTCACTGTGCAGTTCTGTCCCATCAACTTGAAATGATTTGTTTGTTGTTAACGACTCCCTCAGCAATATTCCAGCTATATGGCGGCGGTCTGTAAATAATAAAGTCTGGATCAGACAATCCAGTGATCAACAGCATGAGCATTGATCATGATCGTGTGAACCAAGTCAGCGAGTCTGACCACCCGATCCCGTTAGTCACCTCTTACAACAAGCACGGGTTGCTGAAGATCAATTCTAACCCGGATCTTCACTGGTACAACTTGAAATGTTTCACAAGCTTCATGTATCTGATATTATTTGTATGACAACATATGCAAGCAGTCAGACAGTTTCATCCTACACGAATGCCCCATATCCATTTCAAGAGTTGAGTAGTATATAATACTGTATTATCTTCATGCCAGTATTAAGAAAATGTCCTCGATACTTTAAAGATGACAGTATTTGTTTCAGCTGCTGGTTATGTTACTGGTGAAATGCGTTTACTTTTTTCATAGTAAGTTACCAGATTTCTATGATTGATAATGATTGTTTGGAATGATGTTTCACATGTTAGTATTGTTCTGGTTAAGGATGACGAACAAATTGTGCTTTTATTGTTGGTTGTATTAATTTGGATGAGTTTTATTTTCATGTTGCATGAAAATATCCTGTTGTATTACCCAGATATATTTTTTTGCGAATATCCACGATGCAGGAGTTTTAGAATAATGAAATAACAATTATAAAAATAATTCAGTACAGTGTATCAGTAACGCCAGTTACTATTTCAAAACAAAACGTGCCACGCATCGAGACCAAGCTCAGAAATCATGACAACTTTTTAGGGCACATTTTAACCATGGTCTAAGAGTGCTGTTGTTTGCCATACTGAGTTGTGATCCTTTGGGTGCTAGAACTCATGATCGTGGGTTTGAATCCTGAATATGCTCTGTTCAAGTTTTCAGGTTTGTCAACCCCGTACTGATGTATTAATTTGGGGTTTTCTCTCACTGGAATCATGATCAAACCGGTGCTAAACCAATTTGCTCAAACTAATAGATGAAAATAAGATATTGTTCAACACCATTCTACCCCATTGGGGTAGCCTGGTGGTCAAAGCGTTTGCTTGTGGGCCTGGGTTTGATGCCCCCACATGAGTACATTGTGTGAAGCCAATTTCCGGTATCCCCCACAGTGATATTGATGGAATATTGCTAAAAGGGGTTTAAAACCATACTAACTCACTTGTCCCACTGATTAGTAGTGAGAGGACAGAGAGGCTGCCTTGTTTGTATCATACCAGAAAACATTAGGAGATGGTACTTGTTGTCACCCTGCCTGCTGCTTGGCATTGAGGGGATGGAACAACCACTGGTTGGCTAATAGTTGTATACTAGGGTATGAAACTCCCACAAAATTCCGCCAGACCACAGGGCTGGTTAGATGTAAACCTTGCCAGCCCTCACCAAAACTTACCTGCCCACAAAAATATCTTCATTATAAATGTCTAAATTTAACCCGACAGTTGGGCAGGTGAATTTGAGAATCTTGCAGTCAGTGTTGAAAATAACCCTTTCCCGGGCGGTCGGCCAGGCAGTTATTTCGAGTGGCATATCCATAGTGTCTCAGTGTGCTAGTAATTTAATACAGCCATTAGTCAGCACATGTAGACACACACCCCTCGCACGCATGCACGCACGCACACACACCCATGTTGCTGGCTAAGTACATCAGTCTTTAAGGCCACATTAAACTGCATTTCATCACACCTCACCTGTAGAGTGGTGGAAGTGTCCCCATGTGAAGGAGAAAGTGCAGACTCAGCACGTGACAGTCATCCTTGGTGTGACATTGCCGCATACAACACACATCATCTTTGGCGTGCATCATATGCCAAGCGAACACTGATACAAAATACAGTGGAAACACATTGATCGAAATTATGGGGGACTTAAAAATCAAGGAAAAAGTCTGATTTTTGTTTCGTTCAAGACCACCAACAGAGTGAATTTCCGAAGCCAAACATGTTGAGAGATTACATGCAATGTAGTCATGTTTGTTCTTACTGCCAGGGCTGGCTAAAAAGATCGATAATCGGAAATATCGTCATTGGGGAGAAATATCAGTGATTATCGATATGAAAACTGTGTCATCGATAATCAGAAATAAACTATAAAGGTGAAATAAAGTCTGAATTATGACACATAATACTCAACGTTATGTCTATATTCAAATCAACATCGAAAGTAGGTTCAGGAGGCTGTTTTGTTGGTGATCCATGCATAAATGTCTCACCAATCGCCAGTCTTATTGTGATTTCTTCAGACTTTCTTTGGTATTTTTGCTTAAATTTACTCCCTAATATTTATCAATAATCTATCGATATTTAGCAAGATTATCGATCTCTAGGAGCTATATCATTGGTCAGCCCTACTTACTACTAGTACAGAATATTTACATTGTATATTGTGTAAGGATTGCGACGTGGTTGAGTCTGAATGTATGATGCTACCTGCATCAGTTGGAGATTACAAATGGATGGAGATATTAGTAGCCTGTTCTGTTTCCTATTTACTGAGAACAAGAAAGGTTGCCCTTAATATCTTCATTTTCAAGTGTATGTGTTTCTTTGGAACACAGATATTGATGTTTGTGTTTGTGAAATGTTCATTGGATATTAATCAGTTGATATTAAAGATGAGAGTCAGGATTTATATACGATCTATGTATAAACTGCTTTTGTTCGTGTAGAATACGGACTAATTTGACTAGACCCTTATGTATGACTAATCAGGACTTCGGAAAACATATCCATCTTATAACAAAGTCCCATTCAAAACACATGGTAAACTAATGTCCACCAATAGGCTCATGTACTGGACGGTCAGATTTGTAAAAAGTAAAAATGAGCCATGAAAGTTCAAAATTGTGTTTATAAACTGACCGTGTCCATCATAGTGCGTCATGTCTGAAAAGATGTGTTCCTGTATAAGTCTACACGGACACTTAGTCCCTGAATATACATGTAACAAATAAACCCATTTAATTGAAAAGGAGCCATAGTGAGTTGGGAGATTCCTGACCTGGGGAAATCTAGACTTGCTTCATTTTCGTCTTTAGCACTGCATCGAAAATAGGGAAAATAATGTGGTTCAGGGACTGTGAGACAGACTACATTGCAGGGAGGGCTAGGCAGTAGGGAAATAATGTGGTTCAGGGACTGAGACAGACTACATTGCAGGGAGGGCTAGGCAGTAGGGAAATAAATGTGGTTCAGGGACTGAGACAGACTACATTGCAGGGAGGGCTGGGCAGTAGGGAAAATAATGTGGTTCAGGGACTGTGAGACAGACTACATTGCAGGGAGGGCTAGGCAGTAGGGAAATAATGTGGTTCAGGGACTGAGAGACAGACTACATTGCAGGGAGGGCTAGGCAGTAGGGAAAATAATGTGGTTCAGGGACTGTGAGACAGACTACATTGCAGGGAGAGGCTAGGCAGTAGGGAAATAATGTGGTTCAGGGACTGTGAGACAGACTACATTGCAGGGAGGGCTAGGCAGTAGGGAAATAATGTGGTTCAGGGACTGTGAGACAGACTACATTGCAGGGAGGGCTAGGCAGTAGGGAAATAATGTGGTTCAGGGACTGTGAGACAGACTACATTGCAGGGAGGGCTAGGCAGTAGGGAAAATAATGTGGTTCAGGGACTGTGAGACAGACTACATTGCAGGGAGGGCTAGGCAGTAGGGAAATAATGTGGTTCAGGGACTGTGAGACAGACTACATTGCAGGGAGGGCTAGGCAGTAGGGAAATAATGTGGTTCAGGGACTGAGACAGACTACATTGCAGGGAGGGCTAGGCAGTAGGGAAAATAATGTGGTTCAGGGACTGTGAGACAGACTACATTGCAGGGAGGGCTGGACAGTAGGGAAATAATGTGGTTCAGGGACTGTGAGACAGACTACATTGCAGGGAGGGCTAGACAGTAGGGAAATAATGTGGTTCAGGGACTGTGAGACAGACTACATTGCAGGGAGGGCTAGACAGTAGGGAAATAATGTGGTTCAGGGACTGTGAGACAGACTACATTGCAGGGAGGGCTAGACAGTAGGGAAATAATGTGGTTCAGGGACTGTGAGACAGACTACATTGCAGGGAGGGCTAGACAGTAGGGAAATAATGTGGTTCAGGGACTGTGAGACAGACTACATTGCAGGGAGGGCTAGACAGTAGGGAAATAATGTGGTTCAGGGACTGTGAGACAGACTACATTGCAGGGAGGGCTAGGCAGTAGGGAAATAATGTGTTTCAGGGACTGAGAGACAGACTACATTGCAAGGAGGGCTGGACAGCAGGGAAATAATGTGGTTCAGGGACTGTGAGACAGACTACATTGCAGGGAGGGCAAGGACGTAGGGAAATAATGTGGTTCAGGGACTGTGAGACAGACTACATTGCAAGGAGGGCTAGGCAGTAGGGAAATAATGTGGTTCAGAGACTGTGAGACCAACTACATTGCAGGGAGGGCTAGTCAGTAGGGAAATAATGTGGTTCAAAGACTGTGAGACAGACTACATTGCAGGGAGGGCTGGACAGTAGGGAAATAATGTGGTTCAGGGACTGTGAGACAGACTACTTTGCAGGGAGGGCTAGGACGTAGGGAAATAATGTGGTTCAGGGAATGAGAGACAGACTAACCAAAGTCAAATGAATGTTAGATTGGTCATGTGCATTTATAATGAAAGTGTACACTAGTCTGAATATTGAACAGATACATATGGATGATTGGACGTGGGATGGAATGTGTTTACTGTCTCTCATGCAGGCTCTGAGAACATCTGTGCCAGATGAAATATATTTCCATCATTCGTTTGTTTCTGATTGTTTGAGAATCGCAACTCCCATACCTTAACATAGACTTAAGTAGTCATAGCGCTGAGATGATCGCAACTCCCATACCTTAACATAGACTGAAGTAGTCGCAGTGCTGAGATGATCGCAACTCCCATACCTTAACATAGACTTAAGTAGTCATAGCCCTAAGCTGAGATGATCGCTGAGATGATCGCAATTCCTATACCTTAACACAGACTTAAGTAGTCATAGTGCTGAGATGATTGCAACTCCCATACCTTAACATAGGCTTAAGTAGTCATAGTGCTAAGATGATCGCAACTCCCATACCTTAACATAGACTGAAGTAGTCGCAGTGCTAAGATGATCGCAACTCCCATACCTTAACATAGACTTAAGTAGTCATAGTGCTAAGACGATCGCAGCTCCTATACTCCCATACTTTAACATAGACTTAAGTAATCGCAATGCTAAGAAGATCGCAAATCCCATACATTAACATAGACTTAAGTAGTCATAGTGCTAAGACAATCGCAACTCCCATACCTTAACATAGACTTAAGTAGTCACAGTGCTAAGATGATCGCAACTCCCATACCTTAACATAGACTTAAGTAGCTAGAGTGCCAAGATGATTTAACATAGACTTAAATAGTCATACTGCTGAGATGATACTCCTATATCTTAACATGTTAAGATGATTGCAACTCCACGTTAAAAAAATCATAAATGGAAGAAATTAAATGTCTCTGTTTTGATGAAATATCTGAAAATCTCATATTTCATTTATTGTGGCCAAACAGTTCAAACTTGCACTGAACTGGAAAGGGTCATATTAGTTTATATATTTTCTTTTCAGGACATTGCTGTATTTGTGTCAAATATATTTGAAATGATGATTTTCGCAATAAATATACGACTCCAACATGTTGTATTGTATTTATTTTGTAAGACACACTATCGCATTCAGCAAGGAATAAAAGGAATTGTTTTGAAATAAAAGATCCTGCAATAAATGTCAGATGAAAAATGAATTTCATTGTTTGAAGACCCATTATATGATCTCATACTTTAAAACACATCATGAAATGCATGGTGAGCAGTGGATATGTCAATTTTAAACTTCAACTGAAGATGTCCAGCTTTCCTCAATTCACACAAAAACTGATGGAATCCACTCTTAAATACTTCCAGTCATCTTTCATGCAGTTTCAATAAAATAATCAACCAGGCTGTGGCAAAAATATATAATCCTCCGAACACACGTCTATTACATCATAGCCATTATTTCTGTGTAAAAGCTGTCCCGAGATTTTAAACACATTTCTTCAAAGCACTTGAGACATGTCAAATGCCGGTTGTAAATCGGTCCATTCTTGGGTGTGCTTGAGCAGATGGGGATTTTCTTCCAGCAAAAAATTCAGTTGACCTTCTCACCAGTAATTTCTTGAAGGTTTTCATACTTACAATATTAGTATCTATAACCATTTTGCTGTTATTCTTCTCTTGACGGGTTTATGGAAGTACTGATTTTTGTGATTTGTATCCCCCATTCCCCTACCAACCCTCTTGGACAGTAGCTGCTTACAAATATAATCCACACTGCATTAGCCTCTCAGACCAACAAAGTTAATTCTATTCTCAACAAAATACATTACAATGTGATTCTCTTCACTCAAATCACAGGATCTGTGTCACTGATGTGTCTCCTTAGATTCACATTTAATCGTCTCTCACTCCACACTGTGGCACTGCCATTCATCTTCTGTACAGAACAGGAGTTGTCTGCTCTCTCAGTCTTTGTCATAGTCTCATTCTATGCAGTAGTTGCCTGCCCTTGCTTGTAGGTGACACTGATGTCTGCTTTCTATGAAGTACTAAACATCTGCTCCATCCATCTTTGTTAAAGTCTCACCAAAATGCTGTATTTGCCAGCCCTTGTTCAGTGGTGACATTGATGTCTGATTTGTACAAAGAAATAGGCGTCTGCTCTCTTGGTCTTTGTCAGTCTGACCGAATGTAAAATATGCTGCCCTTGCTCAGTAGTGGCATTGATGTCTGTTTTCAATGCACAGCTATAGGCATCCCCAATATTGGTCTTTGTCACAGTCTCACCAAATCAAGTAGCTGCCTGCCCATGAACAGTGGTGACATTGATGGCAGATCTCTCAGTGTTTGTCACAATTTCAGGAATTGTCTCCCCCTTGATCTGAGGTGCCGTCTGCTTCTGACTGTTCGTGACCATCCTCCTTTCCATCCTCTCCATACTGAGTGAAGTCTGGCAGCTCGCAGCCCACATAAGCACCATTGTCCACACAGTGTCGAATCAGGGAGCGCCACTTGTCATCCTGCAGACATGTCACAACATTGGATAGCCAAATTAGTTCACCATTCTACTACTTGAGTCAGTGTAGTTTTACATCGCTTTTAGCAATATTCCAGCAATATCACGCGGGGGACACCAGAAATGGGCTTCACACATTGTACCCATGTGGGAAATAGAACCCGGGTCTTTGGTGTGACGAGCAAACGCTTTAACCACTAGGCCCTTAAAAATGTGACTGAGATAGTGAAGTCACTTCAGAATGGAGTCTTGGTAGCTATGGTAATTAAGGGACCTGGCCCCGATTTCTCGAAACAATCTTAAGTCTGAGTTTTGACTGAAGTTAGAGTTTTTACTCAAATTTGAGAAAACATATTTCCCAAAATGAAATAAAATCTATATTAAACTCAAACATAGTAGACAATTTGAGTTTGGTGAATAGAAAAATTAAGTTGTTTGGGCTTTTTTATTTTAAAAATGCAGCTGAGTTAAAAATTCAGCTGTTTCAAATTGTCAAACTCACTTTGAAATTTGAGTAAAAAACTTAGTTTGTTTAGAGAAATCGGGGCCTGGTCTAATTATCATTATAGAATGGAGATATTGTACCCCTGGATCACTGAGAAAGTTATACACATTGGTGGATGGTTGCTCTGAGTTCATCAAGACACTTCCAGCCGAGTTCAGGCAGATCAGAGATCCACTCACCTGACACAGAACGTGTGGGTTTCCAACAATGATGAGCAAGGCCTGGGCTCGTGTGATGGAAACGTTGAAACGTTTTGCATTGCTAAGGAATCCCAAAGTGTGACGGAGGTCGAAGCCTATCAGTTTCTCATTGGCTCGCACCTGTACAGAACATAAACAAAGAGTAATGAAAAACATGATGGAATGATTTCAGAAATAGGCAGTTTCACACCACTTTGGATTTGAACTGTGATTACAGAAAATGTTCCTATTATGGGACACAAGTCGGTGATCCTGTAAGAGCCATCCATTCTTTAACAGACTTGAGAATGTCTTCTATCAAATCTTATGAAATCCGATTCATAAAAAGAGTTCTTGAATGGCACTTAGAAGTTAAACGAACATGAATACATGACACATTTTTATGGATAACAACTTCTTATTGATTCTTTTGAGAGCTAATTCTTGCTCCTTCATCAGGTGAATAAAGTTGTTCTCCATAAAAACATGCCGTGTATTCAGAGATAGGATTTATTAAAATAAACGGTTATTTAAAGGCTATCAACAATCTTGATGAACATCCCGCTCACTGTTGAAATGATGATGGCCTTTCTCTCCTGTCCTTGAAACTCCTCCACAGATCCAACCTTCACCATGTCCACATCCAGTTTGTCTATCATTAGACGGATTTTCTCCACCTGAGGAGAGAGGGAATAAATTCAATATCACCTTCATGTCCAGACCAAGTCTGTCACTAAACGAATGAGATATGAACTCCGCCAGCACCAGCACTTACATACCTGTTTCCTGTAGGGGTGATGATACCAATGTCGTCCACTGTCAGTCTGTACTTACATACCTGTTTCCTGTAGGGCGTGATGATACCAATGTCGTCCACTGTCAGTCTGTACGTACATATCTGTTTCCTGTAGGGCGTGATGATACCAATGTCGTCCACTGTCAGTCTGTACGTTCATACCTGTTTCCTGTAGGGCGTGATGATACCAATGTCGTCCACTGTCAGTCTGTATTTTCGATTGTTCAACAGACTCTGGAGGTAGTGAACAACCTGGACGGTTTCCATGGGGTTGAACCAGGAGGGGCTGTCTGTTTCACGCATGTCCTCTCCCTGATGATTAAACAGCGGTGTTATTCTGCGCTTATAAAAATGTTGCATGATAACTGACTTCACTGCAATAATGTGGGGATACAAAGATTCTTATGGCTCATCAATGGGACGACATATATCTCTGGATACCTTTTGTTGAAGAAGTGATGAATGGGCCCACATTCTACTGATAATCTATTCTGTCACTGAATCCCATAAGGTTTTGTATGGGCCAACATTCTACTGATAATCTATTCTGTCACTGAATCCCATGAGGTTTTGTATGGGCCAACATTCTACTGATAATCTATTCTGTCACTGAATCCCATGGGATTTTGTATGGGCCAACATTCTACTGATAATCTATTCTGTCACTGAATCCCATGGGATTTTGTATGGGCCAACATTCTACTGATAATCTATTCTGTCACTGAATCCCATGAGGTTTTGTATGGGCCAACATTCTACTGATAATCTATTCTGTCACTGAATCCATGAGGTTTTGTATGGGCCATTCCACTGATAATCTATTCTGACACTGAATCCCATGAGGATTTTGTATGGGCCAACATTCTACTGATAATCTATTCTGTCACTGAATCCCATGAGGTTTTGTATGGGCCAACATTCTACTGATGATCTATTCTGTCACTGAATCCCATGGGATTTTGTATGGGCCAACATTCTACTGATAATCTATTCTGTCACTGAATCCCATGAGGTTCTGTATGGGCCAACATTCTACTGATAATCTATTCTGTCACTGAATCCCATGAGGTTCTGTATGGGCCAACATTCTACTGATAATCTATTCTGTCACTGAATCCCATGGAGGTTCTGTATGGGGCCTACATTCTACTGATAATCTATTCTGTCACTGAATCCCATGAGGTTTCTGTATGGGCCAACATTCTACTGATAATCTATTCTGTCACTGAATCCCATGAGGTTCTTGTATGGGCCAACATTCTACTGATAATCTATTCTGTCACTGAATCCCATGAGGTTCTGTATGGGCCAACATTCTACTGATAATCTATTCTGTCACTGAATCCCATGAGGTTTTGTATGGGCCAACATTCTACTGATAATCTATTCTGTCACTGAATCCCATGAGGTTCTGTATGGGCCAACATTCTACTGATAATCTATTCTGTCACTGAATCCCATGAGGTTCTGTATGGGCCAACATTCTACTGATAATCTATTCTGTCACTGAATCCCATGAGGTTTTGTATGGGCCAACATTCTACTGATAATCTATTCTGTCACTGAATCCCATGAGGTTCTGTATGGGCTTCTATGATAATCTATTCTGTCACTGATTCTACTGATAATCTATCACTGAATCCCATGAGGTTCTGTATGGGCCAACATTCTACTGATAATCTATTCTGTCACTGAATCCCAAGAGGTTCTGTATGGGCCATCTACTGATAATCTATGAGGAGGTTCTGTATGGGCCAACATTCTACTGATAATCTATTCTGTCACTGAATCCCATGAGGTTCTGTATGGGCCAACATTCTACTGATAATCTATTCTGTCACTGAATCCCATGAGGTTCTGTATGGGCCAACATTCTACTGATAATCTATTCTGTCACTGAATCCCATGAGGTTCTGTATGGGCCAACATTCTACTGATAATCTATTCTGTCACTGAATCCCATGAGGTTCTGTATGGGCCAACATTCTACTGATAATCTATTCTGTCACTGAATCCCATGAGGTTCTGTATGGGCCAACATTCTACTGATAATCTATTCTGTCACTGAATCCCATGAGGTTCTGTATGGGCCAACATTCTACTGATAATCTATTCTGTCACTGAATCCCATGAGGTTCTGTATGGGCCAACATTCTACTGATAATCTATTCTGTCACTGAATCCCATGAGGTTCTGTACCAACATTCTACTGATAATCTATTCTGTCACTGAATCCCATGAGGTTCTTGTATGGGCCAACATTCTACTGATAATCTATTCTGTCACTGAATCCCATGAGGTTCTTGTATGGGCCAACATTCTACTGATAATCTATTCTGTCACTGAATCCCATGAGGGTTTTTGTATGGGCCAACATTCTACTGATAATCTATTCTGTCACTGAATCCCATGAGGTTTTTGTATGGGCCAACATTCTACTGATAATCTATTCTGTCACTGAATCCCATGAGGTTTTGTATGGGCCAACATTCTACTGATAATCTATTCTGTCACTGAATCCCATGAGGATTTCTGTATGGGCCAACATTCTACTGATAATCTATTCTGTCACTGAATCCCATGAGGTTCTGTATGGGCCAACATTCTACTGATAATCTATTCTGTCACTGAATCCCATGAGGTTCTGTATGGGCCAACATTCTACTGATAATCTATTCTGTCACTGAATCCCATGAGGGTTCTGTATGGGCCAACATTCTACTGATAATCTATTCTGTCACTGAATCCCATGAGGTTCTGTATGGGCCAACATTCTACTGATAATCTATTCTGTCACTGAATCCCATGAGGTTCTGTATGGGCCTACATTCTACTGATAATCTATTCTGTCACTGAATCCCATGAGGTTCTGTATGGGCCTACATTCTACTGATAATCTATTCTGTCACTGAATCCCATGAGGTTCTGTATGGGCCTACATTCTACTGATAATCTATTCTGTCACTGAATCCCATGAGGTTCCTGTTCTACTGATAATCTATTCTGTCACTGAATCCCATGAGGTTCTGTATGGGCCAACATTCTACTGATAATCTATTCTGTCACTGAATCCCATGAGGCTTCTGTATGGGCCAACATTCTACTGTAATCTATTCTGTCACTGAATCCCATGACGCTTTTGTATGGGCCAACATTCTACTCCTGATCTATTCTGTCACTGAATCCCATGATTCTGTCCAACATTCTACTGATAATCTATTCTGTCACTGAATCCCATGAGGTTTTGTATGGGCCAACATTCTACTGATAATCTATTCTGTCACTGAATCCCATGAGGTTCTGTATGGGCCAACATTCTACTGATAATCTATTCTGTCACTGAATCCCATGAGGTTCTGATATCTATTCTGGGCCCATGACATTTCTACTGATAATCTATTCTGTCACTGAATCCCATGAGGTTCTTGTATGGGCCAACATTCTACTGATAATCTATTCTGTCACTGAATCCCATGAGGTTCTGTATGGGCCAACATTCTACTGATAATCTATTCTGTCACTGAATCCCATGAGGTTCTGTATGGGCCTACATTCTCCTCATAAACCAGTGGTTGATAGCCTGAGCATGAGTGTCATCAGGCCCCCCATTCCATTAAGAAATCTTAGTGTTGTGACTATCACAACTCTCCATTTAAGTATGGTATAACTGGCTTTGTACTAAGGTCGCTTTGTGATAATCCCCCATGTCAAGCTAGTGTTCCCATTTGCCAGTCAGCTTGAGATGACTCACCCTGAGTCCGTGGAAGATGACGGGGTGGTTTTTCCGAGGCAGCATGTCCCAGTCACACAGAGTATGAGTGAGGGCTGGGTCAGACACCACCTCCAGTTGGTCGAAGTAGAACAGGCGGGACGGCAGCGCCAGAATGGCAGGGTGAGACCGGTAGTTCTCCACCAACATGGTAACCTAGGTGACAGATATTGGTATGGTTACCTCAGAGATGAACACAGTTATGGTTACCTTGGTGATAGACAGTCATTGTTACCTATGTGAAAGATATAGTTATAGTTACCCAGATGATAGACAGTCATTGTTACCTATGTGAAAGATATAGTTATAGTTACCCAGATGATAGACAGTCATTGTTACCTATGTGATGAATATAGTTATGGTTACCTATGTGATAGAGAGTCATTGTTACCTATGTGAAAGATATAGTTATAGTTACCCAGATGATAGACAGTCATTGTTACCTATGTGAAAGATATAGTTATAGTTACCCAGATGATAGACAGTCATTGTTACCTTTGTGATAGATATAGTTTTGGTTACCTATGTGATAGAGAGTCATTGTTACCTAGGCTAGGTGATAGGCGTAGTTATGGTTACCTAGGTGATAGACATAGTTATAGTTATGGTTACCTAGGTGATAGACATAGTCATTGTTACCTATGTGAAAGATATAGTTATAGTTACCCAGGTGATAGACAGTCATTGTTACCTATGTGATAGATATAGTTATGGTTACCTAGGCGATAGACAGTCATTGTTACCTATGTGATAGATATAGTTATGGTTACCTAGGTGATAGACAGTCATTGTTACCTAGGCTAAGTGATAGGCGTAGTTATCGTTACCTAGGTGATAGACATAGTTATGGTTACCTTGGTGACAGACAGAGTTACATAGGAAAGCTTCCTAAGCTTAAACTTAAAATAACCATTCATTAAGAGAGTGGAAATATGAGAAATGAGTGAGTGGGCTGTCTATTACAACACTTCAGTATTTAAGTTTCATCAAAGCAATCCTCTTGAAAGATGAAAGCCCAAGTTGATGTTCGTTATAATAGTCTCATGTCTGGTGACACTTATTAGATTGTGGATGTTAAGTTGCACATTTCCTTTTGCAAAACTTACAATCTCAAGTGGCAAATTATATTATTTTCATCATGTGGTATATATAAAATGGGCCAACCAGCATGGAATCAAATCCACCATGATCTGCAAACAGCCTCTCATTCCTCATGTACAGTGACCTCTCCATTAGCCTTTCAAGGAAAGAGAACTCCAGGCCGTACATCTTGGAGAACTTCGACATGATCACTGGGCCCAGCTGTTTGGGGTCTCCTGCCAATACGATCTGAAACAACCACGAAATGGTTCCTGGAATCTGCAATGATCACTTGAACAATTATTATCGCTATCAGACAGTGCACCTGATCTCTTATTAGTCTTTTTGCTAACTGTAAACCATAAGAATGCTTTACCTAAACTAGCCGTGTCACCTGGTATGTGATATTATCCAGACAACTGGTTCTACTATTTACACAGTTTCTCTTGTTCACTCACACAAAGCGATACAATGTCATTTTCTTATCACAGAAAAATGAGCTTGATGAAGAGTAACCTTTAAACGAGCTGACCCCTTTCTACAGTGCTATTTGGGGTCCTCAAAATTCGGCTTATATACAATGACATACAGTATATGGTTCCAGGACAACTGAAGCTCAACAGTCTTGATAGTTTTCTCAGGTTTACAGGTTTACATGATGTCTACTGATTTATTAAACAATAAATTGAAATGACATAATTGTTGTGATGTTTTAAGTTAATCGGATCATCAAAAGGTATGAGCCAAAATGTACAAGCATGCATAATTTCACAAAGACACACCTAAATTATCTGTTTGGTGCCCAATGGTACCCTCCTAAAAACAATGCATTTCTACCCCTGGTATCAGCTCACCTGCCCGTCTGCTCCTGCCACAAGTCCTGTAGATATCAGACACTCCGGCTCTGTCGCCTGCCCTGCCTGAATCAGAAATACCTGTAAGTATCTACAGATATAGTGATCCTTTGCGATAGTACACCACAGAACCTGACCTGCCTTAACCAAATAGGTGAAATGTCAGCAAGTGCTGGGAGGAAGCCATATTCGTAAAGATTTTGTCTTTGAACGAGAATGTCCTGTGACCTTGACCTTGACACACATGTTATAATGTTTTTATTTAAAATAAACAGTGTACAAAGGTTACAATGAAGCACTACGACTGCTTCCTGATGTTGGGACAGCGTCTGCTGCACATCAGATTACAAATGTACACTAACAAAAGAAAGCCAACAGCACATACAGTCTGTCTCCAAATGAGATTGTTTGTTTGTTGTTTAATGCCGCACTCAGAAATATTCCAGCTATATGGAGGCATTCTGTAAATAATCAAATGTGGACCAGACAATCCAGTGATTAACAGTATGAACATCGATCTATGCAATTGGGATACAATGACATGTGTCAACCAAGTCAGCGAGCCCGACCACCCGATCCTGTTAGTTGCCTCTTGTGACAAGCATGGGTTGCTGAAGACCAATTCTAACCTGCATCTTTACAGGTTCCAATCGAGAACAACCAATTCCAAATAACTCAAAATCAGGATGGTCTATTAAATGTTAATACAGTACATTGCAATGAATACCTTGTACCAAACAAAATCTCCAGCAACTGACCCTATGACTCACCTCGTCTACAAACGCGTGAGTGAAGTGTCCGGCCTTCAGCCCCAGCATGTACAGAGACCCAGCAGAGTTGCATGTACACACAACAACGCGGTACCGTGATATCAGCTCAAGGTCGTCTCCATAGCGACAGTACTTCTCTAATACCTCAGGGACGTTCTGAGAAGAGAGACTGATTAATTCACAAATAATTGAAACAAACATTCATTGTGACCTAAGTTCTATCCATCTATAATCTTATATTTGTAGGGTATAAGTTATTTTTTCTGTGAAATGGAAGGGAGCCAACAGAATCTCTTGTTTTCTTGCTGTCTACTGACATGTTGACTTGCTTGGGAATTTTCAAACATAGTTGTTTGACAGAGAAAGTTCTACTTTATATTATTTAGATTTGTTTAGGTTTTCTTTGTTTAGGCTTAAAGATGTCTCAAACATGATCTATGGGATTGCGAATTGGACTCCTGGAGGGTAGGCAGAGTTGCTATTGTCTCTTGATGTAGGAAATCACCAAGAGCACATGAACGATGAAGATTTGCCTTGTGTGTGCCCATGTTGCTTATGTTTGATTGTAGCACATGCAAATCTAAAATCAATGTATGGTGTGCGAAAGGGACAAAATAATCATACAAACATACATAAGTAGTTATTATATGAATATATACGGCTAAATATCTTTGCTTGGGGCTACAAATCATAGGTGTTGCGTTACATTTTTCTATGTGTATATAATATGTTGGAGAACTACTGCCTAGCTAACAGTGCTTGAAATATAGTCTCACATGCTCTTTCTTTCTATTCTGTTCGCCATCTTAAATGAAGGACAGTCAGGTTGTTCAGAGCATCATTTTAATGTCCCCATCTTACCTCCAGGCTCCTGTTGAATGCATTCAGTCTCACCAAGTCAGACTCTTTCACCAAGCCACTCGCCACAAGTCTCTCCGCCTACAGACACGAGACAGAGTTATCACAAATGAGTTTCTGAATCTTAGAAAAACTTGGTAATGAAAATATATAATTCAGTTACCTGAGTACTATCACTGATTACATGTTGTATTATATCCTCATTCTGTCATCACTGCATGAACCCATTCACAATTGCAACTTTATTTCAGAAGAACCCATGAAGATAACGTGTTGGAATTTGTCTTCAGCAACCCATGCTTGTTGTAAGAGGTGACTAACAGGATCGGGTGGTCAGGCTCGCTGACTTGGTTGCTACATGTCATTGTATCCCAGTTGTGTAGATCGATGCTCATGCTGTTGATCACTGGATTGTCTGGTTAATTATTTACAGACCGCCTCCATATACCGGTAGCTGGAATATTGCTGAGTGCGGCATTAAACAACAAACAAATAAAACGAAGATGTATAAAGGCTCGAGTTAAGGATGTCGGTCTAACAATTCTTGTTACATCACGTCACCTCATTGTGGGGTGAAATCCTCAAGTCATGCAAATCTCAGGTGTTTATTATTGTGGTGACACCTGTGGGTATTGCATAAATCGAGGCTCGTGCTGTTGATCACTGGATTGTTTGGTCCAGACACAATTATTTACAGACTGCCGCGATCTGGTTGACACATGTTATTGTATCCCAGTTGTGTAGATCGATGCTCATGCTGTTTATCACTGGATTTCTGAGTTGTTTGTTGACTTCACACCTAGACCTTTTACAGTCAGATTCCTGGTTAACTTTTTAGTTCCAACCGGTAACACTATAGACAGGTACTTAAACACGCATTGATTCAAATGGGGTCAGTGAGTGAGTAAGGTTTTACGCTGCTGTTAGCAATATTCCAGCAATATCACTTCACCAGAAATGGGCTTCACACATTTTACCCAAGTGGAAATCAAACCTCGGTCTTTGGCATGATGAGTGAATGCTTTAATCACTAGGCTACCCTACCACCCCCTATTCAAATGGGTGTCATGACAATGGTAAAGTTACAGTGTTAACCAATACAAAATGGTACAAGGACTATACAGGTGGTACCGAGCACGATGACCACTTCAGCTGAACTTAACCCGTCTCATCCCTGGACTTACGAGAAGGTCTGCAGCACTGTTGGATGGCGTGGACGCTATAATCCGACTGGACGGGATCTGGGAGAACACCTGGAGGATTGCCTCCACCATCGTCATCGTCTTCCCTGTACCTGAAAAACAATGTCTTCAGTAGAGGAGTGAGTGAGTGAGTGAGTTTAGTTTTACGCTGCACTCAGAAATATTCCATCTGTATGGCGGTGGTCTGTAAATAATTGAGTCTGGACCAGACAATCCAGTGATCAATAGCATCAGCATTGATCTGCCTTTGGGAACCAATGACATGTCAACCAAGTCAGCGAGCCTGACCACCCGATCCTGTTAGTCGCCTCTTACAACAAGAATGGGTTACTGAAGACCAATTCTAATCTGGATGTTCACAAGTGTGAGGAGATTATGATGAGATAAGGTCAGATCAAGCATCTTCTTGTTTATACTGCAGTTGCTAAAACTTCCTGTCAAGGTCTCTGTCCCCACCACGATACTGCTCTTTATCTTACCTTCATATGAAATACTTTAATTTCATTGGTTAGTGATGCTTAACAAGTTTCTGTGTCATCCCTCCCAAACTGTCCGCCGAAAATCTGTATCGCTAACAATCGTATGACGTCATAATATGACGCATGCAGTGTCCGGGGTTCAAAAACCATTCGATTAGCTGTTTTGAGTTCACTATGTACAGATTTATTTTACCGACTTTCACTGCTTTATTTAAACTATTTTATACATTGAGTCGTTTGCACACTCAACTTAAACATAATTAACCATTTTCATAGCAGTGTTAAGCTTGTCAGAAGATGTTTCACTGATTTAAAACATCCAGTCGAGAGGCACACGCCATTTTGTTTACATGTCATATAGTTGGTAGCGATCTTTAAAATAAAATAAAATGATGTTTTGTACATTTAACATGGCGGTAAGATAAATACTGCTACAACCAGGATACAACCACTCTCTAAATGTACAGTATCAGGTGGTTTCAAAACAGTGAAAACATGGCAGTCCATTCCTGTGAGATATGGTGTTCTGCATTTTCCCCTAAATATTAGACCATTTCACCCTTGATATCCAAATCCAGCTTTTCTGTGGGAAAAAAGAAACAGGGAAGAATACTTGGCTAACTGATATCACCCAGGTATTTATCCCAAGAAGTCAACCCAAAATTGGTGCAATTAGGAATTTGAGCTCCCGAAGATAGAAAAAATTCGTAATTTCCCCAAAATTACTAATTTCCCCAACAAATTAGGGGGAGTGTATCCGTATAAATTGTTGCACTCAAAAGGAACAAACTTGAGTCAGGATGCCATTCTTTTCACATATTACACATCACGATCCTTACACAACTGAAACCGGTTTGCAGTACTCGGCTGCAGTGTTTGTGAATGGTAAGTGAATAAAATAAACAGTGCGTGGAATTTATCAGGAAGCCTACTCAACTTCCAGATTACTTTCTACGTGTTAACAATTTGAGAACTTCTGTAAATAAAGTGTTGTATTTATAAAAATCGGAATGAATTTGGCTTTGTCGGGATGGCGGAATCGACATGTATTTTTCGGGATGATTCCGATAAATTCGGGAGGGTTGTTTAAGCCCAGTGTAAGTAAGAAAGTGTGCAAAGGCCATGGAGCATGTTCCCCTTTGACATAACAATGTTTTCTTGTCTATTCTGACAAATATCACATCCAAACACATAACCAAATGTATAACTAAATTCATCCATACCTGGTGGCCCAAATATGACATAAGGCAAAGGCCGACTCTGCCCGAGGAGAATCTTAATAACAGCAGCCTTCTGTCTGTTGTTGAGACTTCTGTTGAAAAACTTGACTTGATCCTGTGTCCATGGGTTGATGTTTGGCAAATATGTAGATTTACCGTTTCTGTCAGTGCCTTCCTTGTCTACAGAATTTTTGTTTTGTGGATGACAGTTACCATTATTTTGAGTGGTGCCACCAAAGCCAGTGTAGCTAGCCTGGAGTTTGACAACATCTTGCGCTCCAGATGGCTTGGAGAGTTGGATCTGTGGCATTTTGGTTTGAAGATAAGTAGGAAACAGAACTGGAATTGGACAAAAAAGTATCAAAAGAATTTCAAAAGCAAATAATATAAAGCAGTGCTAAAAGCAGTGTTTAGTGTGTCCTTTAGTATTCAGAATACTGAACACTTTCTATCTGCAATACATACTGTTCACATGATTTAATCTAAATCCCCAGTTAACAAAAGTAGGGTTTAGGTTAGACTAATATCTAGTCTCTGAAATGAACATATTTTGCACAAACAAACGGTTCAGCTTCGGAAAAGAGCACTACCACCAATTTCAGGCTAAGTCAAACTTGTTGCCATGGAAATGCCAAAAATATTTTATTCAGAATTCCAAAAAACTACCAAAAGGCACCAGTACACCACCAGACCAATCTATGTGCCAAGTTTGGTGAAGAAATAGTGAACGGTTTTAGAGTTCAGCTCCGGAAAAGAGCACAACCACCAATTTCAGGCTAAGTCAAACTTGTTGCCATGGAAACGCCAAAAATATTTTATTCAGAATTCCAAAACTACCAAAAGGCACCAGTACACCACCAGATCTATCTATGTGCCAAGTTTGGTGAAGAAATAGTGAACAGTTTTAGAGTTCTGCTCCGAGAAAAGACAAATGTGCACGGACGGACGGACGGACTCCATTTTAATACCCCCCTCAAAACGCGTTGCGGGGGTTAAAAAGGAGCCCAGAAATTTTCTTAATTTTCAGAACTGAGGTAATCTAGACTTTTGCCACACATTCTAGTCTTGCATGGGCTGTATTGGGTATATTTGTTTTGGGGTCTGTATGATAATCTCGGGGTTGGTGTTTGTTTTATTTCACCAGGTTCAATTATCAACTGGTCCACCAATTTCATTTCTCCTCGAGCTATGTCCCACAAAGCTACCATAGTTCTATGACAGTCGTATGTATATGTTATAATCATCTTAGCCAACTCACAGCTTCATGAAACAGGGCCCAGAGGCTTGGCATAACTCACTGGATTAACAGTTTTCCATAAAAATATAATTAGAAGTATTTAATGTAACCTCAATGCCATAAACCCCCAAACTTGTAAGATATAAACATCCCTCCAGAATCATAAGTTGCAGATCATTTGACCTTCAGCAAATCAAGGTGATGTCAGATGTGTTATCAGTACAGTAGGTTACTGGTGACCTTCAGTCAGGGGAGGTAAATATTCCCCTTGGTACACAGGAGCTATTGTTGGTATGAAAATGTTTGCTGGCTGGAGGAATCTGAATGCAGTATTTGACACATGGGATATTCTTACAATCACAACATTGTTAAAGTTGTCCCCATTTACCTGTGTCCTTGAGATGGCGGACAGCCAGTGAGACGGCCTGGTGACATCGGCGCAGCGACGTCCTACATAAACACAACACTGTCAACACATTACTTCATCTACCTAAACAACAGTGTAATTAACAGGGAAGAAGAAATACTGTTTGCGTTTCTTTCAGTTACTTCCTGTTGCTATAATATCAGTATTCTTTTGTTTAGCTTTGCCCTCTATATTACCTTTCATTTGTTCTCATCTTTCAGGAGGCGGTGGGTAGCCTAGTGGTTAAAGCGTCCTCTAGTTACGCTAAGACCCCGGGTTTGATTCCCCACATGGGTGCATTGTGTGAAGCCCAATTCTAGAGGCCCCCACTGTGATTTTGCTGGAATATTGCTAAAAGAGGCATAAACCCAACTCACTCACTCACTCTCATCTTTCAACTTGTGATTCCAATAATCCTGTGATCCAAGATACAAGAAATACTGGCCAAAAATCATATTTACCTGTTAAACGTAAACTCCACATTGTAATCCTCTCCATTGTACTTTCCCTGGAATTCTGGATTGAACTTCAACAGCACTTCGCTGCTGTGTATCTGTGAAAAAAGTATCTGCCTTCAGTCGTACTGTTATAATTAGTTCCTTCCATGCCTTCTGATTGGTCAGATAGACAGAGTAAGGTAGTAAATCAAACAAAGACAATATAAATAAAAGGCAGGTAATTTGAGATCACAAGAATCATAGGAACCCGTGAGATATAGAGAATTAAGGTATTATATCTATACATATAATCCTTAAAATTCTGACTTCCCGCTAAACAGACATACCCTACCTCCAAAAAAAGTAATGAGTAACACAAACATATTTTGAGTTGTCTTTCAACCTATTGGTCAGCAATAGATATATAAACCGGAAAACAAACAATGTGGCCAAATCATAGCCAGTGAGCTTCACCTCATGCACAAAACCCTCGTAGCAGGGTCCATCAGGGTCCCCTGGATCGGTGAGGATGATCTTGTCTCCAATGAGAATAGAAGGTCGACCTTCAGCAAGGCCTGGGACTTGGAGGGCCAGGTATTCCCCGCATCGACGTAAACACACCTGCAACATGGAGGATCAAGTCTACAATAACCATATTATTCTGGAATTAATGTTTTCAATTATTATTACAGTGTTTATTTCCATTTCAAGTGAAGCGTATATAACTGTTATCTATAAAATGAAGTAAAGCTTTTGAAACCACTTGTCAGATTGATAGGAGCACGGAGAATAGAACAGATCACTTTGTGTGTAAGTTTTATTCTGTTTGTTGTTTAATGCTCCACCCAGCAATATTCCAGCTATGTGACTGCAGTCTGTAAATATTCGAGTCTGGATCACACAATTCAGTGATCAACAGCATGAGCATCGATCTACGTAACTGGGGTACAATGACGTGTCAACCAAGTCAGCAAGTCTGACCACCCAATCCCGTTAGTAGCCTCCTACAACAAGCATGGGTTGCTGAAGACCAATTCTAACCCAGAACTTCACAGGTGTTTGAGTAAGTGAATGGGGTTAAATTCCCTTTTCTCAGCAAGGAAGACAAAAAAACACAATTTGCAGTGCAGTGTTGCATCTCATTCCCTGTTTGGATTTCTCTCAGCATTAAAGGCACAGTTGTATAACTATTTGTACTTTTCATGCCATATTCAGCATTAAGAAGATGACACGAGTCGATATATGTGATATCAAACGACACTATGTCTGGGGCAGTAGGATAGCCTAGTGGTTAATGTGTTCGCTCATCACGCCGAAGATCCGGGTTCGATTCCCCACATGGATACAATATATGAAGCCCATTTCTGGTGTCCCCCGCCGTGATATTGCTGGATTATTGCTTTAAAGAGGCATAAAACCCTACTCACTCACTCACTCTCTACATGTCTCACCCTGTGGAGATCAAACTGCCTGATGTCAATCTCTTGCTGTATTTCCTCCAGGTGCAGTAGAGCTGAAAACTTCTTTACGTAGTTGTCCATGGTCAGTACCTGCCATTTCAGTATTTGTTTATCAATTACTACATGTTCAACCAAAAGCTGAAGCTGAAAAAGATATGTCCGTTTCCTATTACATGCTTTTTAAAAATAGGGTTGGTGGGTCGGTTTTATCTTCTTTTTTACTTTTTTAAAATATTTTTTAGTGGCACCAGGTGGGCACCTGAGGTCTTCAAGAGTACCATATCATGTTGTGACAATGCCTTATGATGAAACATTGAAAGATTTCTATATAAAATCATTATTTATGTTATTTATTTGCAGATTTGGTTAGTGAGGACCCATTATACCAATTCAATGCAAACCATTTTAGCCCTACGTACACTGAAAAACATGAATATATCATAATCGAATTGGATGAAAATGATGAGTTGAAATGCACTCCAGTCATGATATTGACTTTATTGATAAAGATTTAGTGTCGGGTGGGTTAGGATAGGGTCGGTCGGGTTACCGGAAACGGACATATATTTTTTTGGGGGGGGGTGGCTTACACTCATAGAATGAGTTTGGATGTTTTTCCCAAGCAAACCTATTCATTTTGCCAGCACATAACACAGGAACTTAATTACATTGGTTGAGTTTGTTATCTTCTGCTCGAACCTGAAGCAACACAATGTAGGGTTTTGAAACTTGTTGAAACTGCGAAGTTAACACAAAAAAATCCATTTTCTCAAAACTTATACTCACTAATTTGCTGAGTGCTGTACAAACAAGATATCAATACATGTAAATTACTGTATGCACTATCATACTGAACTGGATACTTTATACATCCTATCATTTCTTAGAGCTACAGAATCTCCACACAAAAGTATGTATTATCAAGGGTATATCTGGTTCTGGCTTTCTTTTGCTATCTAAAACTGCGTGGTAAAGAAACAAAGCTGAATCATTTTTAGAAAACCGATACTGGATTGGCAAAGGAACCATGCATTCTTCAAGTCAAAGTTCATTCAAAGTCAACTGACAACCTTTCATGGAGACGTCCACAGATCTTCAGCCAGAGAGGTGGTATATCAGAAAAAAGATCTGACTTTAATCACACTACATTACGTCTGTTCATTTCAGATAACGTAACTGTAAATGATGGATAATGATAGATCAGCTTGCTATATTTCTAGGTGAAAGTTCCTATGGCAGTTCACAAATGTGAAGGTTATTTACACACCTGTGCCAGTTCAGGGACGAGTTCAGTGAGCTCACCGTCACACCAAACACACTGACGTAACCGTTCGGGAACTACAAATGATGGAAGTTTCTGGGGCAGCTTCATCTTGTTCTGAAACCTAGAATTCATCACGTTACAGTGAAGTACAAACAACAGACATCTATGGACATTTTGGTACAGTATTTGTCCTACTAATTTGTCCAATTACCTAAGTCAACTGGTAAGTGTGCACTTGGATTCTTATCCTCAACTCCCTGGGGATCATAGCACCTTAACTGCCTGTGAGGAAGTTAACAGTCACAGAATATTACCATCTCATCCTACCGGGTACCCATTCACTGCTTTGTGAGGAGGCATGTTCCAAGGAGAGGCCTGTGCATCAGGAGACACCAATACAAGTTAACAGTCACAGAATATTATTGCCTCATCCTACCAGGTACCCATTCACTGCTTGGTGAGGAGGTATGTTCCAAGGAAAGACCTGTACATAGGGTGAGGTGAAATGGGGTTTAACGTCACACTTACAATATTTCTCTCATATGACCACGTGCATGTTTGTGTATGTGTGACTGCTTGTACCAGCCCAGACTTAAAGGTCACATGCAACGTAAAACACAACTTTGCAGATTCTGATACCTTTCGGTATGGACTTACCGAAACAAAGCGTCAAAAATGCAAATTCAACTTATAAAGTTGAAAAATAACGCGATGAAAAAAAACGTTCAAACGTTTCACTAATTTTCCCCAGACTTTTCTGGGGAATACGGGTTTCAACAGCTGGGCTGCGCTCATAGCACGTGCGCAGTGAAATAGGTTCGCGCAACTTGGAGTGAGTGAGTGAGTGAGTGAGTTTAGTTTTACGCCGCACTCAGCAATATTCCAGCTATATGGCGGCGGTCTGTAAATAATCGAGTCTGGACCAGACAATCCAGTGATCAACAGCATGAGCATCGATCTGCGCAATTGGGAACCGATGACATTTGTCAACCAAGTCAGCGAAACTGACCACCCGATCCCGTTAGTCGCCTCTTACGACAAGATAGTCGCCTTGTTATGGCAAGCACATGGGTTGCTGAAGACCTATTCTACCCCGGATCTTCACGGGTCCGCAACTTGGAAGCGGGCTGTCTGGTGAATACTCGGTTAAGGCTTTGGTGTGAGCTATTTTCATAATGTTTTGTTGATATCTCACAGGCGCGAGCTTTTTATATGTTATGACAGTAAATAAACTGTTTATATAATTTCATTTGTCTATTTCACCACACGTTCTTCTTACCGAGTCACTTTCTCAGTTCGATACTTAAAAGCAATGTCATTATTTAGCGTTGACACAATTTCTAACTGTGATATAGATATGTCGCTGTCACAGACAAAACTCAATGTCTTGTTTTATGGACACCTGTGTGTCTGCCTGCCTGTCTGCTAATGACAATATTCAATACACAACTGCGATCACTGACCACATGCAATTTGAACTTAACACCAATCAGGCTATACACCATAAACAAAACGCATTGATTTATGGCCCGAGTTCGGTCTCTGTCATATTATGTAATTACACAGACAGGCAGGTGTGATACTTGAACACATGACATGTTATGATGTCTGTTGATTGCAAAATGTTATACACAAAAAATGAGCATGTATTTACAAAACCCAACATCTCAATATATACACACACAATGAGCCGTGAAGGCGGCATCTGCTAATGAACCAGCCGTTACACTTGAGTGCACACCCACCCGCTCTGACTGGGTTCGGTATCCGGCTGCTTCGTTTCGAGGGAGGTAAACCCAAGTACAAAATATTGCACTTTTGATTTGCGATTATACGCTTATAATTTTGTTTATTTGTTTTTTCATAATCAGCAATGCATATTATATGTCATGAAGAAGTGATAATTGTGTTTTAATTATGTTTGATTTTTTGGTTGCATGTGACCTTTAAGCTTGTTTTATAGTGCTAGCTCACTGAGATACCATGCCTCAGTTAAGCATGAATACCCCACTCAGACACATTATTCTGACTCTGAGCCGACCACTTCTTACTTTACCCATACATGCCGAGTGCCAGGCAGGGACCAACAAGTACTATATTTCAACACCTTTTGAAGCAGCAGGGGATTGAACCTGTGCATAGGGAGACACCACTACAAGTTAACAGTCACTGAATATTACTGTTTCATCCTACCCAGCACACATTCACTGACTGGTGAGGAGGCATGTTTCGAGGAAAGGCCTGTGCATAAGGAGACACCAATACAAGTTAACAGTCACAGAATATTAATGTCTCATCCTACCGGGTACCCATTCACTGCTTGGTGAGGAGGCATGCTTCCAGAAAAGGCCTGTGCATAAGGAAACACCACTAAAAGTCCTTTAGCAAGACCGAAGTCCTAGAAATCTTCAGGAGTCATGCTGCCGAACACATTACCCATCCAAACATTACCCATCCAAAGATTTTCCAAGGCCAGCATTACTCACCCCCTGGAACCACTGTCCTGCAGAGGTGCAGTGATAGGGTGACTGTCCGCCTGTGTTTGCAGTGATCGCGTGCTTGTTTTGGCGGTGAATGTAAGTTCTCTGTTAAAAATCTAGTCACCATTTGTGAAAGACGAACAATATCATTTAAATATTAACATTTCACAAATGCAAAGATGTTGATGGTTATTTGTAGAAAGTTTTAAGTTGCTAGGTTAAACATGAGGAAAGCCAGCAGCGATTATCCGCAGAACATACCAGGAAATGGTGTCAAGAGGAACCATTTTTTGAAAATTTTCTTGGGGGTCAGGACATGCCCACAAGCCTCCCAAGAAGTCTCATGTACTAGCACGTCCAGTTGTGCCTACACTTCATTTCTTTCCTGGGTACGCCCCTGGAGGGATTTCAACATTGTGAGCTGGGGGTCCATTCATACTAGGAATTGCAACAGGGTAAAGTGGGATCTATTTATATACGGATAAAGTGGGGATCAATTCACACTAGGAATCTCATCCATGAACATGATGAATGAGGAAGTATCTCTCACCTCTGTGGCCTCTGACCTGGGATGACCCATTCACCTGACCCTGCAGCTTTGTATTGATTCACTTTGTGTGGGTTAGACCTGGGAAAGGAAGGAAAGATACATCATACAGTCAGTCTATTAACTATATACAGGGATATCTAATCTAAGACACTACGTCACTTCTAACATCATACTTCACACGTTTATATCCACAGTCTTCTTTGACTTTGGACTGACTGACTGAGTTTGGTTTTACGCCACTTTTAGCAATATTCCATCAACATCACGGCGGGGAACACCAGAGTGAGTGAGTGAGTTTAGTTTTACGCCGCTTTTAGCAATATTCCAGCAATATCACGGCGGGGGACACCAGAAATGGGCTTCACATATTGTACCAATGTAGGGAATCGAACCCGGGTCTTCGGCGTGACGAGCGAACACTTTAACCACTAGGCTACCCCACCGCCCCCTTTGACTTTGGAAGGAACCAGGAGAGTCCTTAACCACTGGGCTACCTCATCGGCCCTATATATAATAATAAAGAAGTTTTTATCCATATAACTATGCCCCTTTATTTCCAGACTAAATACTTTGTATCTGTTGTTTCCAAGAAGAAAGATAATACCATGGTTACCTACCTGCCTCCATCATCACTGGAACAGGGTACAACTTGTGTGGCTCGCCAGGAGCACTTCCCCTGGTGGCTCTCTATAGCGGTCACTTTCACCCTGTCCCGCTTCCTTGGACGGTAGTTGTTGACACACACCTTGGGGGTAAAATACACCTCCCCATCAACATACCCATGATCCTCCATCGCAGCCGAAACATCTCCGACAAATGTCCATTGACGTAAAGGCTCAACATTTACAGCCCATACTCTGTCCTCATCTTCTGATACTTTCACTGCTTCCAGCTCGGCTGTGACCCAATCGCCTCTCCAGGGTTTGAAATTCTCCACACAGCTGTCTATTTCAAACTCAAGTTCACCATTAATCATCCCGGTTTCATTCCCTAGTTGTGTTATTTTACCAACACAAGCTGATTTGGGTTCTGCTTCAGCTTCTTCCTCCTCATCCTCCCATGACTTGGAAACGACTGTTATTTCTTCCGCATACCAGCCCCCATTTTCATACTGTTGCTTAGCAACAACAGAAACAGCATCGCCAACCCCTGGCTTATGGGAACCCTGTGAGTCGTCTAAAGCAAAATAGATTTCTCCATCAACAAGGCCATGTTCACCAAACACGTGTGTCACTTTGCCGTCAAAACGTCTGGTTTCAAAAGCCTCAATCTCTTGCTCCTCGATAATGAAAGAGGAATCGGGCCATTTTGATTGTACCTCATCTGTTCTGGTTTCTGTGTTGTCATCCTCAGTATCTTCTTGATTAAAGAAGTAGTTAAATATATTTCCCAAAGCAGAAAACATTCTGTTTTATACCAACATTGATCCTGAAAATAGACAAGATATTATTTTACATTTACTTCCTACAGAAAACAGCCAACATTAAACAACATTTGTGATCGAACTGTAATTGGCAATTCATTCAACAAAAACACTTTCTTTGGGAATTCAACAATTAAATTTTTCATCCAGGGAATAACGCATCCAGAGAGTGGAAAGATGGTGGAACCAACCTTGCCACGTCATTCCAAAAGGCCTTAACAGATGTTCTATCGTTATCATGCACTATGGGGACAAAACAAGGTCTGGTTGGCACTGTGTCTGAGAACACTGTGTGTTAAAGGTCACATGCAACGTAAAACACAACTTTACAGATTCTGTTACCTTTCGGTATGGACTTACAGTAATAAATGATCAAAAATGCAAATTAAAAAATAACACGATGAAACCCACCCCGCGAAATCAGAGTTCAAACGATTCACTAAATTCACCCCAGCTGGGGTGAAAAGTGGTTTCAACAGCTGTGCTGCGTTGCACTGCGCTCATGGCGCATGCGCAGTGAAAATGTGTCTGCCTGCCTGTCTGCTAATGACAAAAAGCAATACACATCTTCGATCACTGATCACATGCAATTTGAACTTAACACCTATCAGGCTATACACCATAAACAAAACGCACTGATTTGTGGCTCATGCACCTGTATTTACAAAACCCAACATCTCTATACACACAAAGAGTGTATCGGCAAATGAACCAGCCAATGAAAGACTTCGACGTGAAAGACTCCGTGACACTTAAGTGCACGCCCATCCGCTCTGACTGTGTTCAGTATCCCGGGTGCTTCATTTCGAGGGAAGTAAACCCAAGTACGAAATATTCCACTTTTGATTTGCGATTGTACGCTTATAATTTTGTTTGTTTTTTCATAATCAGCAATGTATATTATATGTCATGAATAAGTGATACTTGTGTTTTAATTATGTTTGGTTGCATGTGACTCTTAGTAATGTGCCATGATATCTCAGTTATCTACAATATAATATCTGCATTAATCTAGATCAGTACATATATGCAAATACAGGCATGCAGCAATTCACACATACAAGTGTAAACATTACATTACAGGTGCAATTATGTTGAACGTAAAGTTTAACCCATTTTCACCTTTACCTCACTATGCGAGTGTGAGATTTTTATTACAGTATTAGAGGCCTCCAGCCCAAAGTACATGTTTTGTCTGACAAACCACCATTCACAAAAGGTTTACATAACAGTGAGTGAGTGAGTATGGTTTTATGCCACTTTTAGCAATATTCCAGCAATATCAGGGGGACACCAGAAATGGGCTTCACACATTGTACCCATGTGGGGAATCGAACCACGGGACGAGATGAGCGGACGCATTAACCACAAGGCAACCTCACCGCATCACATCACCATGCATGACACAAGTCCATGTCTGAGGAACTTGCATGTTACAAGTAGATGTTCTATGATACATAATCCTATTCCAACAGTTCAACAAGGCAATGAAACATGGGTTAACATCCCATTCAAAATTATCACTCTTATATCAGTGGTATGGGTGATATGCACACACGTGAGTGGCTGCATGCATTACAACAGATTAATGCCAATTAATTTTATGGCGCTTGCTGACAGAGCTACCCAAGTACCCTGCCACAAATTTTACCCCCTGTGCTTTGGTTTAGGGTTTTGGAGGAAGATCACTTTGGGAATGCAAAAGTATGTTGTGCAAAATCAATAGCCTTACTCTGTCTCTCTGCTTATGACTGAAATTACACAACTTAATACACGTTGTACAGATTCAGCAGAAACCTCTTATCAATATCATTATGGCCTCTGGTTTCAGGTTTTGCAAGCCTGTTAAGTGACTCGAATGAGGAATGAGGAAATTGTTTTTCACGTTGATTAAATTATTGAAATATTTCTGGAACCACATTTCCTTGTAGTTCGAAGGTAAGATAAGTTGTTGATCAATCACAATAAATCAAATAGCCATTAATCCGGGCGCACCCTTGCAGTGACCAGATGTTACGACATTCTCACATGCGAGTTGAAATTAAAGGGGAATTCCCGCCTTCCCAGACTTCCGCATTATTTACAACATCCGGATTGTTGTTACTATAAATAGAACTTCGCTTGCAGCTGTTTTGGTAAAACAAATCATTCACGGATTAATTATAACATGTAAGATATTTTTTATTTATTCGTCACAATTTCATGAAATAAAATTTGATAATGAAGTATGTGACTAAAACGTAATATAATAATGTGCGTCACTTCCGGTTGTCGAGATACTCTTTGTTGGGATTGATGAAAACATTGCAATACTTGAACAATCTTCCGAAAAGGTTTGTTCCTATGCCACTTCTTTGAACTTTATTTCAGCCGATTACTTTCTTAACACTATAGTCTATGTGTTCGACATGAGGTTTGTTTGAAAATGTTCCAATTTTCATTTTTAGAGAAGATATTTTAATGTCAACGACAGTCATCTGTTTTTGTGAGTCATGAAGAATATATTGGTATGACACTCACTATACAAATAGTTTGGAAGATCGAATATTTAGCCAGTTTTTCCCCGTTCAAACAGTAGACAGTAGAGACGATTAATTTACGGTCACAAATGTTATTCCTAGTTGAATAAACAAACTAGTTTATCTTTTCTTTCTCTGAAGGGGGCTTAAGATTATCACAGATTATGATAGGTTTAACGTTGGCCTAGTATCTAGCATGGGTATTGTTGACTCACATTATGATGTGAAATCAAGAACAAACAGGTGATTTTCAGGGCCATTTTCAGTATAAAGTGATGTTAAATAAGATTGTATATGTCTTCAAATAAAGTGAAATTTTGTCATCCTTTTCAGTGCAGCTTTAGAATTGTAAACACTAACATTGGGACTCATTGTAGTAATCATTTGTTCATTTAGCCTTTTATAATGTAACCGTTTGAAAGGTACTGTGTTCCTGCTACTGGCTTGTCACCAGTTATTGTCGAGGCCAGTTACTGGCACCCCCATATGATAGCTTGTACATTATTAAGGCTTTTTTTACTTTAGCTCATGTTTATCAGGAGATATAGATATGGGAGAGAACCTTATTAGCCAAAATGACATTCATGAGTCCGGAAATGTTAAAATTACAGTGGATTACAGAATCATTTCTTAACTGGTCAGTGGTCAGTACAGAGGTGCACATGAGTCATGTCGTCCACTGATCGTTTGGATTAAGGTATCCTGAGGGCAAAATATCTTGTTGTGGAGTATCAGGCTTTTTGGAGAGGAATGTGGGGCATCCTCTTATACTGTCAGTATTTGTAGATACTTACTTCAGTTCTATTTCTGCTGCTGCTCCTGTAACCATGGTAATTGCAGCCATTTTTAACTTTTGCAAGGTTTGAAAGCTTGTTTGTTCCAGGCTATTAATAATCAAAGACCAGTAAAAGGAAATGCTGGCTAGTGTATTTGACTTTCTTTTTATGATGTGATGACAACAAATTACATGTAAAAGATCTTTAAAAATGTCGTATAGAAAACTGTACGCATGATGCTCTCATTTGCCACAATAATTTTGCATCAAAAGCTTGATGCAATAATTCAACTTTCACGATTCTGTTTGGATCAGAAACAGACAAAACCAGAATTAACTCCAAAATGTCATGTTTAACAAATCAAGAAAACTCAAAACTCTGTCATTCATGTTCAACACATCTAAATGCCTTCAAATGATTAAGAATGATTCTTTCTTAAGTGTTTAGCATTGCATGCAAATGTTAACAACAATATAAATCTTCTATTTGTTGCTACACTGATCTTGGATGCATTTCAAGGTGATTCAACCCACCAGAAGCAGGAAGTAACTTTTGGAGTCCAGTTTTCGATCACCAAACATTAGAAATGACATTTGTTATTTTTACATTCATTGTGACCTGAGATTATCTGTTTTATGTTAAGTACATATTTAATGTGCTGGAATATTGGTATGTGCATTGTGCATGTTAACACTGAGGCCACAACACTAGGCTGAGCAGAGTGTTTAAGCTGTGTTGAATCCTTGTCTGCTTACCGCTGATATACCTTGATATACGGTTGTAGCTTTCTCTATACAAGTCAGTTTTGTCATGTTTATGGTAATATGCCTCAGTGGAGATTCTGAGTTGGAATAGCTCCAGCAACATGCTGGTCATAAAGGCTCAGGTCAGTTGTCATGGTTATAGTCCAGGGTGCCGTTGTACAAAGCAACCATAGCCTTACACCAGTCGTAAGTCTTTATTGATAAGGTATGTGAGTTACGATCATCTTAGCTCTAAGGTTGCTTTGTACGAAGGGACACAGGTTGATTGTGTATTTTTACCTCTACATGATCAAACTATTGGCCACTTGATTCTGTGGTCCACCATCCTCCAGCTGGAACGTTGGACTGTGGCATTAAACAACAAAGAGTTGCAATGTTTTTAAAAACGTTTTTTGAAGAGCTATACCAGTTTTGAGTTGATAGTTTCATCATGTCTGTACAGATCCAGACTTAACTATTCTCATGCATTCTTTTTCACTATCTATATTGTATTTGTATCATTTGTTTGTATTCCTTGACTGTTATGTAAAGGGGCGGTGGGGTAGCCAAGTGGTTAAACGGTTAAAGCGTTCGCTCGTCACACCGAAGACCCGGGTTTAATTCCCTACATGGGTACAATAGGTGAAGTCCATTTCTGGTGTCCCCCATCTTGATGTTGCTGGAATATTGCTAAAAGCAGCATAAAACCATACTCACTCACTCACTGTTACGTAAACCTTTTGTGAATGGTGGTTTGTCAGACAAAACCTGTACTTTGGGCTGGAGGCCTCTAATACTGTAATAAAAATCTTGAATCTTGACAAAATTTAACACATACTTAACAATACACAATGCCTTTCAGAAAGAGGTCAAACACAACATATATTATGTATGGGATTACACTTTCTCAGTAAAGTACAGATTTTCATACTATTTGGGGCAGAGTCTCATCCAGTATTTAAACTCACATTCTCAGATGAAGGCTCCTAATTGCCAGCACAAAAAGTATGTGATCTAGACTACTACTTGTCTGACTTCCATTTTTGTTAAGGTTTCTGATAATTTAAATTAACAAAACAAACCCATGGAATTGGAAATATTACACTGTCTCAGTTTACCGATCACAATAATTCACATCCCTTTTACAGCGCACCATACTAACTTGTAACATAATAATACACATTTTAATTCAACACAAAGGAATGTTTAAGGCATGTAGTAATGAATATGAATACTTATTCATGAAAACTTTATGGTTAATATCTAGTAATTAGCATAACAAAATATCATGTATTGTAATCGTTAAAGTTAAATGATAATTTCTATGTATAACAGCAATACTTTGTGAACAAAGCTGCTTACAGCCTAATTGCAATGCCATGAGGGTTGACTAATGCTTAGTCTGTGAATATACATAATTTTGAAAGAAACAAATATTTCCTTTTAAGTTGAAAAGGAGCCCCAGTAAGATGGGGTCTGTCATACAGACCCTGAAGCAAATATATCCAAGAATGCCCACTTATGTCTAGAAAATGTGGCAAGTCAAGAAGAAAGTCTCAGGGCTCCTTTTCATTATATTTTATTTTGTTTACTATGAACTTTTTTCTGTAAAATATGTTCATTTCAGAGACTAGTTGTAAGACTAGGTCTGTTCCCCACATAGCTATTGATATTACTGGAATATTGCAAAAATGATGTACACCTCACTCACTCACTGGAAATGATTATATACAAGCTAGTGTGTCATTTTTTGTCAACTCAGAGTTTTATATAATATTGTGACCTTTTATACTGGGGCTCATGTTATCACTGACCTGGCGGATTGAATGTCATAAAAGTCTCTGGTATATCTCGTTGAGATGTGACAAGTGACACAGTTGTAGTGATTTATCTCGGGCATTGTTGATTGTCGACTGTTGCTTAGTCTGTGAATATATTTTGATAGAAACAAACAATTTAAACTGAAAAGGGGGCCCCAATGAGTTGGGAGATTCAGTTTGAGTGAGTTTAGTTTTACGCCACTTTCAGCAATATTCAAGCAATTTCACAGCGGGGGGACACCAGAAAAGGGCTTCACATATTGTACCCATGTGGGGAATCGGACCATGGTCTTCGGCATGACGAGTGAACGCTTTAACCACTAGGCTACCCCACCGCCCCTTGGAGATTCAGAACCTGAGGAAATCTAGACTTGCTTCATTAGGGCTTTAGCATTGCAGAAAGGCTAGACAGATGGGAAAATAATGCGGTTCAGCGACTGTGAGACAGACAATTCTGATTGCTATAATTTCAGTATGTTATCCAGGATTTGTTGAACAGTATGTGCTGATTAGCCTGGTTTTCTCCATGTTACTGTTAGAATTGATCTTCAGTAACCTATGTTGGTCGTAAAAGGTGACTAACCAGATCGGGTGATCAGTAGTGGTGGTCCGATTAATTGAAATACTCGAAGATTGGTCGCAGTGACTAAACAGCCAAGCAATCGATCACATTTTCTCATAACCGAACACAAACAATTTTGGAACTACTGTTTTAGTCTTTGAAACACTTGACTATGTAACATATCTTCGGAGTTGTCAGGGCCTGAAAACCTGTTTAATTCTTTGAAAACTCACTTCACTAAATGAAATTTATATCATGACTGAATATTTCTCTAAGACTCCAGGACGTTTATGTTCATGATATATTAGTCATCACTTTAAAGTAGCAAGTTGCATCATGTTATACTTATCTGCAATAACAAACTGGATAGGAAAATCTGACGAACGACGCTAACCAATTTTTTTCGATGATTGTTCGTTGGTAATAAAGCAATCATCAAATTTTAGATTCCAACCAATTCCCAACACTAGTGATCAGGCTTGCTGACTTGGTTGACACATGTCATCGTATCCCAATTGCGTAGATCGATGCTCATGCTGTTGATCAGTGGATTGTCTGGTCCAGACTCGATTATTTACAGACCACCACCATATAGCTGGAATATTGCTGAATGCAGCGTTTAAACAAGAAACCAACCGACCTTGTTTTCTCCCACTCTGCTTATACTTGCAACAGTGAGTGAGTGACTTAAGTTTTATGCCGCACTCAGCAATATTCCAGCTATATTCCAGCGGTCTGTAATTAATCGACAAGCATGGGTTACTAAAGATCAATTCTAACCCGGACCTTCACTGGTAGTTGCAACAGTTAAAAGTAACATAAGATGTACCCTGATTGAGTCTAAATCAAAATGTTGGGAAACAATTGCTGCTTATAACAAGTTGGAATTCCTGTATAATCTTGATAATGGCCA